CCAATGTCATATTGATGAAGATAAAACATAAAGATCAACAAACTACATTATGTAATCAGATATGTTTAGTTCACTGGCTCTCCAGCGTCCCTGGAGAACCAAGATAAGTGTTTACTTACGGCAGACGTATTGACTCTCTGAAGGTCACTCTTGAAATGCCCCTTTTTGAGGTCAGAACACACTGTATGATTCACAGGATGCTTAAATCCATCACATTTGTCTTGTTGTTTTTTAGTGGACTTTTCTATTTTACAGACACAAGAAACATTTAGAAAAGCTTTCCTCATCACTGCTTGACAATTCTGAGTTTGGTAATGGCTACTGAACCACAAACAACAAATCAATGTCCTTTTCGTGCTTACATTGGCTTTTCAATACATGGTTGATTAAGTTTACAAAATACAGTTTTCTTAGGAGGCTATTTTTATCCATTTTTGGCTTGTGGTCTTGCACATCCCACCATATGGCCGCTGAGATGTGTTTGAGTGTGGAGACGGTATGTTCTGTCAGAGCTCATGCTGCCTGTCAGACTCTTGACTGCAGCGTCTGTGATGCTGTGTGGGCTGGATATGAGTAAGACTGACCGAACACTGCTCCGCTAATGATGTTCTGAGTGATCATTAAATGGATAGTTCACCCCAAAAATGGCTGCTCTGCCACCAATTACTGGCCCTTAAAACCAGTTTCCAATTCAACACAAGGCGAGAAACTGCAGACAAAATACACTGTTCTTTCAGGGCTGATTTTTATACTTGCTTGGGTACACACAGTAAATGATGTCATCACAGCATTGGCAGAAGTTTACTTTGAGTGCATGCAACCTCATTTTGGCTAATGATGTTAGCTGCCGAGTAAGGCTGAGTCAGATGAATGTACACATGCCTTATCTTTAGCAATCCAAAACAACTGCCATGATGCAAAGTGCTTTAGGTTTATTTTGAAGCTTTGAAGAAAGATGATGTGCACAGGTAATCTAATGCTTTTTAAATATATTCTGTTTGAATTTTATTGTATGAGATGGTTTATAAACAGATTTTGGAAGGAGCATGTGCAGATGTTTTTACAAGACCAATTCAATATTGACAATCATTCTATTACCCATTAGCATAAGACCAAACCCCTATATAGTGAATCATGTTCTACCTCCATTTTTCTCTTGACTCTCAGCATCCATCCTCCATCCAAATAACCCAATAAATGCCATGCCATTATACCTGATTCCTACATAAATTTGACCGGGGGAGTGTTCTTCAGGCTAAAGACTACACTTGGAGCCCTGTCTCTCTCACTTCTGACAAGGGAAATAAAACAAGTTAGGGTGTCTTTTTAAGCTTGGCGTCCTCTTACCAGACAGCAAGCCAAATTTGCATATTCTATTCAGTCAAAAATCTGTAAGTGTGAACTCATGAAATTAATATTTTTCATTAAGCACACAGTTACTGTAGCTTAGATATATAAAATATTACACTAACACAACTTTACTAAAAGCAAATACTTTTATAAGTTTCTTCCAAATATATCCATAAACTTTATTTTATATACAGTTTAATTAAATTAATTAATTTAGTTGCTCAACGTGCTGACTTCATCATTTTTCCTTTCATAACATTTAGTCGTGCCCTGTTGTTACACCCAAAACACATCCATAACTTATTAAGAGAATGAGGACAACCCATTTAGACTATGCGCTGGGTGCACCAGCATTTTTCCCATTCTTAAAATAGCAAAAGTGAATTTGGACACAACCTAAGTGTACCTGCAGTGTGCGCTTTAGACTATGCATTTAGATCTTTAAAATAGATCCCATTGTGTAAAAAAAACAAAAAAACAATGAAACGCCTTTCGGTGATCAAATTTCTGTTATAGTTATATATTTTTTATTGCAATAATGCATTTTTGCATATTTAAACATAATATTTTTAAAGGTTTATTCTATTATATATATATATATATATATATATATATATATATATATGTATATGTGTACAGTAGGTGTCTTTTTCTGACCTGTGTTTTATACTTGAAGAACTCCAAACTCTGTCCAACAAGTTGACAGTCTTTTTATTATTTGACTTTGATATTAGAAAATCTTCAAAATTACTGCCATGTACAAAATCTTAAACAAAAAATAAAATTGAAAACCAGTATCTTCCCAACAGCTCTTCTCAGCAGAATCAGCACTCTATTGCTAACACACTGACACTCTATCCCTAACACACTGACACGGTCATGTTGACGCAGTCAAAAAAAATAGTTTGACCTCCTTTCTGCCATCCACCTGTCAATAATCAGGCTCTTTAAAATACATGAAAATATTCATATGCCCTCCAGTGCTTACAAAAAGAATTAAAACCCAATAATAATAATAAAAATGATAATAATAATAATGGCTCCAACACTATAGGGAAATAAGATGACAGCTCTCCTATTCATCTGCAGTGTCTTGCGTTACATTTTCTTCCATAATTCACTTGGTATATTTTCAGCTCAGTATGGTTTTGTACACATTTTTATTAGGACAGTGCAAACTAGCATTATTAAATATGAGTATAGTTGTTGTTGTGAATGCTTCAAAGAAACCTCTCTGTTGCCTAATGGGTTTGTAAAATATATTCCGGATGAGCAAGTTCATTTAATTATTTTTGTCATAGCAATATTTTTTAAATATTTAATTGCTGCTAACCTTGTTCGTGTGACAATTCTTATAGCACATATCCACCACCCCATCTCCACCTTTATTTTATTCACATCTGTTTTATGCATTATTGATAGAACTGTCCTGAAGGATATTTAGAGATGTAATTTGAGTCTTTAGATTTGGAGTTGTGCTTTCAGACCTCCACTATGGCCAGTAAGCTAAACTTGTTTACATGTCTTTCACTCAGTATGAATTTAAAAAGCACAGTCATGGATGAGGAAAAAAACTTTAACTGAACTCTGAACTTAGATTTCAGACACTGGCTGTATTTATTTCAAGCATTTTTGTTTTGTGTATCTGTCACATCACATGCAGGAGGTTAGCCTTATAGGGCATTTTACAACTTGTCTATTGTCAGAGAGACTTGAAATGTTTGTTGTCATTAATGTTTGTGTAAAAGCTGATGAGTTGATAAAAATAAATACACAAACCAATGCATTCTCACCTGGGAAAAGTTCTTTGATTTGTAGTTGAATAATCAAGTGGGAACCAAAGTTATCTTTTTTTCAAAGGAAACACAAATTATTTACAGAATTTTTTTTGTTGAAAAAAACTTATTTTTGGCATATTGTTTCTGAAAACAAAACAATATTTTTGGCTTGTCTAGAAAATGTTTCTTGATTTAAGGATTTGTTGAATTTGGACTTGGAACAAGACAAAAACTCCATGTGAGAAAAACTTTTTAGCAGTAGAAAATCAAGGTATACACAGTCACAGTGCACTTTTCTTATTTGTTTGGGTTTAGGGAAGAATTTAGGTCAGTGGTTTGCTGGTCTAGGGGATCTGTATGACATAAAATGTAAAAAACAAAACTGGACAACTTTTCTAGTGTGGTCAGTTTGCTCGGTAGCTCCCTTAGTGTTGTACTTTTGATACAGAGCCCTCATGTCAAGTAAAGCATGGTCCCACAAAAAGCAATGTAAAATCTAGGTAGAACTACATGGTTGCGAGCACTTTTCTGTTACGTTTGCTATTAAAAACACTATTGGTTGGGTTAAGGTGAAGGGTTTAGGTTCACTATGTGATCTACTCAACAAGCCCTGCCATCTCATTGACGTGTAGAAGAAGGATATGTGTCAGAAATGTATAACAAAACATACCCTAAGTAACATATTTTAGATTTGCAAAATGTAAACAGCATCCTTTAGTGGATTTGCCATCTGAAACAGGCAATAAAACGCACCCGGAGCGCATACCTGTCAACATTGGGATGTGAAAATAAGGGATACCTATTCATCCCACTCCCCCTTGCTGTTCTAACTTTTTTATGCTCATTTAAGACAAAATTTGTTGTATTTAAAAGAAAACACAGCAAGTTTGACATGATTAGATGTTATTATTATTATTATTTTATGTGTATTTGTGTATTATGTGTTTTATGTTCAAACATGCACCCAAAACCTAGACCGATTTGAATCCGTGTGGGAAACATCGTCTGTTTATCACCATGAATCGCACTTGACAGTCATGAACCGCTATATGAACTGACTGTTTTAAGGATTGCGTAAGAGGGGCAGCGGTGCCTGTAATTTAATATTTATTTCAAAGTGTTTTCATGCCTAAATAAAATGAAAGCACAAAACAGATTCACCTTTAAGAGCAAGAGGCGTCCCCTGGTGGTTCAGCTGTATGGGTTGCAAATAGGGAGTATCACCTTATTGATGTTTCTTGCCACCCTTCATAGAATGATAAAAAAAAAAATGGGAGAAATACAGGAAAATACCTTCACATGATTATAGCAAGATAAAATGATAAAATACTGGAAAATCAGGAAGGTTGACGGGTATGCCTGTGGCAACGTATTTTACATTTCACAAAAATGTAGCCTAAGGCATGTAATTCCAATGAGCCAGGGCTTGCAATTGAACTTGTAAAATCAAAATCTTTACACCCTAAATCACGTAACACCAACGTCTGGAATAATATCTAAAATTCAGCTTGGTCATTACATGACATTTTAACAAAAGTTATTTTAAGCAGTGCTCTACCTATGCAAGTAAATGACTTCTTGTGACATCTACTTACTGTGTGATTTTCAATTTACACTCATCACCATATGCAAATCAGCGTAATTACCATCTTGTGTGATTCCTGTCTCCCCGTGATGACTTTCATTTACCTCCGGTGAGAGCAGCAGGGTTTTTGAGCTCTCATTTAGCAAAACTCCAGTGACTCTGCACTTACTGCCTCTACTTTTCGCCACTAAATGGCTGCCACACACAGAGTATTGAGTGTCCGCTAAGTACCTATAACATGTTTTATTAAGCGTATTCATCCTCTGCCATCTTTCCTTTTCTTTCAGCCATCATCAACCCCAAAGCACCCAAAGAAAACAAAAGCTTCAATTTTGATTACTCCTACTGGTCACACACTTCGGTGAGTCTGGTTCAAATAGAAACAATGTTCAAAACCTGTAAATACCTAATGCATTTATCTTCATCTCTCCACAGCCTGAAGATATCAACTATGCGTCCCAGCAGCAAGTCTACAGAGACATCGGAGAGGAGATGTTGCTCCATGCATTTGAAGGCTACAATGTCTGTATTTTTGCATACGGTCAAACTGGGGCCGGTAAATCCTATACCATGATGGGCAAACAGGAGAAGGACCAGCAGGGGATCATTCCACTGGTAAATGAACAAATAACAAAAAAAAAAGGGACGCAAATCCCTCAGCAAACAATTTTGTGTTTAATAGACATCTAACAGACATCTAAAAATAGACAGCTTGGCTAAAACAAGGCTAAACTTGGGCTGTCCCAATGTGTAGTCATTAATTTCTGTTTATTTGATGACTAGTCTAGTTTTGGCCTATTCTTAGATGTCTATTAAATATTTCCTGACAGCCCATATTTAGCCTTGTTTTAGCCAAGACGACTATGTTTAGGCGTTTATTTTACATCTATTAAACGTCTTTTAAAAACAAAAATTGCTCGCTGGGGGTGCATCGCTAACTTGTTTCTAAAGCATTTATTTTCTCTAGGATCACAGGAATACACATGAAAATGCTATGTGTTCAGAGGTTGTGTGAATAAGATCAACTCAAACAGGATTTAATGACAAGTCAAACACCAAGCTGACCAGTGCACACACTATAATTCACTAACTAATCTTGGTTTATTATGTCTGCCTGTTTCCTTTTCTCTCTCCTATCCTGACCATCAGCTGTGTGAAGACCTTTTCACTAAGATAAATGAGAACAATGACAACAACATGTCCTATTCTGTGGAGGTGAGATTGGTCAAGTTCCTATTTTAAATCTTATTGCCAAATTGACTGTTATTATGTGTGAATCTGTACATCTTGCATGTCAGTAATAGCAATATTTAAATTGTGAGTTCTGCATGCAATTTCTGTTTTAATATAGTAATATATGTTTTTAAATAGAGATTCACTTTTAATCCTCAATTATAATGTGTTTTTGTTTTTTTAATCAGTCTGTTATATTTGTCCTTTCAGGTTAGTTATATGGAGATCTACTGTGAGAGGGTACGGGATCTTCTAAACCCTAAAAACAAAGGAAACCTACGTGTGCGAGAACATCCGTTGCTAGGCCCATATGTAGAAGATCTGTCCAAACTTGCCGTCATGTCATATAATGACATCCAAGACCTGATGGACTCCGGGAATAAGGCTAGGTATTCTGATGCTTTGTAATGTTTTGTATTCTGTTCTATTCAGGGCTGTGTTTCCAAAAGCATTGTAAGCCTAGGACCGCAATTGACCTTGATGTTAATTTTAGTGATTAGAATAGAATAGAATAGGGCTAGGTTTTCTATTCTATTCTATTCTATTCTATTCTATTCTATTCTATTCTATTCTATTCTATTCTATTCTATACTTGTTTAATCTCTCAACTATGTGTGTGTGTGTGTGTGTGTGTGTGTGTATATATATATAGTTACAGTAGGTCTATAAACATTTGGACATCGACACAATTCTAACATATTTAGCTCTATACACCATAACACAATGGACTAGGAATAAACAAGATGTGCTTTAACTGCAGACTGTTAGCTTTAAGTTGAGGGTATTTATACCCAAATCAAGTGAACGGTGTAGGAACTACAACAGTGTGCATATGTGCCTCCCACTTGTTAGGGGTCCAAAAGTTATTGGAGAATTGGCTTCTAAGTTGCTCCATGGCCAGGTGTGTGTTATTCTCTCATCATCCCAACAACGAGCAGACAAAAGGTCCAGAGTTCACTTCAAGTGTGCTATTTGCATTTGGTTATTGTCAACTCTCAAGATGAGATCCAAAGAGCTGTCACTATCAATTTCTGCACTATCAAGCAAGCCATCATTAGGCTGAAAAAACAAAACAAACCCATCAGAGAGACAGCAAAAAAAAAAAAAAAAAAATAGACGTGGGTAAACAACTTTTTGGAACATTCTTAAAAAGAAAGAACACACCAGTGAACATGGCAACACCAAAAGACCCGGAAGATCACAGGTCTTGTGGTGGACCAAATAATTTTTCACAAAAGTTGGCCAGATCAAGAACACTTTCCAGGAGATACAGTAGGTGTATGTGTGTCAGGGTCAACAATCAAGAGAAGACTTCACCAGAGTGAATACACAGGGTTCACCACAAGATGTAAACCATTGATGAGCCTCAAAAACAAGAGGGCCAGATTAGAGTTCTACTGTATTTATTGATGATGTGACTGAAGTCTGAAGTGTTTTAAGCAATGTTTTCTGCTCATATAAAGCCAAATGCTTTAGAGGTCATTAGGCGGTGCTTCACAGAGCAGATGAAGAATGACCCAAATCATACTGCAAAAGCAACCAAAGTGTTCTTGAAAGGAAAGAAGTGGCCATGGCCAAGTCAATCACCTGACCTGAAACCGAATGAGCATGTATTTTACTTGCTGAAGACAGAACTGAAGGAAAGATGCCCTAAGAACAACCAGGAACTGAAGACAGTTGCTGTAGTGGCCTGAAAGAGCACCACCAGGAATGAAACCCAGCGTCTGATGATATTGATGTGTTCCAGACTTCAGGCTGTAATTGACTACAAAGAATTTGTAACCAAGTCTTAAAAAGTGAAAGTTAGATTTCTGATTATTATTCTGTCCCATTACTTCTGGTCTCTTAACAAGTGGGAGGCACATATGCAAACTGTTTTAATTCCTACATCCTTCACCTGATTTGTGTATAAAGACCTTCAAATTAAAGCTGACAGTCTGCTGTTCAAGCACATCTTGTTCCTTTAATTTCAAATTCATTGTGTTGGTGTATGGATCCAAAGATGTTAAAATTGTGTCGATGTCCAAATATTTATGGCCCTAAATGTGTATATATATATAGAATTAGAATGTTATATTCTTTCAAAAATATTCAACTATACAATCACAACATTAATAAGCAGCACAGAAATGTTTTAAGTAAAAAAAGAAAAATCATGTAAGGATGAGAATGTAGTTCATTTGACGTTCAAAAGTTTTAATTTGCAGTAATATTTATAGAATAATCATATTTTTAGATGCAGCATTTATGCATATAACATACTTTTAAAGTTATAATTGTTAATGGGAAACTCTGTAGTTATATAGGACCGCTGAATTTACTGATTTGAGTGTCTAGATGGATGCAAGAACAGTTGAAGAAACCTAAAACCTTATGTCAAATTTCTGTTTGAGAAGCTATTTTATTTTATCCCGTAGTGCATGTCAATGTTTTTTATACATTAACAGTGAGTGAGACAGAGGTGAATTAATACAGGCATTCAATTATTTGCTGTCATCTAAAACACACCCACAGATGGATTTTGGCTGTTGGAATTTGAGTGTTGCCATAGAAACAAGTAATTTCCCAGTATGAGAACATGAGCTGCTCCAAGTAGAATCTCTATTTTTTTGTGTAATAACAGTCCTGTTGACACAATGTTAAAGCATTCTATTCTATTCTATTCTATTCTATTCTATTCTATTCTGCCTTCCAGAATACCTTCTCCCATGTCCGTTTTCAAGGTTTTTCTGACCACATTGAGGGGAGAACAAATATTTACTCTTTATATCCTTATAATGTCATGGAAAATCATTTAACTTCAGGAGGCTTTCTGCTAATGCATTCCTGTTTCCTCAGCTTAGAGTCACTCAGCGCTTCCTAATCTAAAGGTGTTGACAAACAACCAAGCCAATTCATTACACCTTCCTCCTACTCTACACATTTGGCCTGTTATATAAGTTAATGGTTTGGCACAAAAGACAGGAGCTGACTGAATGAATAATGAGATTGAACATTTGTCGCCACTGTTGAGTGCAACATTTTAAAATATAGTGCCATCTGAGGTCTATCAAAATGTAATTTTAGATTTATTTAATGTATATGCACTGCCATATCAAAATTAAGTGTTGGTATTGTTAGATCACACTATTCACGTCAGATAAATAAGATTTAGCCCCTGACGGCAGATCCTTTCAGAAAATGTCTGTTTCTTTGTGTATTCAGACAACAAGCTTGCAGAGCTGCACAGTACCCAAACCTGTCAACCAGAATTCAGCTAAATTAACAGTCTTCTATCAATATAAGTGTTGACTGAGAAGAGGAGCAGAAGCAGGAGACAGAGTTATGATGATAAAGAAAGAGCAGAGTTTATTAAATAAACTTAGTTGTGTAAGATTCAATGCTCAGGCTTTACCTGACCAGGATAAATACAACAAGTGTTATTATACCACAAGCAACAGCAATGGAAAATTACTGCTTCACAACATTGCAGACCTTGAAATGGAGACATTCTCTTATCTCTTGGAAACAAGTGTTGCTTGAATCCCACCGTCAAATTGTAATAATAAAATATAAAAACATAATCAAATGACAAATAATAATAATAATAATCAAATCATTAACTAAGAATCAATAAAATGACATACTGATAATTATATGAATGACTAATGATCATATGATTAAATAAAATAATTAAATGAAGAATAAATTAATATAAACAAATGAAAATAAAACACAACATAAATGAATAATTACTTTCTTGAAGCAACACACACATAAGTTTGCTACAAGGGTTCTTAGATCTTTAGTTAGATTCTTCAGTATGATGTTTAAATATTTGTAAAATATCACCAAGACATTAATTTATTTGATAATTTTCTTAAAATTACATTGTTCAGTATTGTGATATACATTCAATCATTCATTCATCCATTTTCTTTTTGGCTTAGTCCCTTTATTAATCTGGGGTCTCGACAGCGGAATGAACCGCCAACTTATCTAGCATATGTTTTATGCAGCGGATGCCCATTCACACCCATTCACACACATACTGTACACTATGGCCAATTTAGCCTACTCAATTCACCTGCAGTGCATGTCTTTGGACTTTGTGGGAGAAATCAGAATTTTTAGCAACCCTTACTCCATTCATCACCCATATACAGTATCATCTTTCAGAATTTACTCTAATAAACTGATTTGGCTTTCTTATGACATTTTGTATTACATATACTGTAAGTTAGGGGTGCTCAACCCTGTTCCTGGAGATCTATCTTCCTGTAGTGTTCAGCTCTAATTCTGATCGAACACACCTGAACCAGTTTATTAGGACCTGCACAGCACTTGATAATTACAGGCAAGTGTGTTTGATATGGGTTGCAACTGAAATCTGCAGGAAGGTACATGTCCAGGAACAGGGTTGATCACCTCTGCTGTAAGTTATTATATAACTTACAGCAATATATATAAGTATATATACTTAAGTATATATATATATATATATATATATATATATATATATATATATATATATATATATATATATATATAATTTTTTGAAAAGGGGAAAAACAATAAATATTTGTATGAGTGCTGGAGTGTTTAAATAATTTTTTGTTTAAAATACGTGAAGGTCATTTGACCATCAGGAAGAATGCATCATCACAATTTTCACAGGACGAGTTCTGTGTTCTCATGGTCTTTGTTCTCTGCATTTTGGAATTGGGAAACAGCCATTATCATTGCGCAAAACAATTGCTCAACTTGACACCTTGACCTGTATGATATATTGTGTATAGATGTCAAATGCTATGATGTTATAATTTCAAGATAATAAGTGTGAAAAGTGGCAAGGCAGTGGCGCAGTAGGTAGTGCTGTCGCCTCACAGCAAGAAGGTCGCTAGGACACTGGTTCGAACCTCGGCTCAGTTGGCGTTTCTGTGTGGAAACGCGTGGGTTTCCTCTGGGTGCTCCGGTTTCCCTCACAGTCCAAAGACATGCGGTACAGGTGAAATGGGTAGCCTAAATTGTCCGTAGTGTACGAGTGTGTTAATAAAGGGACTAAGCCGACTAGAAAATGAATGAATGAATGAATGAATGAAAAGTGTAAATACACATTTTTGATTTTGGTTTATTAGATTTAATCTTCAGTGGTTGGTTTGCCAACTTTCATCATGCTCTAATACATAAAAAGTAAGCTCAAAAAGAGTTACTGCAGAGAGAAGACTTTATTCAACTATTATTCAGCAGCAATGTTAATGCGTCAGCCTTCAAGGATCTTAACCCAAATATGTGACAGTACTTTATACCAGCTACAAACAAACCATTGTGAATTTGCTTAGCAGGAATGTTTTATCAGCTGTTTGTAGGATCACAACTCCAGCATTCACAAAGTTTCACTAGATCTGAAGGAAATGCACTTTAAATGTGACAAAACAATAATAAACACATTAGTACTTCACATGAATGAAAGTCTCAGTGCTCAATAGGAATACCATTCTTTAATTTCTGATCTCCAGGACAGTAGCAGCCACAAACATGAATGAGACCAGCAGTCGTTCACACGCTGTCTTTAACATCATCTTCACCCAGAGGCGGCACGACTCGGAGACAGACAACACTTCAGAAAAGGTACCCTCTGCTCATGCACGTTACATACTCTGTCAGTCATGATTTACAGCATAAGGCAGGGCCATTTGTCTCTTGTTGTTGCATAGCGCTGTACTGAATGACATTTGACATTGGGAGTTGTTTTTTTCTGTGTGGATAATGAGAAAGGTGATACGGGCTTGTCTATTTCTCAGCATGTTCATTATTGACCTTACCTGAACCTCTCTGGCAGGTCAGCAAAATCAGTCTGGTGGATTTAGCGGGCAGTGAGAGAGCAGACTCTACTGGAGCCAAAGGCACACGACTCAAGGTGAGTGGGGTCTTTATCTTTTTTCTTTGAACTATACAGTGGGCTGCATGCATTGCAAGTGTAATACCGTGTTGTAAAATGTTCTCTGGAGTGACGTATCATGCTCTGACTGGAAATCTTATGGAAGAGTCCACTCTGACTGAACTGTGCTAATTATGAAGTTTGGTTGAGGGGATTTATGCCGTGGGTTTTTTAAGGGGTTGGGCTTGGCCTCTTAGCTCCAGTGAAAGGAAATCTTAATGCTCCAGTATGCCAAGACATTTTGGACAATTTCATGCTCCCATCTTGAAATTGTGAGGATGACTCCTTCCTGTTTCAACATGACTGCATGACTGCATTCATGGAGGAACTTAAACTGGCCTGTACAGAGTCCTAACCCAAACCAGAAAGAACACCTTTGGAATGTATTAAAGCAGAGACCGTAATGCTGCGTTCACACTAGACTCAGATGAAGTGTCAAGTGCGAGTGATTTACATGTTAAGTCAATGCAAAGATGCAATTAGACTTCTTGCGGCGCGTTTCTTGCGAATAAGGCAGCCCGAATTATCGTTTTATCCATTTGATACAATTAACGCACAAATTGCTCAAGTTGGAAAAACTAAACTTTAGTGGACATTTGCGCCCCGTTAAACAATCATGAGGTTGGTCTTGTAAGGGAGTGATTATGAAGTAGTGTCAATTGTTGGTGTACAGAGGGGAAATCCTCTTGCCGACACCAGACAACAGTTCATCAAACTGGGCTTAGCTCAGTCTGAAGCACCGCCGAAAGCCTCCATCATCCACATATATTTTCTGGAGGAGTTGATGAACGCACAGAGCTTGATGCATCTCTGGAAGGTTCTAGTGGACTCAGACATGGCGCCGAATAAATATACGATGTTTTTCAGCCTTCCTAAAGCACATAAGCACAGCTATTATCTCAATAAAATCCATGTTAAGTAAATAGCAATAAAGTCAGAGTCAAATTTGGCACACAAATGAAGCGAGGAAACTCAAAATGTTCACGCGTCTATTTACATGCGAAGATCGTGATTTATTCTTGTGTTCCGCATCTGCTGTGAACACAGCATAAGCGAGACTCTAAACACACTACTAAACATTGTGAGAAGCCTTCCCAGTAGAGTTGAAGCTGTTAAAGATGCAAAGGGTGGGCCAAGTCGATATTTAACCCTACGGATTAGAATAAAGTATGTCATTGAAATTAATGTATATGTAAAGGCAGACATATCAAAGTGTTTTTGGGAGTATAGAATAATTGAAAAAGACCTTCATATGAACTTACACAGCACTTTGTGCAGCATTTCATTTGTAAACAACACACCTGAACTCTGATGTAATATTAGTGTGCCTTGATGTGTAACAGCATTTAGCCTTCCCACTGCTGTTCTGATGAAAGCAGATAGACCCTTACTTCAATGTAATCAGGAAAGATGTGGTCAAAGTGGACAAAAGAGATGCATTTAAACACCAGGTGTTAACAGTAATTTGTCCTCTTTCCAATGATCAAATCAATGAAAACATGTCTTAATCCATCTTCCACATCATTACATCCCCACTTTGTTTCTTCTCTCTATTCCAAGACTATATTCTAAGAATCTATAAATGTCAACAGTTGTTTTTTAATTTATCGTCTAGTTCTCTCCCCATACTTGCTGCTGTCATTGCATAGAGAGAATTTTAACGGCACTCCTCTTTATTCTGTCGTTAGTTTGAAATTGTAATTTTGTTTTCTACTTGCTCTTTCCTAGGAAGGGGCAAACATCAATAAATCACTCACCACCCTGGGAAAAGTCATTTCAGCTCTGGCTGAGGTGGTAAGTGTTTTGTTTTGCTCTGAGCCTTGAGGACGTTTGATGATTTATTGTTTACATAAAAAGTTCAATGCGTGTCAGTTTAATAACCTCCAATTTATTTTATTACTCACTTTGCAGGACTCTGGCTCTAACAAGGTATAACTTTCTTCAAACATGTTCTGAATACATGTTCAACAAATTTATGCATAATATATTAATGATATAAATGTATAATATAATATAATATAATATAATATAATATAATATAATATAATATAATATAATATAATATAATATAATATAATATAATATAATATAATATAATATAAAATACACATTAATGTTGTATAATAATTCTATATTTCTAATCTACACAGAACAAAAAGAAAAAGAAAGTGGAAAGTTTTATTCCTTACAGGGATTCTGTGCTGACCTGGCTACTGAGAGAGAATCTCGGTATGTATCAAAAGTGTTCTGTGATATGAAAAATGATTTCAATGTATTCTTGCTCTCGAAAAACTTGACCTTTTGTCTTTGTGCAGGTGGCAACTCTCGAACCGCAATGGTGGCTGCTCTCAGTCCAGCCGACATCAACTATGATGAAACCCTCAGTACTCTCAGGTATAATGCATCAGTTTTATCATTTCACTCTCTTTCCGAGGTTGGTAATGAGCTAGGTAATGAGCTGAGGGATAGCAGTACAGTATGCAACAATGGAAATGTTCCTGCACACACCTGTCTCCCACCTGCAATGTCCTTCAAATATGCTGGTGTGCAGTAACATTGCTGAGCAGGGTAATTGAGCACCTATTAGAGGTGTGTGTGTGCAGTAAAGTTGAATGTCCCTGTAAAATGCCTTTTTTTATTATTTGCTTAGCCATATCTAATGCTATAGTTTAAAACAGGAATGTCTAATCTTGAAACAACTACAGAATTATTGCTGCCATTTTCGCAATGTTCAAAAGCCTATTGGAAGATTGCTGGGAGATTTTTAGCAACAAAGGATGTGTGTTTTCATTTTTAATATAACATTTTAGAATCCAGACTGACATTTCCACTGCTTTAAAAAAATCTGCTTCCACACTATACAGCTTAAAACACATGACATAAGACCATTCACATTCACTTGGCATGTGTATTAGAGACCTGCACGGGCCTTAAATCTAGGCTCTAGCCTGACCCTGACCCGAGATGCACAGGCTGTGACCCTGCCCTTGTCCAACATCTTATCGAAATTTTTGGCCCGAGTCCAACTTGAAGCCTGTCTTTCTTTTTCTGCCAAGCCATTAAAGCAGACTAGATTTGTATTTAATAGAAAGTTGATGTTTTTTGGTTTAGTTTTTTTTTTTAAATCAGAATATTTAATAGAAATGTTTGGAGTTCTCTATTTATTTATTTATTTATTTATTTATTTATTTATTTATTTATTTATTATTATTATTATTTTTTATGTAAGTTTTAGTTTTTTTTATTAACATCGATATCCAAGTGGTATGTGGTCCACAATAAGTTCGCTCAACTCACAAGTTGTGTATTTTGCATAATCAATTGGCTCATCATTTAAAGTTGTCACTATTTGAAAAGTTGACCAGAAGTTTTCTTTTCCTCTGGTGTTTTTTCCGTTTTAAGTTCATTATTAGCAATTTTTCGCTTTATGTGTTCCATTGTACGTGGCTGGAAATGCGTGCTAGCTAAGACGTGAAAATTGTCCTGAAGCCCAGCCCCAGGGGCTTAAAAAGTTGAGCCCCGACGGGCTTGGGCTGAAATGCAGGGCTCTATTGCATATATTTAGCTGCCATTTACTCTTACTGGTTGTTTTATGGTCTTATGAATAAGATAAAGCAAAACACGCTCCATTTACACTGAAATATAACGCCAATGTTTCCAAACTATAAGAGAGTCTTCATCATTTTCAAAATGATCAATTTTATGGTTCAGGGATGCGGAAGTAGTGTGGACACCAGGTGTAATTGTTAAAAAGCAAATACATTTTGAAATAGAGCGCAATAGTAAACAATGCCTGAGTATCAATCCTGTTTTTCTCTACAAAATGTTTTTATTGGTCGAAAATGCATAGTTTTTAAACTCTTTTTGGCTTTTTAAAAATGATTAAGCATTTTCTACATGTGTCTGCAAAAATTACACAATTTCACTCTCTTAAGAGTAACAATTATTTCACACATTTTCAAAAAATGCATTATTATTATTATTATTATTATTATTATTATTATCATTTATTCACTACAGTAAATTTTGCAATTGCATGAAAATAATCGAATTATTCCACACTACAACGAATAAAATAAATTTAAATAAAAACACACAATAAATTTAGCTATGAGAAAACGATCATTGTTTTCATATATTACCACTTGTCGATCCTCCTTAACCATTTGACATCCTTACTTGCAGGTATGCAGACAGGGCTAAGCAGATCCGTTGTAATGCAGTGATCAATGAAGATCCTAATAACCGTCTGGTGCGTGAGCTTAAAGATGAAGTGTCCCGTCTGAAAGACCTCCTCTATGCCCAGGGCCTGGGTGACATCATTGAGAGTAAGAACATTTGCTGTTTATTTGCTTTGATACCTCCTTTTTATCTGAGAGTTTGCATTACACGGTGACCATTGTTGATTTTATTGTACTGAAACATATATTTTAATATTTTGTTCCAAATCCTAGTAAGTTTCCTGTGGAGACAGCATTTTTAAAGCTTTGCAAATAGCAGAGTGAGAAATTAGACAATGAAGTAGGTTGACCTGTAAGAGGGTTGATGGAGGGATGCTAAAATGATGTCAGAACCCGGAATAAGAATTCATTGCGGGTTCCTTTTTATAAATACTGGTTTTCAGGGCTTGACATTAACACCCACTAAATGCTGGTAGATTTCAGCGGTGGCAGGTAAGACTGACACTGCCACTAGCTACTTTGGCTGGTTGAAAATAATTTTCCCGGATAATAATTTCTCTTAGAATTGAGAAGTAACACGACTGACAAAAATAATTGCGTTCGCGCGTGCAATAGAAAGCAGGTGAATACCGAATTAGAGGATAATCAATTGCGCTAACAGCTGAGGTGATGCGCACGACTGTTTAAAACGCGCATGCGCTCCCGTTTCCTTGCATGAAGCAACTGTGCCTAGAAACACAACTGATGTGATCGGTTCTCAATCGGTCAAATAGACTAGACAAAAGTGATGAACATGCACCTACAGTCTTGCTGCTTTTAAGAGTTCCAGATTTGTCTTTTTGTAAGCAGCACAGGTTGCTTTCTTTTTAATTGTTCTTTGAACAGATTATTTATGAATCTAACGTTAACCGTGCATGTGTGATCATCCTTTCAGTATCTCTCATGGTGTTTCTTTCTTTTGCGTTAATATGGTTTAATTATTTTTTTAAAATAACATTGGTTTAATGGGAGATTAACACCCCATTTATGTGTAGTTAATTGGTGATCTGTGTCCTTTATCCAGGACAGATTACAGTGCATACGTTTTGTTAAATAAAAATTATAGTATACAGCTATAATTTGCTTGTTTTGACACATTTAAAATTTGTGGCTAAAAAATAACTCATTGTTTATGTTTGATGTGGTCAGAGATAAATTTAGTAAATCCTTAATTTTGAGCTCTGAAAATTATGTGAAATAAAAACTAATTGTAATACTATGTAAGCGTGATCCATTTGCTCATGATTATTGAGCAAGCTCATACACGACACTCAAAAAGTGATGAGGAGGTATGTGGAGATAACGCAAAATCTAAATCAAGTAATTTTAGCATGTTAAAGTCATATTTATGTGTATAAAATACATTTTCCCAACAATAAAATTGTGGCTAGTGAAAATGGCGAGTGGCTAGTAATGTTGAAAAACTACTACCCACACGGGCTGGTGATAAAAAAAGGTACTGTTAAGCCCTGCTGGTTTTTATAATAAAGATTTGTAATTAATGAGTTTGGTAAGGTCTGCTGTAAATATAACAATACTTTAACATTTTGTTCACCAATATAAACGGCACAGATTAGCACCCCAAACTTTCTTATCTAGTTACTTGTTGGGAACCTACGCTTTATAAAAAACAAATGACAGATTTAGAATTGATGATTTGATAAACGTGTGTCTAATTGGTTGAGATTATTGTGAAAAGGGTCTAAAAACAGCACAGTGACTTGCTAGGTTTTGGAACATCGTTTTCTACAAGAGATGGAAAATAGTTGCATAGATAATTATGTTTTAACTGAAATATACATAGGTAATTACAGCACATAGACACATACTTAAAAAACAAACAAACAAACAAACAAACAAACAAACAAACAAACAAACAAACAAAAAAAAAAAACAGCTCACACTGGGCCCTTAACTCATCCCTGTGCACTTCTAACTCTATTTCTCTATTTCTTCTAATCACTCGTTTCTTTTCTCATCCTATCGTCTCTTGATGGTGATCTCCCAGCGGGGAAATGCCTTATAGAACAGACGACCTGGAGTCCAGCCCTCTGGGTTTGGTACAATTCAGTGTCAAATGACTTTCAGAAGTCTAGTTTAGACTCAGAATTTCCTTTACTCAGAATTAGCCTTTAGTCTTTTGTATTAACATAAAATGAGTCTCACTTTCTCTCTCCCTTTCTCTCCTTTTTTGGTCAGTTTGGTATCTTTATGTAAATTATTGGTATTCCTCTTATGCTTGTTTCTTCTTTGTTGTTCTCTCTCAGCGTTTCGAGGGCCAGTTGAAGATTTTGCTGGTTTGAAATGTGTGTTTCTTGGGCTCTGTCTCACTCTTTCTTCTATGCTTTTGCAGTTTTTTATGGATAAAGCAGATCTCTGCAGCCTCAGGGTCCATTCAAGGGTTTGAGAGAAAGTTCATAATCTCTCGATCATCTCAGAACCATGTTCATATCACATCCCATGAAAGCCATAAATGTTTTTTATTTCTGTGAAAGCTACCAGATTCTCTTTATTTAGGAAAATCTAGCTATCTTCAGTTAAACATTTAAACAAAATGTTAATTTGTAAAATACAATTATATGAATACTAAACATTACTATATTTTGTTGTGTTTAGTATCATTTTTTATTTGAAATAATATAGCAAATATGATAATAACATTTGTAATGTACCAACATAATCTTTGAAATAATCTAAATGATTATTAGCAAAATGTCACTTTTTTGGGGTGGCATTTTGGATATATTCACTGGCCACTTTATTAGGTACACCTGTCCAACTGCTCGTTAAAGCAAATTTCAAATCAACCAATAACATGGCAGCAACTCAATGCATTTAGGCATGCAGACATAAGCTGCGTCCCAAATGGCACACTATACACTATGCACTCATGCACTATGTACTTATACACTTACACACTCAACAGGATAGTATATGTATGTAGCGTCGTCCCAAATGGAGCACTAATGTTTTTTTACTAAGCGGAAATTCAAACCGTTTCCCTGATGACGTTTGACGGTTGCCAAATCAGTGAAATAAACAATCGAATTATCAAATAATACCTGCCGTGAGTATTATCGCATTCACCATCGGGAGGCGCTATAATCACTCTCGTAGGAGAATTTTGCTTTGACCATCCAAAATAAATTAAGTTATCCAACATATGCGTCCGATAGCTCCGCCCCTTCCGCTACGTAAGCAAACCTGCGTCGTTGAGTGCGTGAAGTTTCCATCATTCCACACTTCATTTTACCGTCTGTATGAGTGCATCATACGGGTAATTAAAGTGCACTTACTATTTTTAGAGTTTTCAATATGAACGCACTACTTACACTATTTATACTACAAAATGGCATAGAATAGTGCATAAGTATGCGATTTGGGATGCAGCTACTGTCAAGATGATCTGTTGCAGTTTAAACCGAGCATCAGAGGAAAGAGGGAAGAGGAAGAAAGGTGATTTAAGTGACTTTGAATGTGGCATGGTTGTTGGTGGCAGACGGGCCTGGTCTGAGTAACATACCATGTAATAAAGCTTGAATCATTTCAGACTAATTTCTCGAACATGACAATGAGTTCACTGTTCTCAAATGGCCTCCACAGTCACCAGTCTCAATCTAATAGAGCACCTTTGGGATGTGGTGTAATGGGAGATTGGCATCATGAATGTGCAGCAACTGCGTGATGCTATCATGTCAATATGGACCAAAATTATTTCAAGGTATTTCCAGTACCTTGTTAAATTACAAAGGATTAAGGCAGTTGTGAAGGCAAAAGTGGGTCCAACCCAAGTAAGGTGTACCTAATAAAGTGGCCGGTGAGCGTATATTTTGATGATTTGACTGTGGCTTTTCTTCTAACCCTGGTCGCTGGTGTGGTTTCTGAGCTGGAAGCTGCTTTATCTAGTGTGGTGCCGCAGGGCTGTTTGCTCCCTCTCTCTTTCTCACTCCCTCTGTCTTTATCTTACTCTTTTGGCTTGCAATGCCTTGTGTGAAAAAATGTTATGTCACACTAATAAGCTAATTGATCTCACTCATTCACTCATCTGTCTTATTAATGTTCTGCGGTTGCCCTTAAAAGACATTTTTCTGCGCTTCATTTAATGAGATTGTCCTTTATAAAATAATTATCAAACTAAGGGGCATCTGCTTATGACACTTTTCTTCACAATAAATACAATAGTGTCAGGTTTTGTAATCTAATGCAAGAAAATGCATTTTTTTAAAGTTTAATCTGTGCCAAATAATGTTTTTGGTTCTGTTTAATGGACAACATGCACAAAAAATTCCTAAAAGATAATGAATGATGGGATACAGTGCCTGCCTGAATTTTGCAGTAGGAGGGGCTTATAGCAGATATATGTTTGAGTGACAGCATGCATTCTCTTTATGCAGTGGCTGCTTTTTGCTAACTGCAGCTTTAATAATGGCTGAAGATAAGAACTAATTTTTCTTCATATCTGATGTAATACATCACTCTTGTTCATGTAAATTAAGTGAGACAGGGAGAATGTTTTGTGGTCTTCTTAATATTTTTTATTGATAATGTCTAAACATGACACTGAAATTGTTTCAAAGTATCTAGTTATGCGTTTCTACCATATTTAATTGATAAATCTGATTTCTGCTTGTATATCCGTTTGTCTAGTTCGTTTAGTCAGTTGATTTTTGACGAGTAAATTTATAGTAGATATTAACACATGAAACACTTTTTAGATTGCCTGATAATTATGTAATATCTTGCACAGAATTGGCAAGAACAGCTTACAACTTGTTTAAAAGAAGGTGGATATTATATCTGAATCGAAAATAGAAAGCAGCAACCGGTTTAGACAAGTTTTAGAATGGTTTTATTATTCTTTTTTATATTAATATTTTTATTACTATTTCAAAGGAGAATTTTAAATAATATTTTGTTTTAATTTAGATTAGTTTTTTTAATGTATGCGTTTTTTTCTGTAGTTTTAATATTTCAGTTTATGTATAAGAATTTTTTTGTTTATTTTTTTGTTCATTTTTGTTTATTTAATTATTTAAATTTTTTATGTTGTGTATTGTATGTAATTTTTGTCATTTTCTTAAACTGTGCTGTAGATTTAAAATTATTTAACATTAATAAATTTAACATTGGCGGCGCGGTGGTGCAGTGGCACAGTGAGTGGTGCTGTCGCATCACAGCAAAAAAGTCGCTGGTTCAAGCCTCGGCTTGGTCAATTAGCATTTCTGTGTGGAGTTTGCATGTTCTTCCTCTGTTTGCGTGTTCTCCCTCTGTTTACGTGAGTTTCTTCATGGTGCTCCAGTTTCCTCCTAAGTCTAAAGACATGCGGTATAGGTAAATTGGGTAAGCTAAATTGTCTTTTTTTATGTTTTGCTGAAAAACAGCATTCATGCTGAGTCAGGCCGATTATCTTTTAATCTTTTCCTGTTGAAAAAATTATAAATAAATAAATAAATAAATAAATAAATTGTCCGTAATGCGTGTGAATGAGAGTGTATGGGTGTTTCCCAGTGATGGGTTGCAGCTGGAAGGCATCCGCTGCATAAAACATTTACTGGATAAGTTGGCCGCTGTGGCGACTGCTAATGAATAAAGGGACAAAGCCAAAAAGAAAATGAATGAATGAATGAATAGTTAACATTTATATTTTGATAATTTTATTTATTATACTTTTTTCAGTTAGTTGGCAAGGAAACATTTCAAAAATTGTTATTTATTTATTTAAAAAAAAAAAAAAAAAAAAAAAATATATATATATATATATATATATATATATATATATATATATATATATATATATATATATATATTCATCGACTTAACAAAAACAACGCTAGCTTGCCAGTAATGTCTTTGTAATGATAGGTCTAGTGGCAACAGAGATGGAATTCTCCATCAAAAGGGCGTCAAAACAGGAACAAAACTTTATTAGCTAAGGCAATCCAAAAGAATAATCCAAGAGACAGCCAAAGGACATGAAACATTTAACAATTCTAAGCAAAGAATGAGTGTGACTGTGGTACTTTAATAGTTTATGTAAGAAGTGAGGATGATCTGCAGCTGTGTCTGTGAAATCAAGGGGTGATCTAGAACTGGTGTGTGAGTGCTGTGCATGATGGGATTTGTAGTTCGGTAAAGTGGCTGATGTTTAGTTCTTTAGCAATCTGCAAATGCTAGATTGCTGGTAATCATAACAGTAATCAGATAAAGAATTAGAAATAATAATAATAATAATAATACCTGCACTAAGGATAAATAATCCTGCGCAAGGTAAAAAAACAATCTATATGCATTTTCTCTTATGGCACCGGCCAGTCATGAAAAATATTTTTAGACCATGTTTGATTGCATTTTCTCTGCTCCTAATGCAGCCATTATTCAAGCTGAGATAGATGCAGAGAGGAGAGAAAAGCTTCATTAATCTCAAGCCACGAAAAGAGGTCATTCATACTGGCACACAGTATAGCTTCGAGCAGAAAGTATTAGCCGAGGTGCATTATGTAATCCTCTCCTATCAGCTGTTATGTGCATGGAATAGTACATCTCCATCTTAGTCATATATCACCAGGGGCCACGTCTTCTCACGTTTTCCCCAAGATATTTGCCTGCTTGCTCTCTGAGGAGTGTAGTAGCACTGTTTCTATAGCAGCACTGAGAGCTGTTATTGCGCTGAAAGTTGCAGAGACCTTGCAAATACAGACTCTCAGTAGATTATATGTGACCCTCGCTGGTCTTATGTTGCATGGGTCTATTTTAGTCAACAATACATCAATACGTCAAAATGATTGATTCTCCATTAATGCTGAAATCATTAGTACATTAAGTACAGATCATGTTACATGAAGACAATAAGTAAAAATACTTCCAGTTACAGTTAAAGTCAGATTTATTAGCCCTCCTAAATTATTAGCTCCTCTGTATGGCTATTTTTTGCCCAATGTCTATTTAACAGATTTTTTCAGCACATTTCTAAAAATAACTAATTTCTAATAACTGATTTCTTTGATCTTGGCCTTGGAGAGAGTACATATTTTTCAAGATACTAGTGTTCAGCTTAAAGTGACATTTAAAGGCTTAACTTGGTTAATTATGTTAATTATGCAAGTCATTGTATAGCGATGGTTTTGTTTGTTCTATAGACAATCGAAAAAATAAATATTGCTTATTGTGGCTAATAATATTTTTTATTAAAAACTTATTCTAGCCGAAATAAAAAAATAAGAAGAACAAATAGGAAGTACTGTGATAAATTCCAGGCAGCATGGTGGTGCAGTGGGTAGCACGTCCACCTCACAGCAAGAAGGTCACTGTTATTATCACAGGAGGGTTAATAATTTTGACTGTCAACTGTACATGTTTGTCGTATTATCATGTTTTCCTAATTTGTTGACTTTTATTGTTTCAATGTAAATACTAACCAGGGATGAGGGCTGCAAATTAGCTTCATGCTATACAGATGTGGCCTTTAGAAATGCACTTCTCAGAGAACAGAATGCCATGACTAACCGCGGTTAGTCGCAGCACACAGGGAAATTCTCTGACTCAGGAAATACATTACCAATAAGGGGCAGCCGAGCTTCAGTCTCAGTAGTGGCCAGATCTAAAGGCGGAGGACTTAACGACTGCGTGACTGTTTCCATGTGGAAGATGGAGGTGTTTTCTCCCTGTTTTGTTCATATTTGCTAAAATTTAATACATTGCTGCATCTGGGATAATTGTGTTTATTATTTTCTTATAAAATAAATAGTTTAATTTTCGACACAGTATTGTGACCTTGCCACAGGCATGGCTCTAATGCTGCGTTTACACCAGACGCAGAAGAAGCGTCAATCGCAAGAGATTTACATGTTAAGTCAATGCAAAGGTGCGAATAGACATACTGCAGCGCTATACGCGCAAATAGACGGCGCGAATGACGCAATTTGCGCAAATGAAGCGGCAGGAGTTGATCGTTTTGGGCGATTTGACGTTGGAAAAATTTCAGCAGACATTCGCGCCTCGTTAACCAATCAGGAGCTTTCCCTTGTAGGGGCCTAATTATGACGTAGCGCCTGATATTGGTGTCCCGGGGGGAAATCCTCCTGTTGACACCGACAACAGTTGATCAAACTGGGCTTGGCTCAGTCGGAAGCACAGCTGAAAGCCTCCATTATCCAGCTTAAGTTTCTGGAGGAGTTTATGAACTCACAGAGCTGCTGCACCTCTGAAAGGATCTAGTGGACTCAGATACAGCGCCTAACGTATTGACTCCGTTTTTTCAGCCTTCCTAAAGCACATAAACACAGTTATTCTCTCAGTAAAATCCAGGTTACCCATTTAGTAATAAAGCTACAGTCACCAGGCAAACAGAATCCCTGCCCATGATGCAAATCCACATCTATTGTGAAGCGGATTTGATGCGTGAGTAAACTCAAAATGTTCATGCATCTATTTGCATGCGAATAGCAGGATTTATTAAGTCATAATCACAACCCATGTGAAGTCCCATGTCAATGTCTGTTGAAGTTTACATTTTTTCAACTCAAGCAGTTTCACGCGCGTTAAGCATGTCAATCGTGCAAAACATTCAACTCGTCCCGCTTAATGCATGTAAAAAAAAAATAAAAAAAAACATTTTAAGTTATTAAATAATTTACATAAATCACTGACTTCTAGCAGCTTCTATATTTGTCTGACCTCTGACACATGTCGTAAGATGCATTCATAGTGGAAGCTCTAGTGAGATGAATATAGATAGCTACTGTAAATGTTGTACACTGGAAAAAATGATTTAAAGATGATTCCTTGAATGTAACTTTTTTATGTAAGTTAAATAAGTGGTTGTAAACAATTATTTTGGGTTGAATTTAAACAAAAAAATTTAGTTGAACATTACTAATTTAAATTTGTTTAAGTTCAACCCATATAAATTGCTTGCAACAATTTAGCAGAAACATTTTTTTCAGTGTAGAGTTGTAATGATTGACAGTCCCGTTTTAATGATAGGTAGATATAATGCCTAAAGTCAAGGCCTATGGGGATTTAAAGATTATATTTACAACATAAATTTCACATTCATGTCTGTGACAAAGCACCTCTTGCATAAATAAAGTTATGGAATATTTGATTAATTGATTGTTTGTATAAATGAGTACGAATCATGTTAAATTATGTCTATTGACATTTCTGGTGAAATTTCATATGGTATTAGCATAATTGTTCATCTCTGGATATAAGATATTTAGTGGCCGGATAGATGAATAACATAATATGCTGGCTTTGTTTTCTCCTAGTGAGAACCGTGGGAGGATATTTCCTGTGTGCGGCTTACAAGAGTTGTGAATGTTGTTTTCTGCCTCAAATGTTGGCTGTAAGTTATTTTACTGTCAGATGGATTTTATGGGAGGATAATGGAGCTGGTAATGGAGGTTTTACTGTGGTCATGGATGATGATCATTCTAGTCAACGATGACGCTAATGATGGTCACTGGCTTTTAGCAGAAATATGAGCTCATTGCTAATGTTTAGATAATGTACTACACACAACTTTTTGCTTATATAAATTGTTTGTTAATTAGTGTGAGAGATGGGCCGTTGCTGGATAACAATGAGAGATGTGGGCATATATAGAAGGGCTTAAAAAAGCAGGCTGATAGCTTTTAGCCTCATCACAGCCATTATCTGTGATTTCATTTCCTGTTTGGTTTGTGGGAGTAGCATTCTCTTTCTAGACTGCGTTTAATTGGGCAAAAATCCATGCAATACAGCTTAAGTCATCGCTATTTTAGGAACCTTTTCCCAGAAGATAAAGAATTTTTTATTATTAGCATTTGAAAGGCTTCATGTGTGCATTAAAGCCACAAACTCGGCTTTTGATATGTTAAGAAAAAGTCATCATTGAGCCATCCTTGTGTTCTGATATGTTCCTAAAAAAGGTTTTCTTTTTTGTCAATAGTGTTAATGTCTGTTTGGGTTCAGTGTGCAAAATGAGCTTAAATAAACTAATCTGAAGTTTTTTTGAAGTAACTTGATTGCTATTAAAAAGTAATAATCCAACATTTGTCATCTTATCAAATAATAATAAAAAACTGATTATATAAAATTCAACACAAACCCCAAACTCTCTCCTAATGTTCAATTAGGTTTAATATTTGAGTTTTTTTATGGGCAATTGCTTTAGATATTGTAAGAGATATTGAGTGATAGAAAAGAGCCAGTTCATGGAAAGAGGTCTGCATTCCCACAGCAAAATTTCCGAATAAATTTCTAAAAAACACGCAGTAAGGGTCGGTAACCCTGGTGTAATTTAACCCTGGTTGTCTAGCAATATAGCGTTATTAACCCAATGTTATTATTCCAACCTTATTTCGGAGCAGCATATGATTTCCTCATATTTGTTGAGCACCAGTGCAGCCAGTGTGCACGACTGTTACACATGCTGAACGGATGACTAGTGCTTTCTCCACACTTTTTTTTTCACAGTCTGTGCGTGCATCATATGCATAACAGTCCTCAGAGCAGGCTTTACCACATGAAAGAGCAAAGTGAAGAAAACTGACATTTAGCCTACAATCCTTGCACAACCTACTGTTTTATCTGTTATCTCTATCTCTTTTGCTAGTATCCAATTTAAACATGAGATTTTGGAAACCAGATCTGAATTTGGTGCGCATAATAAAACCTTGTGGGAGTGGGACATGACAATTTTTCCCACGCAGACCTCTAGTTCAGGGGATTTACCTGGGCAAATGTAGCTTTTTTTAATAAAATAAATTACAATTCTAATTAACCTTGAATTATCTTAATTCATATTTAGATTCAATTTTAATTTAAAGGGAAAAAAATAATTTAAAGAGAAATAAATTATTTAGATCAATAAGTAATCTTTAGAGAACCGATAAAAGAATTTAAATAGAAAAAGAGAAAAAATTTAAATAAAGTAATTTATACATTTTTGATTTTTTTTTCTGAAATAAGGAAAGTATTTAAAGATATAAATTACTGAAAGAAAGAAAGAAAGAAAGAAAGAAAGCATTTAATTAGACTTGTTTAATTTTTTTATATCATATGTATATTGTACAATTATTAAAAAAAAACATTTAAATATAAGCTGAAATGTCTGTTTGTGCAAAGGTAAGTTTCACTTGCTTTTTTTGGCTAAAGTAATCGTTTCACTATAACATTGAATTTACAAACTAAATGATCAAAGAAAATGATCTCAGTGAGTCTGTCTGAATAAATTATGACATCTTTTTTTTTATTTTTGACTTAACTGTTCTCTTTAAGACCATGAATGGATGTCTATTTAGTTGCTTGAATGGACTAACAGCATTTCTTTGCTCAAAGCACACTAACAAATACAGAAAAGCGGTGTCAAATAACAGGACGGATCAATGCATGCATGCCTGCTAAATATTTCAGCCGTGGCTCTCAGGTTGCCGTCATTGAACGGCCATGGTGTAAACGCAGTAGTCCGCAGTGTTACTTTGCTCTTGAAATGGCTGGTGTTTCTCTGTGCTGCCAGATGCTTGCGCTACAGCTCTTGCTTGAGTTCTGCTTTTACTGGGCTGTGACTGTCTGTTGTTTCTTCGCATCTCAGGCGTTTCTCCAATCATGTGAAATTTCTGGGCCTCTGGATTCAAATTCATTTCAAGCTACATGTCTTTCTCTTTCTTTCTTCTTTTCTCTACCTTTTCCTTCCTTCTGCTCATCCTTTTCTGTCTGGTTCTCTCTGAACTCTTTATCTGTCACCCCCTTGCCCCTTCCACCCCCCGACAGACATATCCGATTACAAGAACCATAACAATAATGGCCAAGCTCTCAATCAAAGAGGTGATTTCTCCACAGTGACCAATGCTATGACTGGGATGAGCCCCTCTCCATCACTCTCTGCCCTGTCCAGCCGGGCCGGTTCCATTAGCAGCCTGCACGATCGCATCATGTTCAGCCCCGGGAGCGAAGAAGCCATTGAGAGACTCAAGGTGACTTGAAAACCCTCAAAATAGAGATCTGACGAATGTCAGCTCTATAACTGACTGCAGGTTAGACGTTGGCTGTTAGAGGCGTGGCATTCTCCTTGTAGACAACATTTAATTGGACAGAAATACAGTTTAGTGCAGTATGAGTCATCAGATTTTTAAACATGTTCTTTTGGGAGAGAAATATGTTTTATTTTTTTTTTTCTGCATTAGTGTGCACTATTTTTTTTTCACTATTTTATTTTTTTTCACAGGATGCACACTACAGTTATAGATTATGACACCTGTCATTATTATTATATTCTATATTTTTAGTGTATAGTAAAAGTACAACAAAAACTATGATTATTCAAATTTTTTAATGGAAAATTTAATGTGACCAAGAGAGCTTTAACGTGCTTCAATTAAGGAAAATGCATGCAAATACAAAAAAACAAAAAACAGCAAATGAATAAAAGCTCTTCTTCAGTTTTTTTTCTGCAGAGTTTTGCTTCAGCCCTAATCAAACATCAGCTGTTTGAGTAGGGTTGGAGCAAAACTGTGGAGAGCTGTGGCCCTCCGGGAATCCAGTTTGAGATCCATAAGTCATCACTTAAACCATTAGTTATGAGAATTAACCATCTTCATTTAAACAGCTTAATCCATTTGATGCATAGAACTCCATTTAAACTTTTTAATAGATAACTTCAGCCTTTTGTGACGGACCCGGCTATTTAGGTTATAATTATTTAGGCTGATAATATTCAAAATACAAGGGATTTGTGTGATCAGGATGTTAAAATAAACAACAACAAAAATTATATAACTTTTCAATGATCACCTACAACTTTAGCAAATGTCATGATAAAATAGGCAAATCCCAGTCGAATTCATCATGTTTTTGGTGTGTCCGTAAAAAGAACGGAAAGGTTCAAGGACTAAAACCACAAATACAAATGAAAAAAATTGTATACTTTGAAATAAAAAAAGAAAATGATAACAAGCCAACAAAAGAAAATTACTAAATCTTGAAAAAAATAAAACTGAAAATACAAAAATTAAACATAATTCAAAAGATGTAATTTAATTAAAGATAATTCCAAACTTTATAAATACTACAACTATTTGCTAGCATTTAAAATTAGTATTTTGATTGAAAATAATACATTCTTACATATGTCAATAATAAATAGTTTATGTAACATCAAACTCTACTCCAGTCATATTTATTTTCACATTTTTATTCTTTTTAAAAAATTAAATTATGTTTACATTATTACATTACCCAAAAGCTTAATTGACATTACCTGTATAAAGATGCAGAGATGCCTCACATTATTAAATCTAAGAAACCATCATAGACTTGGTGTCATATTTTAACTTTATGGTTTACTATGCCATCTAGGAAACTGAGAAAATCATTGCAGAGCTCAATGAAACATGGGAGGAGAAGCTTCGCCGTACAGAGGCCATCAGGATGGACAGGTCTGGTGTTTGAAGCCTAATGTGACTGATAACCAACTTTACATGATGTATATCTAACAAACATATGCAAGTTTGACTTAAAAAAAATCTAAATTGGTTTTCACAGAGAAGCACTTCTGGCGGAGATGGGTGTTGCCATGCGTGAGGATGGAGGAACTCTTGGAGTCTTTTCCCCAAAAAAGGTAAAGGGAATATAAAGGATTTAGAGAAACCGTATGCAAGTGGACCACAAATTAAGCATAATATGTCATGCTCAAATAATCAAACAAGTCTGTGAATGTCTTTACGTTCCTTTTCTGGAAGCCCTCACAGAGAAAACCTCAGCCTGTTTTTATAGACACTGTTGGGCTGTTCTCTCCCAATGAGGTTGGTCGTCATGTATTCTGTGTGGTTGATCCTGATCGCTTCTCTCAGACTGTATTAAAGTACCTCTGTGTGTTCTTTCCCCATCAGAGCTCTTTTAAACACATCTGTGATCTTTATTTAGGGATCTCTTGCTGATTACTGTCTGATCTGGATGTTGATGTGCTGCAATTCCTTCTGGTCTTTATAGTAAACTTTAAAGCAGCCGCTGTACCACTTTACAGCAGACTTCAGATCTTTATTAAAGGATTTCTGTCTGGAGTCTTATATCGAAATCAAATTGCATGCTTTTTGATGAATACTGAATTTGGAATTTAAGGCAGTCTTAATGAAATCTTTGACTTTCATTTGTCTCTTTTCAAGGTCATCTAAACCCATTTTGAAAGTGCTTGCAAGGCAATGCTATGTTGCTTTTCTTCAATCAGTTTGGCTGAGGTTTCTTTTAAACTATTAGTTATTAGAATGAACCATCTGCATTTAAACAGCTTAATCCGTTTGATGCATAGAACTCCATTCAAACTTTTTAATAGATAACTTCAGTCTTTTGTTCCTTGTTTGCTTTTTCATATATATATATATATATATATATATATATATATATATATATATATATATATATATATATATATATATATGATTTTTGCCTCTGTCATGATATGCAGGCACAGAGAGAAGAGGAAAGGCTTGCTTCAGGATGCCAAAGTCACTGTATAAAACTGAAGTGCTCAATTGTGTTAATAGAAAGATCTCAAAAAGAAAACAAACATCATTAAAAAGACAATAGTTTAAAAGGAACTGAACTAAATAGGTCTTGAGACGAAGAACCATATAAGTCCATATGTTCAAATTTTAAGTAATACGATTTTTTATTTGGATTGTGAACATTATAGTATTTATTTTTATTTCAATTGAACATAGACAACAAAAACTTCTCAATTGTAAGGACATAACATTTTCCGCAACAGTATTAAAATTCAAATGTTATTGTGTATTGTATTTCTCAAATATGGAAGAACAGTAGAGTATATGTACAGTTAGTGTGGAATAACTCCAATTCATCGTATCACTTTCAACCTCTAAAGATCTGATTCCTTTATCGTAGTTTTAAGACAATAACAGACAATTCAAGTCAATATTAAGCATTTCTTTCAAGTTTATTATTATTATTAATAAAAAACTAAATACAGTATGAACAATGTACTATACATAGACCTTCTTACAGTACAGGCTGTAACAATCAATTATTTACAATAAACAATGAATAAATAAATAAATAAATACAGCAATAAATACATAAAATGCAGACATACATCATAGCTAAATGTTGTTTTTTTAGAAATGTATATGCTGCTTCAAGCTGTTCTCACAATCCACCACCTCACAAAATAAATAAACAAATAAATAAATAAAGTTTTTGTGGTCCTTAGCGCTACTCAGCAGGTTCAGAGAGAGAAAGATCACATCACATATACTGTTCTTCCACTCACCTCTTTCGGTTGATTTTTCCCTGGTTTTTGTTCTCCTTTTCGATTCAAATATGGTTTCCCAGCATCCGTCAAAGCCTTCCTTACTCTGTCCTTCCATTTGTTCATATTGGTTATTCTCATTTTGCAAAGGGATTTGCCTTTTAATGTTTAAAGCGGACATGACAGCAAGTGGCAGCTCTATTCTTCTTAGTGGACAAAAACATTTTTTTACACATGAAGCTATTATAATGTTTAGAATGTAGGCTTTTGGTCACACAAAAATATCTCCAAACTCTTTCTGTATACACACATACAATTAATGTCACATGGTTATCTCATTTTTATTTTTTATTTTTGGACTAATACTTTTGTTCATTGCACACACTTAATTGATTAAATTCATAAGGAACAGGTGGACACAATAAATAGCCATGACGGCATAGAAGCACATACTAAAGGCCAGCTCACACTGTGCAATTTTTATTTATTTATAATTTTTTTTTATGATCCTAAACGACTGTAGCATGTCAAGACTGCACGAACATGGCTGCCATGTCACACTGCAAGATCTCAGCTGTCATAAAGTCAGATGTAAACAAACGTAAACAATCGGTAGCTGCAATTTTGCACACGGCGTGTCTCAATAATAAAACCTGGAAGAAAAAAATAGTTTTGACATTTTCCCGTGGTCATTTGAGTTGTCACATGGATTGCGTCATCAAATTCGGAGCTCCTATTGGTTTTTGAATTGACGCTCATCTCCGCTGTTGTCACACCGCAGTAAAGTGTCTGAAATCTCCTGACACTGCCAGAACTTCATCTGAGGAAAAATCTGATGGCACTTAGCGGCTGTCTATGAACATGTCAAACCAACAAACCACAGATTCTAGCCTAGGATTTCAGGAATCTTTTAGAATTTCCCAAATTTGTCTCAGATGACAAAATTGTGGCTAAAATCTCACAGTGTGAGCAGGGCTTTAAGTCACGGTAGTTATCTATAGGTTAAGACTGGAACGACCAAAATTACTAGAATGGCCATGTACCATTTATATAAGACTGTGCCGAATTGATTGTTTTTAAATGTCTTATATACATTTGAAGTTTCTATTGAGAATAAACGTCATATTTTATAAACTTTAAAAATACTTCTTTTAATGAAACCTATAATTGTGCCTGTAAAGGTGCATCACTCACCTTGTCCTGCAAGCAGGAGATCAAAATAATTCTCACATATTTTTGTTAGTAGAATTCAAAGGGACAAAGGCACAACAAACTAAGAAAGACATTTAGATTTCACAGGAGTGCTAATAATTTTGCCTTCAAATATATTGTAAAGTCATCCTTACTCTACATTATTACCACATTCTCTTCCCAACAGCAACCTGTCACTCATATGAGAATGCAACAATTATTAAATGATCCAATTATATATTCAGGTCCTGAGAGACAATATCATATTTTATTTTATTTTTTTATCAACATTTAATCTAATTTCACTTGCTGCCTTGCAAGCACTGGTTCTTCAGTAACTACCGAAATAGTTGAGCTTATTACATTGATTTGAAATATATTTGGGCCCTCGTTACAGACTCCCCACCTAGTGAATCTCAATGAAGATCCCTTGATGTCTGAATGTCTTCTATACTACATCAAAGATGGGATTACCAGGTTAGTGCCAATCCGACCTAGATACACCACGTATGTGTTTGTATTTAATAGAATTGGTACAAATGTGTCTTGCTTTTTGCTTTGATCAGGGTGGGCAGAGAAGATGCCAGTAGTCGGCAGGACATTGTTCTGAGCGGACACTTCATTAAGGAGGAACATTGTACTTTCACCAGCACCACTGGACCAATGGGAGAAGGTTTGATAATGATGCAGCTACAAACTCGCATAGCTGTATATGTTAAGTATATGCTACAGTCTCTATTTATGTCCTTCTTGTTGTTTCCAGCTGTCATTCTTGAGCCATGTGAGGGAGCAGAAACATATGTAAATGGCAAGAGAGTCACAGAACCCACTGTTCTCAAATCAGGTCTGATTACATTTCTTTGTGTTTTTTTTTCATATCACCATCCCTGACCTCTTTCATCTCACATGTTCACCAAATTGAACACAGTCCAAGTGATAATGAAGTCTTGACATAATAGTTCATGGTAACCATCCAGGTCTAGACTTTATGTGAAACATGATGTGATCTGTCAATTAGAATGTCTTTCATTATTGAGTGCTTCCTTAAGCAGCTTAGATACTGCTATAGTAGTTCAATAATACAGTTACTAGTACAGTAAACAGTTACTGTAATTAAATTACAGTTCTACTGATGAGGCAATGTAAGATAATTTTTTAGGTATATTTGAGGTACTTATACTATACTTGCCTTAAAAACTTTATTTGACGGTTTTGTATAGATCAATTCAGAGAGGCAATCATATTTTTTGGATACAGATATATTTTCCTGAATAATTATCAAATTTTTTAGCCAAAGAAGTTTACATTTATCATGACTAGTTGCACATGTGTAGGAAACAATGAATTGACTAAGAAGGGCGCAGTAGGTAGTGCTGTCGCCTAACAGCAAGAAAGTCGCTGGGTCACTGGTTCGAACCTCAGTTGCCGTTTCTGTGTGGAGTTTGCATATTCTCCCTGCGTTTGCGTGGGTTTCCTCCGGGTGCTCCGGTTTCCCCCACAGTCTAAAGACATGCGGTATAGGCCAAATTGTCCGTTGTGTGTGTGTGTGTTTCCCAAAGATGGGTTGCGGCTGGAAGGGTATCCACTGCGTAAAAATGTGCTGGATAAGTTGGTGGTTCATTCCACTGTGGCGACCCCTGATTATTAAAGGGACTAAGCCGCCAAGAAAATGAATGAATGAATGAATTGACTAAGAAATGTATTACTTTGGTACAGTATGCACAAAATATGATGTCATTACATTGAAATGTTAAAACATGTTTAACACATATAGTGTTTCTAATTTCTTAAATATTTTTAAATAAAGCTAAAGAACCTGTTTGACTCCAATTTGGAAAAAAAAAGTTTAAGTTTCATTTCTATTGCCTATGCGTTGACATTTTTATTATTGAATAATGTAATTAAATTCCTTTTCAAACAAAGTCATTAGAAAAGTAATTGAAATACAATTTTAATGATGCATTTAGTAATCAATAATTAATTACTTCTTTGAAGTAACTTACCCAACACTGGAACAAGATCTGGCTTCCATATCTTCAGACTTTTGATCAAATTTTACCACATTGGCCAAAAGAGAGTCAACCTTTTTCTGCAGTACTGTGATATCATCCGGAATTATGGAAAGGGATCCATATCCTTCATATTGTCTGTTACATCATTTAACATTCAGTTGTATTCCCTTACTATAAAGTATAAGCAGAAGCATGCAGGAGGAATTTTAACTTGTCAGTAACCAGGGTTAAATGCTTCCAGTGAACTTTGGTAAAAAAGTTGGTGTGTTTAAGGTCTGTTTTGTTCAAAAAATCAACGATCTTCACTGTCTAAATGATATACACTATAAAGTGGGTCTCAGAATGTACCAGAAGTACTGCATTAAATTACATTTTTTCCACGCCATGTCTTTCAAGTATTTAAATTTATTTTACTTCAGTATTTACAATGGCATTTCTGCGCTAGCCTGCTGATCCGGCTGGGCATGTGCAAGTAAACGCTTTTCATCTCAGTTTACGCTTCAACAACAAAATGAATGCTGAAGTCTATATAACTGATTATATTCGAATTACACTAGAACATCAATGCTGTAAAAGGAACTATAAACATGGAAAAGTCACATTAACCATTCGTAGTGTAATAATTCAGCACAAATTAGTTTCATTTAATTGTTTTTACAAATGTAAGGTATTGAACATAAAACAATTAAGTTTTCCCAAAAAACTCAGAAATTTTGTTGTTTCAGCTTATTTTAAATAAATAGTTTGAACAGATGTTCTCCCTGCATGTTTTCCCTGCGTTCGCGTGGGTTTCCCCCAGGTGCTACGGTTTCCCCCACAGTCCAAAGACATGCGGTAAAGGTGAATTGGGTTGGCTAAAATGTCTGTACTGTATGAATGTGTATGTCAGGGGTGTCCAAACTCGGTCCTAGAGAGCCAGTGTCCTGGAGAGTTTAGCTCAAACCTTAATCAAACACACCTGAATTAGCTAATCAAGCTCTTACTAGATATCCTAGAAACATCCTGGCAGGTGTTTTGAAGCAAGTTGGAGCTAAACTCAGCAGGACACCGGCCCTCCAGGACCGGGTTTGAACATCCCTGGTGTATGTGAATGTCTGTGTGGATGGGTTGCGGCTGGAAGGGCATCCGCTGCGTAAAAACTTGCTGGATAAGTTGGCGGTTCATTCCACTGTGGCAACCCCGGATTAATAAAGGGACTAAGCCGACAAGATAATGAATGAATGAATGAAGTTTGAACAGATTAAATTATATATTTTAAAGTTTTTCCCAAGTGCTATTTATTAGAGATCTTTTTAAACAATCATTTTAGTAACTCATTTCTTATATCTATTTTTTGCCATGGTGACAAACAGATATACATGATATACATGATCTTTTATTTTTATTGTGCAAGATTTGCTTAAAGTCCGGTTTAAAGGCTTAACTACACTGCACTAAAAAAAAGCTTTTTTTTGTTTGTTCAAACTACTTATTTTAAATAAGCTGAATCAACACAATTCTTGAGATTTCATTGGGACAACCAAAAATTTGTGCTCAATCCACATAAATGTGTTAAAAGTGTTAAGTTAACTTAATCGACTTGTGTTGGGACAACATGAATGAATTGTGTGGAACAGAATTCATTCTTTTTGTCCCAACACAAATCGGATGAAGCTCAAGTATGCAACAAATGAACGGAACCAAACCAATTTAAATAAAAAAAATGCAAAAAGATAAATTTATTTAAAGGTTAAAAAACAAACAAATGATAAAGTGCAAAGGGGTATCAAAGTAAACCATATTTAAATTAAATATCTAACATAACATAATGTTCAAAACAACAAAAATAACATAAGAGCAAATTCCAAAATAAACAACAATAATATAAGCAGTGGGTAAGCCAAAGGAAGTCATAGGAAAAACGATCCTGCAAAGAAAATCTCTCGAATGCACCTTTGCAGCTCCTTAAATAAGCCATAAGATTGGCTGCACCTGCTCCTAATGATTCACCTATAAAGAAAAAGAAAAAACAGGAAACAGAACAAACCAATCAAACCTATAACAGTGTTTCATTCATCATTTTTTATTGTAATTTGTTTATTTTGTTTGTTCATTTTTTATGAATAATTATATTTCAAAACACTTCTGAAATTGTTCAAATGTAAATGTTTATAAATTAATTTTGAAATATGCTTTTTTTTTATTTATTCTGACTCAATTTTTGTAGGCAACCGAATCATTTTGGGCAAGAGCCACGTGTTCCGCTTCAACCATCCAGAACAGGCCCGTCAGGAACGTGACCGAACCCCCTGCGCTGAGACCCCAGTGGAGCCGGTAGACTGGGCCTTTGCTCAGAGAGAACTGCTGGATAAACAGGGCATTGACATGAAGCAGGAGATGGATCAGAGGTAAAGAAAAAGTGGAGGAAACTGGTTCAACTTCAAGATCTCACATTTGCGTTGTTCGACTTATCAGCTGTTTCTGTATTCAGACTGCAGGAACTTGAAGATCAGTATCGCAAGGAGAGAGAAGAGGCCAACAATCTACTGGAGCAACAGAGACTAGTATGTGTCATAAACATCATAAAAAATAAATACGTTTTCTTTACAAATAATGCTACATTTTAGTAGAGCAAAATGGCACTTTTTTGTATTTATTTTATAGGATTATGAGAGCAGGTTAGAGGCTCTGCAGAAACAGGTCGATCGATGTTATCCTGACGCAGCAGAGGAAGATGAAGAGCCTGAGGAGGAAGGTGAGATAGCTAAATTATGAAAACAAAATAAGATAAGATGTGGTTTGTTGATTAATAGACAGTAAACGGTGTAGAAAAATATAGTTATAAATGTATAAAGTTTGATACATAAATATGGAGTCTGATGTCTGAATTTGTGTGTGTGCATTTTGAATATTGTTTGTATTCACTGTCTTTAACCCAATAGTGCAATGGACGGAGAGGGAGACGGAACTGGCAATGTGGGCTTTCCGCAAATGGAGATGTTATCAGTTTACATCCCTTCGAGATCTTCTTTGGGGCAATGCCATCTTCCTTAAAGAGGCCAATGCCATTAGTGTGGAGCTAAAGAAGAAGGTGAAAGCTTTAGTAAAAGAACCGGATCCTTTCATTGAACTAGAATATGACAGCATCATAACTGTCTGTGCCTAATGTCTCTTACAGGTTCAGTTCCAGTTCGTGTTATTGACGGACACACTTTACTCTCCTCTTCCGCCTGACCTGTTACCGCCTGAAGCAGCTAAAGACAGAGAGAAAAGCCCATTTCCACGCACCATTGTAGCTGTTGAAGTTCAAGATCAGAAAAACGGAGCCACGCATTACTGGACCCTGGAAAAGCTCAGGTTATTTTTACATTTTTTTTTTTCAGATTATTTCACATTTTTACATATTTCATACATCATTCATTCATTTTCTTTTCGGCTTAGTCCCTTTATTAATCTGGGGTCACCACAACAGAATGAACCACCAACTTATCCAGTATATGTTTTACGCAGCGTGTGCCCTTCCAGCTGCAACCCATCACTGGGAAACGTTCATACTCACTCTTTCACACACATACAATTTTTAGAAACCCACACAAACATAGGGAGAACATGCAAACTCCACACAGAAATTCCAACTGACCCAGCCGTGGCTCGAACCAGCAATCCTCTTGCTGTGAGGCAACATTGCTGCATATTTACATATTTTGCATATTTATCTTTGACAATGGAAACTTTAGATGTTGAGAATAAGCTCATTTAAAACAGGCTGTTTACACTCATACTGATTGGATATTCTGCAATTATTTACTATACCTTTAATTGTTTCAAACCTTATATCGTTTTTGAGATGTTTTTGGCATACAAACCATAAAAGAAAATTAAGTGTAATGAAAATCACCATCGCATTCTATTTGATCTGTAATTCATGTGTGCTCACCAAACACTGTTTTGTGCTTAATCACCACTAAGTCAAGTTTTATTTTAATTTTCAATTCAGTTCTATTCCATATAGCGCTTTTGCAATGTAGAGGGGCCACAGTGGAATTAACCGCCACCAACTTATCCAGCAAGTTTTTACGCAGCGGATGCCCTTCCAGCCGCAACCCATCTCTGGGAAACATCCACACACATTCACACACACACTCATACTCTAAGGACAATTTTGCCTACCCAATTCACCTGTATTGCATGTCTTTGGACTGTGGGGAAAACCGGAGCACCTGGAGGAAACCCACGCGAACACAGGGAGAACATGCAAACTCCACACAGAAACACCAACTGCGCCGAGGCTCGAACCAGCGACCTTCTTGCTGTTAGGCGACAGCACTACCTACTGCACCACTGCTTCGTCATACAAGATCATAGTAAATTGAAACAGTTCGGTTTTCAGAGTTTAAGTTCAGTTCAGTTCAGTGTGGTTTAATATTCACTGCTGAGAGTCAAAACACAGCAGAGTATTCGATGCACAGCTTTACAAGTCCCGAACTTTGCAACCCAATGGTTACAGTTTTACTGTAACTTCAGCAGCTCAAGGCATGTGGACAAAAGTGGCAATCTCACTATTGTCAAGCCTGAGGTGTTTGGGTTGTTAGAAATACATTTTCATTTTCTTTTCGGCTAAGTCCTTTATAAATATGGGGTCGCCACAGAGGAATGAACCACCAACTTATTCACTACGGACAATTTAGGCAACCCAGTTCACCTGTACCTCATGTCTTTGGACTGTGGGGGAAACCGGAGCACCCGGAGGAAAGAAATAATCCGTTATAATAGAAATAATTATACTTTTTATTTTTTCTGTGTGGCATTTTGTGATTTGGTGTGTAGATTCACGTTGGTGCAATGTGTTTAATCATGAGGGGATAAAGTTGGTGTTAATCGTGCACAAAAATTATTCTGGGATGCATTGTTCTTTACCCTGAAACCTTGTCACAAATGACAATCCCAACTTTTGTTTTCTTTATCGTTATATTGTGTTTGATCAACTATTTCAAAACACATTGATCATGAAGATTTCAGGGGACATCTGACTTAGAAAATTGTTCCCCCAATAACAATATTTCTGGAAAATATTGTGAATTTCACTTTTCAGAAGAATATTTATGAGCAATTTCATACTCATAGCACTGTGATATGGTTATATGGTATATCAGCACCGCTGTGATGCATGCATAGGTGATGTTTTTTTTTTTTTTACAGCCAATAAAAATAATCAGCTGAAAAGTGAAAATTTTCTCCTTTTTTTTATATATTATTTTCTATATAACCCTTTTGTTCTCTTAAAACATGATCAATTGAATAAAGATGTTTTGAAATATGTGTACCTGAATCTTCAAACACCATAAACTGTTTGAAAAATGGGATTGATATTTTTTTTGCTTGAGGTTTCTCATTTAATATTAGAGTAGATATTGTAGATTTCTCCATCACAGTTCTAGTCAATTTGAAGTAGATCAAAAACATTGTTAAAAATTGTAAAATGATTATATAACAAACATATATGTAATTGGATAAAGTAATCTTAAATGCATAACTATATTTTATTGTAACTATAACTATAGCTATATAGTTATTGTAAAGAAATTGGAATTTCTAATGCACATTCAGTCTTAGAAATAATTTGATTGAAACTACAAAGTCTACAAATGTTGACTTCTATGCAAAAATTGATGTGTAATGGTGCCCCCTGCAGGCAGAGACTGGATCTGATGAGAGAGATGTATGATCGAGCTGCTGAGGTGCCCAGCAATGCTGTTGAAGACTGTGACAGTGTGCTGACCGGAGGAGATCCTTTCTACGACCGCTTTCCCTGGTTTCGTCTGGTTGGAAGGTCAGTTATAAGGTCACATCTGAGCATGACAAGACAGAGTAACATTAGCTGGTGTTTAGTACAGTATGCCTCTTCACACTGCCTAATAAATGTCAACAAAACATTATCATCATCAGTACTGTCCGATTATTCTCATCAAGGTATACTTGTTTTTGATTAGTCTACTGAATATGTAATTAATTTAATTCTCAGTATGTTTTTCATAGTAGTTTATAAAAATCTATTTCTTAGTGATAGCAACAGAAAAATTTGAGTAAATAAAAATGAAGCTCTGGGGTATATGTAATATTGCTTATTCATCTGAGGATTAAGTCCAGAATTATTGCCCTCATGTCTTTTAGTAGTGTAAACTTTTGATATTGCTTTAATCAGAAGAGCATGAAATCGATTTTTATATGCTCTTGAAATTCAGGTCACACACTTCTCTTTTGCCCTGTCTGTTTCTGAGCTGTATGATCTCCTCATAATCTTGCCTTTACTACTGTATATCTTAAAAGATGTGTTTGTCCCCCCAAAAAAGGAAATTATTCCTCCCTCATGTTGTTCCAAGCCCATATGACTGACCAGTTTATTGTAAAAAGATATCTCACACCCAGTTAGGGTGCCTGTTAAGCTATTAAGTTGATCAAGAAGTTGGTCTATTAAAGCTATTACATGACTTTAGAAGATGTTGTTTTTGAAAGATATAAAAAATAATTTTTACAATCCTTTATACATTGTGCTCATTTGTGTCCATCATATACAGTTGGTTGAAACAAAAATTTGAAGGTACAATTTAAAACTGTAGCTTTTTGTGTTCTAAAGAAGTCAAGTAGGTTAAAACAACATGATTACCATTTAATACTTTATTAAAGCTTTGTGAACTATACAATGTTTACTATCATTCAAAAGTATGGGGTTCACACATTTGTATTTATTTTTTTTAAAGCTGTATCACCTAGACTACATTTATGTGATCTAAAAATGTATAAAAATAGTAATAATGGGACATTTTCTCATAGTTATTGAAATATTTTAAGCCGTTGCGTCACTATTGTTACTTTCAAAATCATTCCAGCTGATTTGGTGCTTGAGAAATACATTACTTAAAACAAAAAAACAAAAAATAGCATCGTCAATTAAAGAAATAATTTATTTAAAATAAAAAAAATTAATAGAAATATATGCTTTACTGTCACTTTTGATTAATAAAATATCAATTTTGTTTTCTTACTGATTCCAGACTTTTGAATGATTCTTTCTCAGAAATAAAGGTTCAAAAACCTTTTCAAAATATGCATGTTTGAACCAAAATGGTCGTTATTGGTATCTTGAATGTACATAGTCACACCTCAAAAATGCTGAAGTCTACCTTTTGAAAAGGTGCTGCTCCTCATACCTTTATTTCTGTGGTTTTGTGTTAATATTTGCTATTCTTAACAGAGCCATGTTATGCTGCCTGTTCCTGATCACATTCCTGATCAGTATTTTTAGGTTCTGTATGACTTATTCATCCGTGACCAAGCTACAAGTTGGCCAATTAGAAGTGTTTACTCACCCATTTGCGAGCAGAAGCAATTAAATAGATAGATGCCTCCCCCTCATACTAACTGGGCTCCCGTGTCTTTGGCTATACCAGAAATCCCCTTTTCTCCACATGCCTTAGTGAGCAAGCCAGCGACCCCAACTCCTCCCCCACCCCCTCTGAACCCACCTCCACCTCTGAACTCACCGAGCTCGTCCAGTCATGGCCAGACAAGAAGGTGGGGACAGAGCTGGATGACGATGGTTTCTTATCAGACGACCCGTGCTCGGATTTAGAGGAGGAGGGGGAGGATGATGATGATGATGAGGTTGATGATGACGAAGAGCTCTGCAGAAGCTCCGGCAAAGCTGAGGACCCGTTTTATGATCGTTCACCATTGTTCAGTGTAGTAGGAAGGTTGGTGAGGTTTCAGGAGGATGCTGGGAAAGGAAACTAGCTCTTTCACACTGAGACTGGGTTGTTGTGCAACTTTGCCTTTTAACAATGTTATTGCACAGCACTCACTAAGACTATATTTTTTATATTTAATTATGTATTTATTATATCTATGATGTGGCTGTTTTGCTTATACATTATGACTGTACTTGCATTTGTTTGACACAGAGGTGAAAAAAGCCAGACATATGAAAATAGCATAATAATGAACACACAGACATCGTGAGTGAAAGTTTTCTATACTTGGAGTTGTTTGGGTTTTTTTTGCCCTAAAAGAACTTTTTTTACAGTTCTCAGAACTATTGATCTAAGTATTTGCTTTGTGACATGTTTGCAGCGCAAAAACTGGAAGCAATTTGGTGTTCTAGAAACATCAACTGGGGCAATGTTAGCTCGTATTTCAGTCAAATGTCTAATCTAGCACAATAGGAACTACAGTGATGTACTGTAAGTTGATTTAAAGCTATTTTAAAGTGTCGTGAGACATACACATTGAGAGACCTTTACCACTTTGTCTTTGTCTGTGGCATTGCATTTCTCAGCACAAGATGTCAAAGCTGGTTTTAGTCTTAATTTTTTTGTTGCATAACTTATACATCTATGCTCCTTCCCCATTATTATAAAACAAGACGAACAATGAAATGTTGACAACCTTCATTCTCCCATTGTGGATTTTCTTTTTTGTTAAATGCAGCATTTGATATCAGACTTGGTCTGCTTGCATTACTTCAGATTTCCTGTTGATGGTGTGAATAAGGCAGACAGTACATGAGAAATTAGTTCTCTGGGAATTGGACTTGGAAAGAGTTACACCAGCTGTTTGAAAAGTTGATTTACCTGGTGTGTAAATTCTACACTTCTTTGTCAGAATATCATCAAAAAGGACTTGTGATAGGGAATTAGCTTTTTACAGCATGCCATGTACAGTATAACATCAGTGTTGTTTTATTGTGGTTACATTCATGAACATGAGCACTGTGTAAATACTCAGTATACATTGTACTTTGAGTTTTCTTGAACTAATAATGTAACATAGTAAGTTGTTTTAACTCTGAGAATTAGGTTGAAAAAATAAACAATCATTAGTTAAATACAGTTAAAGTCAGAAATATTAGCCCCCCTGTTTATTTTTTCCCCGTTTTCTGTTTAACAGAGAGCAGATTTTTTTTTCCAACACATTTCTAACCATAATAGTTTTAATAACTCATTTCTAATAACTGATTTATTTTTTCTTTGCCATGATGACAGTAAATAATACTTGACTAGATATGTTTTAAGACACTTCTGTACAGCTTAAAGTGACATTTAAAGGCCTAACTGGGTTAATTAGGTTAACTAGGCAAGTTAGGGTAATTAAGCAAGTTATTGTATAACGATGGTTTGTTCTGTAGACTATCGGGAAAAAAATAGCCTAAAGGAGCAAATAATTTTGTCCTTAAAATGGTGTTTAAAAGATTGAAAACTGCTTTTATTCTAACCGAAATAAAACAAATAAGACTTTTTCCAGAAAAAAAAAAATTATCAGACATACTGTGAAAATTTCTTTGCTCTGTTAATCATAATTTGGGAAATATTTAAAAATGAGAAAAAAATGCAAAGGAGGACTAATAATTCTGACTTTAACTGTATATTGTAAAACTCAAAATTATGAGTTTTCTTAAACTGTTAATGTAACATGGTAAGTTGTTTTAACTCAGAGAAATAAATTAAAACAATGAATGAGCAGTAGTTAAGTATAATGTGAAACTCAACATCTTAAGTTGAAACAAATAATCTCTTTAGTTGAGTTGACACACAATTTTAAGGCAGCTGGTGAACTTGAGTTTGTATGCTTAAAGGTGAAACGTTTTAGAGTCTAGAGTTTTGTGCTTATTGTGCTAATGATCCACCAGTCATATGTTCTGTATAAAAACAGGACCATCTGAGGAAAGCTGAAGGGTTTATTTTCAAACTGAAAAAGCAAAAGGGAGTGAGTAATCTGTTAAACGTTACCATGCTTGTACCTTCTGGAATGTGGCAGATGACATGTCATATGACAGATGAAATAGTGATGATATATGATAACGTGTGTTTAGTACTGTGGTGGTGTCTCATTTCTTAGGGTAATATTTTCATACCTTCTTTTGAAGAAATGGGACGGGGTCTTAGTAATGTGGCTGACCTAGAAAGAATAATGTATAAAGTACCCTCTTAACTATTAAAATGTCAAGGTCAAAATGTCTCGTTTGACCAATTTATGAAAAGGTCAATTTAATTCAGTTGTATAGCGCTTTCCACAATAATTATCATTGCAAAGCAGCTTTACAAAATGTGCACATTGTTTAATTACAATCAAAATCAAAAAGAATGAAGGGGTCAATTATACGATGGACTATACACCGGTCAAGCCTATACATAATTTGCTTAGTCATATAGTCTACTGAAATGTACGCATTTTTTTATTATTACCAAAATAATTTCATCACTTTTTATTCAGAATTATACCTCTTGACATTAAAAAAAAACATTAAAACAACACAAACACTTTCCAAGGATTATATATTTAGATAATTTTGTTTGTGAGGTTTTTGATATCTCATGAGAGGGAATTACGTAAACCATTTTGTCAAGAGAACACCCTCAAAGAGTTTAAAGAAAAGTCTTTAGTGACTTAACTTATTCATCATGTCTGGACTTTACCCCGTCTTCTCCCATTTTCATACATTTGACTTCCATCTGATCGCTGCAGACACACACCTTGAGCTTTGGGTTTGATTTGAAACTAATGGCCAATAATCAAAATGGGGAATTTGCCATTTGTGACTCTTTTATCATGCCAAGGTCTGTGTCCCAGCTTTACATGCACTGCATTACTTCTTCAAAGGCCTCCGTCAGCTTTGAAGCGCTTTCTCCAAACACTCATATTAGCTGTTTGTTTTGTGTTCCGCAGAAACAAACAAGACCAGATTTTTGTTACATGGCATGAATGTCTGATGAATGAGGGGGAATAAAGCTATTCATCTAATTACTTGCTAATTGGTTCCCATAATGCTGCAGTTTGGTTCCTCCAAGTGTTCACATTTCTCAAGATGAAAGAGCTGGTTTCTAGCACAGCTGTCTCTCTTCTGGGCATGTGAGATCATGTGCCGTTGTTTTTTTAGTTTTTTTTTTTTTTTTTTTTGTTAGATTTTACATGGAAACCTTTGATGAATCGGCTCACTCTTTTAAGTTGCGCTTGAGCAATGTACTGCACATCTGTGTCAGTATGGCCGCTTTTTGCAGTGTTTTATTTCCTTTTGATGTCTGTTAATGGTATTGTCTGTTCACACTCACAGTGTCCAGTAATGCCACATTTGATGTCACCTCTTCCACCTTTTTTTGTCCCAAGCATGCTTTTTTCTACCTCACCAAACTGTTTTTTTTTTTTTTGGTTCACCACTTTTTTATCATTCATTGTCTACATATGGAGGATGGGCAATGTAGTCCTTGACAGCAAATGATTTAGAAAATTATGAATTAAATGCAAAATGTTTTCAAAGAAAATCAAAATGTCAAAAATATAATCAGTCTATTTTCTTGTTCTGATAATAGATCAATAGATTATCCAAATATCCCATAATCTTTCACATGAATACGCATCCAGTCACTCATATGACATATTAAATCACAAACTGTCTTTTTATAGTGACGTGTAAACATTTGAGACCACTAGTCAAAATGTAATTACAAATTTTTTTAGTACAATACAGTTATTTTTTATACATTTGTAGGATGTTTTCTGCCAAAGCATCTTCTGTGATTTGTAATGAAAGGAATAAGTTTACTTTTAGTTCAAAATTAACTTCATTATTGACCTACAGTAAAAGTTGCTGTTTATTTCTAATATTATTTACACTTTACTGTTCAAAGGTTTGTTGGTTTTATGATATGTTCATGTTTTTGAAATAACCGCTCTCCAAGATGCAAATTTGATCAGAAATACAGTATAAACAGTGATAGTATTATATTTAAAAATAACTATTTAATGCAGTTTATTGATTATATTTGATCACTGATAGGAAATATAAATTTTTAGTAACTTTTATTTTGGTATCATTCTAACATTCTTGTTTGATTCTTGAGCAGTATTTCCTTTTATTACCATTATTAAACTATTTATGGAAATTGTGATAGTTTATTTATTTATGTATTTATTTATTTATTTATATTTGGTTATTTTAAGATTCTTTGTCGTAAAGAAAATTCATAATAACTGATTTTTCTTATATATTTTTGCAACATTCTAAATGCCTTTACTGTCACTTTTGATGAATTTAAACTTAGTTATGATCGTTTTTTAGTATTTTTAATGCTTCTTATGAAAATGGTTTCTTAATATCTCTATATTATTTTCTAAACCCTGTGAGTGGTTTGTCAAAAAAGTGTGAAAGGTTATTTTTTACTTCAAAAAGAAATGTGACAATTTAGATATTGCGATCATTTTCTTTTTGCATGTAGTTTTTATTACCAAAAATATAATTATCAGTATTATCCTGTATATTTCACAGTTCTAATTTTTTTTTCCCTCAAGTTGCAAGTTTCGTAATTACAGTATGCCTTTATTTCTCACAGCTCTGATAAAAAAAGGTTGGAAATGCAAAATGAAGACAGTAAAGTAATCACAATTACTGTAACATCACCTTGCTAGACTTGAGTTTATATTTTAATAAAATTGTCAGAGATAAACCTAAACCTACTGTAAGATACAAACTTTCCTGCAATTTCTTATGTTATAATATTTTTTGGTTATTTACAGTTTATAAATATAATCCCTAATTTTCTGTGGTCTCAGGATTATTTTTTTCATCACTTCAGTTCCTATAAACTCTCCCAAAATATACAGTAGTTCTAAACTTTAACACAATCTTAATCTGTAAGGAACAAATGCAATCATGTCCAGGGCCACAGCAGTGCCTGTTTGTGTGTCTATGTCGTTCAGTGTTGAGTCTGTCCTGTTTCTGCACATTCAATCCCTTGGGCACATATTTTCTTTGCCTCTCTTTCCTGCAGGGCTTTTGTCTATTTGAGTAATCTGCTGTATCCTGTGCCTCTGGTCCATCGGGTTGCCATCGTCAATGAGAAGGGAGAAGTCAAAGGTTTCCTCAGAGTAGCTGTACAGGCAATATCAGGTAAGATCAGGACTGCAAGTGTCCTGCAAATCCTACTGGTGAGTAGAGGGGCATATATCTTAGGAGTTTTTATGAGAACTTCAAATCAACTGCTTTATTTGACAAAGTTATATATTCACTGATAGTTTGTGTTTATTGTACTGAAACTGTTTGAATACAGAACACTAAAAACTTGTTGCTTATTTTTTATTATTAAAGAGATAGATCATCAAAAATGAAAATGATATCATAATTTAGTGATCGTTCACTTATTCCAAACCTGTTTGAGTTTCTTTCTTCTGTCAAATACAAATGAATCTTTGGAAAAAAGCAGCTATTGACTTCTAGACTTCTCTATTGACTTCTGTTTTGTGTTCAATGGAAGTAAGAAATTCTTAAGTTTAAAACCCCTTTAAGTGTGAGTACATTTACATTTTTTTGCAAGAAGTATCCCTTTAATATTTTTAAATATTTAAATAAAAAAGCTACATTTAGACTTTGCAAAACACAGTATGATAAGATATATTCTTAATGAGACTTGCTGAATATTATAGTGCATTTAAATAGTTTGTTTTAAAAGAATTTAACTTTAAATTTGTTGAAGATATGAGTTTTCTAAATGCGAAAATATAGCAAGTGAAAGGTTGAAAGCATCCGTAATACAGTATGTGGTGATTATTGTGATATTGTATGTAATATGAAGGGCAAACTGTGTGTGACTTCTTGTGGAAGTGATGTGAAGGTGCTCTGGTTTTTCCTCCAGCCGATGAAGAGGCACCAGACTATGGCTCTGGTGTCAGACAGTCAGGCACGGCCAAGATTTCTTTTGAGGACCAGCAGTTTGAGAAGGTATCAACATTTACTTATTTTTAGTAAAGCCAAGTCTAGTTTTAGCTAGTTCTTAAGTATTTCGTTCAAAATGCGGATTGTGAGTGTGATCTCTATATTAGTTTGTTCTAGTAGTTGTCAGAAATACTAGATATAAACTTCGAATTTTTGCTTCATTCTTGTTTACATCTCATGATTCGGAATTTAGTAGTTCTCATTTAATATTTAGCTTTTTTATCACTTTTGCAATGTTTTTGCAAACTTTTTTTATTGAACATTTTTCACAATTGCAAGTTTAAATGCTTTATTAGAACTGTGACTTTAAAAATTATTAGCATTTAGTTGTTGCTTTTAAATTTATTCTAGCAGTGACAAAAATAATTGTGAGAAAAAAAAGGCCTGGGCAGATACAAGTTTCAATAGAAAACACAAAAAAGCAGGGTGACTAGCTTTGTTCATAGTTATTGATATAATAATAATAATATATATTTTTTAAATCCTGCAAAAACAAATAATAAAAACAACATTAACATAATTGAATCTTTGAATGATATCAGCAAATGCAAACAAATGTAAGCAACTACTAAAAACAAAATAGACACAAGCACATAAAAGGAAATATAATAAAAAAAATTGAATTATATTAATATTAAATTAACATGTTTTATACTAATGCAGACTCTTTCACTTTATTTGTAAGACTGTTGCAAATTTTTGGAGCATAGTGACTAAAAGAGATGCTGCCAAATCGCTTGAAATTTACTGTGTAAAATATTTAAAGTGCAGCTCTAGACTGGAGGATCAGGTTTATTAAAAAGAATTTTAAAATCAATCCTTTGGTGCACTGGTAACCGGTGTAATTTTATTAAAGCTGGTGTAATATGTTCTCGTTTCTTTAATTTCATTAAAACTCTAGTCAAGCGGCTTCATTTAGTTTGTTTCTGCTTTGCCATAGACCCCGTAGGTAAACCAGTGTACACAACATTACAGTAGTGGAGTGAAGATAAATGGACAAATTAGTTTCTTAGCATCATTAAAAGATAAGAAAGAATGAATCCTGGCAATGTTTCTTAAGGGATATAATATATTTAATATACATAAATAAAAAAAAACTTATTATTTTCTTTTTTCTGTCGAGCAGTTCCAGTCAGAGTCATGTCATTCTGGTCTTTCGCGTGCTGCCGTTTCTCAGGAAGAGTTGAGGATTGTGGAGGGTGAAGGACAAAGTGCAGAGATGGGACTGTCAGCAGATGAGGTCAACAATAATACATGTGCAGGTAAAAAAATGCAAATGTGATATTAAACATGTTGAAACATTAAACATGTTTAAACATCTTTGTACACTACCCTGTTTAAAGATCTTGGGTCGCCAAGTTGTTTATATATATATATATATATATATATATATATATATATATATAATTTTTTTATTTTTTTTAAAGTGAGTCTCTTATGTTTATTAAGCATGCATTTATTTAATAAAAATAATTAATACTTAAATAATACAAATATGATGAGCAGACTTCTGAGATGTAAACTGGGGACAATGTAGTTCAGTGGTCAAAATAACAAATTATGTGTTTAAATATAGGGAAAATTCATTATTTTATATTTTTATTTTTAAGTAAAACAACTCCAGTTGAGGACACAACAACAAAATCTTGGACATACCACAGAAAACAGAAACATCTGGTCACTCTATTTTAAATAAATTATACTGTATATGCTCAAAATATTGATTGTTGATCAATTTAGGATTTTTTTTTTAATTCTTTGATCAGTAGAAAAAAAACTGAAATGAATGATTTTAGCATCAGGTGTGAGGAATGAAAGTATTAATTTCTCCTGATCCCAAACTTTGTAACTGTTGTGTTGTGTAAGTGGGGGAAAAGGCCTTTGAGTGAGTGAAAACTGAATCTATATGTCAGCTTCAGCTGCCCTGTGGAGTTTTCAGATCTTTTTGACTTGACATATTTTCTTTCATGTGCATTTCATAGCTAACCCAGAGGAGCTGGACAGCCCTGTCAAAACAGGTCTTGATGGGATGCTGGACGGCGCTCTGGATCACTTGAGGATTGGTGAAGTCTTCACATTCAGAGTTACTGTTCTACAGGCGTCAAGCATTTCCGCAGAGTACGCAGACATATTCTGCCAGTTCAAGTGAGTGCCTCTGTTCTCTTCTGAACTTTCCACCAGCACACATTTGACATTGTTCTGTATCTAATTTACTTTCATTAAACTTCTCGTTTGTAGTTTTATTCACAGGCACGATGAAGCATTTTCCACCGAGCCGTTGAAGAACACTGGACGTGGTCCACCACTTGGCTTCTATCATGTGCAGAATGTGAGCTTTATACTGTAACGCACAGCACTTACATCACACTCTTTTATTATGCTGAGAGTAAAACACTTGTTTCTCCCATTTTTCCAGATTGCAGTGGAAGTGACTAAGTCCTTTATTGAGTACATAAAAACTCAGCCAATCGTGTTTGAAGTCTTTGGACACTACCAGAAGCAGCCTTTCCCTGCGCTCTGCAAGGATCTCATTAGGTAGATCCTGGCAATATTTATTATTTCCAACTCTGATTAATACATGCTACAAATGTCTGAAGTCATCCATCAAAGTTATGCTAAAGTGAAGCCAAACCTATTTTCTTTTTTCTTCTTTCAGCCCATTGCGTCCATGCAGACGACAGTTCCCAAGGGTCATGCCTCTTTCCAAACCAGGTGAGAGCAAGTCATATCATTTTATGACCATTAACATAGATTACCTTTATTACTTCCATTGGAAACTGACTGCTTTGTTAACCCCCAAAAAATCAAATGCAGTTGCCAAATCATGTAGAGGTTGAAGTTGTTTAGTTCACAAAGGGCACACAAAACAATAAATACAATATAGTATGTAGTAGGTATACATTTGTATCCCAATTCAGAGACTGCATCTTTCTTAGAGAAACTACATTTGCATCCCAATTCAGAGACTGCATCTTTGTAAGAGAAACAGACTTTGGAAGATGTGTCCTTTAAAGTCCACTAAACCTGAACGCACATTGTAAAATAGGACGGTTAAGTCTAAACTATTCACAATGCCCATAAATGCAGAATTGTGGATGAAAGCAGAATGGAAAGTTTGATTCCCAGCTCGTGGTCCTTTGCTGATCCTTCCCATCTATCTCTGTTCACTATACCAGTGGTTCGCAAAGTGGGGGTTGGCACCCCCTGAGGGGATTGTGGGATAATGAAAGGGGGTCGCCTGGTAATTTCCAAAAATCTATTTATTTTTATTAAACCATAAGAATGACCATATTTTATCCATAACCTACTGAGAAGAAAATAATAGTTGTTTATAGTTACTATATACTACTCTATATAGTTACTATTGTAGCTTATAGTTACTAGTTCTATTGGATTGCGATCCCTGGGGTAAATACATTATATTAAAGACACAGCAATAGCGTCAGATGCAGATGAATGATTTTATAACACCAGGTTAAACTTTCTGGCACATTTACAGCACTGACATACATTTAAAAAAAATAAACAAAGAATAGACTTGGGTCTATTGGTGGGTGTGCACCATTGCATGCATTATTTCTGTATTTATAACCACCTCAGAGGATATTGGGAGTCGCGAGTCACTGGCATTGTTATTTTGGGGTCGCGGGCTGAAAAGTTTGAGAACCCCTGCTTTATACATTCCTGTTTCTACTCCACTGTCCTGTCTAGTAAAAAGGTGAAAAAACCCTAAAATAATTATTTATTTTTTAACATTTTATTTTGTCCTGATCTATTTGTTGTATAATCTTCATTACACCAGAAAAGAAGGATCCATTTGAAGAAGACTTTGAATGATTATTGTATATGCAGCCCCTGAATTGTGATGCAGCTATAGCATGAACATGTGCATATGGATGTGCTGCATCTGCCATGTTATCATTGTCATATGACCTATAGCGTCAAATCAGCCACTTTATTTATGAATTCGCTCCAGTTGCTTTATAAGATAGTTAGTCGTTCATTTGAATCATGCTTCAGCATTTCACTGCAAGCAGCAGATGATGTATTTTTTGCTTACTGTTTTGTGCACATTTTAGACACACTGCTCGACTCACAAAATGTTTTTTTTTTTTCCTATTATGAAGTATGATGTAGGAGAAATCAGTGTTTGCCTTTTTTTTGCTCTATTGGCTGTTTGGGGTCATGGTATTTATGTTGTTGGTGGTGGGTGTAGCCGCAGATAACGACACCCCTCCAGATCGGGAGAAGAACCTGGAGCTGATTCGTTACCTGCTGCCTGAGGTCTTCAATGGTTCTTTGGTGGACTCGCTGTCAAGCCACGCCCTCAATGCAGCAGGCGTGGCTGTTTCCTACCTCCTTGAGGGGGAGGAGCAAGCCAGACTGCCAGCTCCGCCCCTGTCTATCTGTTCTGTAATAAAAGCGCAGAAGCCGGGTCTGTAATGGTTCAGAGTGCCAAAGAATGTCCCTAAAAAACCAACCTCTAGTCAGTCTAATGCACAAATATCACATATTTTTTATTTGAAAATATAGTTCAAATTTTTAATTATGCTGGTGAAACCCCATTTTGTTCACTAATTTCTCCATTCCACTAATCACAAAAAGTCCTCTGCATTGACAGACTAAAGGGTGCCTTGTTCCAGGGACTGTGTTTCGGCCTGCTCAAACTGTGTGTGGGTGTCCTGTCTTTTTCTCTCCCTCAGCCTCTCCATACAAACCTCATCAAGCAGATGGACAATTCTGGCCTTTCTCTTTGACGTCATTTACCAGAAACTGATGATTTATACTGGGATTAGACTGCATGAGTAAAACTGGTTGTTCTGTCACTTGAAACTGAGCTTGATGATGCAGTGGTCCCTAAACCTTTGCAGGATAGTAGTTTTGGCAAATTATTAAAAATAGAGAGAAATATTTTGGGACATTCTATTTAAGTGTTTGAGAAATATTCATTAGGATTTGCAAGAAACAGTTTTCCTCAAATGAACTTTCTGTAGTCGTTTACTCACAGTTGTGTCATTCTAAAGACAGTTTTGTTAAACAAGAGTGGATATTTTGTGAAATATATATAATTTTTGATTATCTTATGTAACGTAGGTGATTTTAAATCTGGGGCCAATAACACTATAAATAACAATACCCACTTAATATTTTGACATCTTCTCCATTTATGACCATGATAGATGTACTGTAGTAAAATTCTGATTCCTTTCAATTAATTTTGTATTTTTTTAATGAATTTAATAATCTAGTAAAAAAAAAAGACAGATATTTAAAAAGAAATTTAATACACTCAACACGCAATATGCTATAGGAATTCAGAATATCTGATATATGGATCTTTTTCATAATATCTTTATGGTGCAACTTTGTCATTTTGGTGTTTGAAAGACTCTGGAATCCTTATTTGCCGTATATATGATTTATTTCTAATAATTAAAAGACAAAAAAGTCACAATTGTGGGATATAAACAGTGAGATTTTAACAGCTGAGATAAAAAATAACTTATTTTAAAAAAATTGGAATTATTTCTTAAAACAATTTCTTATTTCTGACTTTTTTTCTCTCAAAAATGCATCATTACTTTCCTAAATTTTAAACGTATTGGCTTTCTCGCAATTCTGATTTTCAAGTCTTTTGATTTTCTGATTTTCAAGATTTTCAAGTAAGTCCATACTGGTTTGGAATGACACAAGGGTGTGTAAATGGTTGCAGAATTGAAATGTTTGTGTGAAGTGTCCTTCAAATAATTTGGCTTGACCTGTGTGGAGGTTCAGGGATCGCTGTAATTCTCTTGACTTCATTCATCTTAACAGCAGTGTGCCTTTACATCGGACCCCTGATCTTCCAGTCCTGCTCCTCTCTAACTATGCTCTATTCCTTCTCTTATATTGTGATCTGTGTCTCCCTCTCTCCTGTGAATCTGCAGTATCCCTCTCATCTGCCACTAAATTATTATTACCTTTGGTCTAAATATTGATTTGACTGTGTTTTTTGTTCTCCCTTTTCTGTTTTCTACATAGTCCCTGCTACCAAACTGACAGCCCTCACTCGACCCACAGCAGGACCATGCCACTGTAAATATGACCTGATGGTCTTCTTTGAGATCTGCGAGCTGGAGGCTAATGGAGAGTAAGTGTTTTGTCTAGACATTGATCTTTTCATTTGAAAATTGGCCTGTAACAAATTCAGTCTGAGCACAGTGTAAAGTCAATCACTGTGCCATGTAGAATCAATGGAATGTAAACGTTTAAAATATTTGAATTGATTTTTAGATTGTGTTATTAGATTAAATTTACATAACAATGTATGTGCATGTTTTCATGCCAGTAGTGTACACTATTTACGTATTTATACTTCACTTGTATACTTAAGTGTGTATTTTAAGCATCTGTACTTTATCAAAGTATATGTTTTTTTGGAAACTTTTACCTCCCTGTAGGCCAAAACAAAAATTGTACTTTTTACTCTGTTACATTACCTTGGATGAATTAAAAGTAAGGAATTGTCACCTGCTCAGAGAGGCATATAGTGCTGGTTAATACGTGACAATCAAAATTTGATCAGTTAAGCTAATAAATTGTTTCACAAATGGCACTGAACAATTTGTTTGTGAAATTATCTTACATCTCCTCATGAGTTAAGAACTCACTGATTCAAATGATATGTTTAGAGTTTGTTTCCAGTAAACGAATCACTGATTCTAATGATTTTTTTCAGAGTGAGTCTTTAAGAAATCATTCGCTGATTCATATTTAGAGTGAATCTCCAGTAAATCATTCTCTGATTTACACAATTTATTCAGAGTAAGTCTCTAGTAAATGATTTACTGATTCATATTTAGAATGTGAATCTTTGGTAAATTATTAGCTGATTCACATGATTTGTTCAGAGTGAGTCTCCAGTGAATCATTCACTGATTGGAATGATCCGTTCAGAGTTAGTCTTCAGTGAATGATTCAAAGTATCTGTTCAGAGTGAGTCTCAAGATAAATGATTTATTTATTTATTTATTTATTTATTTATTTATTTATTTATTTATTTATAACAATTAACAACAAAAGATTAACAGTACAAATAAAACAAAATACAGTCATTACAAACTATAGTCCATATTTAAAAAAGGGAATTATAAATAAAATTTAAGTAGCCTACATAACAAACACATGAGAAATAAGGGGAAAATGAAAGGGCACTAAAAAAGGAAATAAATATCCCCGATTAGGCCTATTAAACACAAAACCATAAGCACAAATTCTAGGAGTTAAAACATCAGTCTTTAGGCTACTAGATGTTGAATGGCATGTCAGTACTGTTCCAGTTCTTGTTTGAATATGCTAAAAAGAGGTTTACATTTATAGATATAAAACTTTCCAATATATATTCGTGTAAAACCCAGAACTAGGTGTTTTGATTAAGTCTTAAACAATGATTAAGATTATTTTGGATAATGAAAGCATTTAAAAAACAATTTTAATCCAAAAAGAATTGAACAAAAGGACCAAAATAAATTACCTACACTTATTTAAAATTTCCCAGAAAGAGCAAGGTACATCAATGTCACTTTTAACATTTCTGCATAAACTGCTTGACAGGAAATAAAATATTTCATAATCATGCATTTTTATATGTAATAAAATATTTTTAATTTAATTTTTTAAGAAATGTTTATAGGGGTGTCTGGATCAATGATGATAATTATTTTATTTCTGTAAGACTTATTTGAGTTAACATTTAGATTATTTACTAAAATTTATCATTTAAATCGATTATGGAGCTGAATAAAGTAGTCTGTATAAAAATGCAGAATAAACCTATGCAAACAATCTACTCATTATGAACAAATTTTTTAAGAAAAGACGATGCTGCAGTAAAATATTTGTAATCTTTTAATAAGCATGATGTGTACAAGATGGTATAAAAAGTGAATTGTTTATTTGGAAATCTGTGAGATGGAATTTGTGCCAATAATAAACCCGAAACACGTGTGGTTGTTGTCATGCAGTGAACTCAGCAAATCGTGTAATATCGGTGTCGTCATCGCAGCTCCTGCAGTGGCTCTTCAGATGCTGCACCAGCTGAATCAGTCATCTGCTCTCAGAGTGCTGTTGCGGAACTTTGATGCCACATGTGACAGTCACGTGGTGTTGGTGCAGCATCAATCTGGACAAAATTTCTAACTGGCATGCACCGCTTTAAGACAGATTTCGATCGGTCTGGAGCGTTGTGTGAAGTTGAACGCACCTATCAATTCACAATACAAATGATCTGTTCAGAGTGATTCTCTAGTAAATCATTCATTAATTCAAATGATCTATTCAAAGCGATTCAATGGCAATTCGGGGATTTTATAAAACTGATTCACCATGTTAATGTGGTATAAAGTTTTCACTTGAATTATCATGACTTATCAGTGTGGATATTAGACCATAACAAGTTTTGATAATTCAACGTTTTAGCAAAATAAACATTTTACAGGAAGTATTTTTAATTTTATTATTTAAGTTTATTAAATAATCAAGTACTTTTGCACTTTGAATCACACAGTCAAAAAAATTATGACTTTATACTTCTACTGAAGTAATATTATATTAGGGATGGTACTTGAACTCAAGTACTTCATTTACCATTTCATGCACACAAATAGCCATACAAATGTTTAAAATGCATATTATATGAATTAATGTTATTCATTCATTCATTTATTCATTCATTCATTTTCTTTTCGGCTTAGTCCCTTTATTAATCTGGGGTCACCACAGCGGAATGAACTGCCAACTTATCCAGAATACTGTATGTTTTATGCAGCGGATGTCGTTCCAGCTGCAACCCATCTCTGGGAAACATCCAAACACACTCATTCACACTCACACACTACGGACAATTTAGCCTACCCAATTCACCTGCACCGCGTGTCTTTGGATTGTGGGAGAAACCGGAGCACCCGGAGGAAACCCTTATTACGAACGCAGGGAGAACATGCAAACTCCACACTGAAATGCCAACTGACCCAGCCGAGGCTCGAACCAGCGACCTTCTTGCTGTTAGGCAACAGCACTACCTACTGCGCCACCCAGAATTAATGTTAATTATGCATAATTATTAAGTATTGATATTAAGTCTAAACATGTGCACAATATTACTGTGGAAATCTAATCGGGGTGGTTTGGAGTTATTCATTTTCACTGAAAGAAATTGATTTTAATGATATTCTTTTTAACATCTGATGATTGAGCTGTGAAATGAATAATGCCAATTCATTGTATGCAGTTTGTATGATTGTGTTCAAAAAAGAAAAATGTACAGTACTAATAGTCTAATTTAAAAAAAGAGTATATATATATATATATATATATATTTGACATGTTTCTCCCTCTTACAGCTATATCCCAGCCGTAGTGGACCACCGAGTAGGCATGCCTTGCCATGGCACATTCATGTTACATCAGGTACTGGGAAATTCCCTTCCCTCCTTGGATTCTGTTATTTTTCTTGATAATATCATACCCGTTGACCCATACTTAGTATTTTACAACCCAGGCTCATGAAAAATACATGCCTCCAGGCGACAATTTACAAAAATAATATTATGCCGGTTATTGCACATCATGTAGCATTTCCAAAGTGTCCTTTCAGTGTGTGGCATTAACAACCAAACTCATATTTCTCGGAAACAGTTAAACAGAACTGTAGCAATGTTTTGTTATACATTGGTTCATACACACATAATGGCTGTTCAAAAAAATCTAATGGCTGCTGAGTGGCACTAAAAGTTTAAGGCTTTATTCTGTTTAAATAATATTACACCCACACTAAACCTTACCCTAAACCTAACCAGCAGTTAAATATATAAAAGTAATTTAAAAGAAAATATACTGTTGAAGCAACCATTTCTCTTTATTTTTTAACAGCTTTTACTTTTGTTTGTTAAAGTGTTTCATGTCACATGTATTGAAGCACTACCAGATGAGAAAACTGAGAAATGCTCATTATTAATTAATAACGAGATCCCTGATCAAGTTTTCAAAAATGAATGCCTCTAATACTCATTTTAGCTGAAAACTGCACTAATCTCATGTAAGATTAAAAAAAAAAAAGTATAAAAAAGTGATTAGTTGACTTATAACCCCAAATCAGAGAAAGTTGGGACAGTATGGAAAACGCAAATAAAAAAGTAGTCATTTCTAAATTTACTTGTATTTCATTGTAGATAACAACTAACAATATTCAATGTTTCCTCATGATTTATATTTATTCATTTATAAATAATATATAAATAATATATATTAAATATATAAAAATATTTAATATATATTTATTTGTTGCTTTTTTTAAATAAACACATATTCCAAATTAGTTTTTTGCAAGACATTTAAAAAAAAGTCAGGTCAGGAGCAATTAAGGGCTAGTAATCAGATAAATTGGTTAAATAGTTTGATTTTAAAGAGGTGATTGTAATTATAATTGGGTACAAAAGCAGCCACCAAGAAAGGTCTAGTCCTTTAAGAGCAAAGATGGGCCTAGGACCACCAGTTTGCCAGCAAATATGTGAGAAAATTGAATTGTTTAAAAACAATGTTCCTCAAAAAAGATAGGAAGACATTTGGATATATTACATTCAACAGTGCATAACATAATAAAAATATTCAAGGAATTTCAATGCGTAAAGGACAAGGGCGCAAGCTAAGGCTGAACTACCGTGATTTCCGATCCCTCAGGCAGCACTCAAGAATCGTCATACATCTATAAATGATATCACTACATAGGCTCTGGACTACTTTGGCAGATCTTTGTCAAGCTCCACAATACGTAGTTACATCCACAAATGCCAGTTAAAACTGTGCTAAATGGAAGCCTATAAAAAAAATCACGAACACATTAAATAATGTTTGTTGAATTTTCTGCATTTAAAGACAAGTCAAGTAAATTTAGAAATCACTACTGTTTTTTTTTATTTGCGTTTTCCATACTGTACCAACTTTTTCTGATTTGGGGTTGTAAAAAAAGTGTGTAAACCTGTTGATTTTAAAGATATTTGTTTATTTTATTTTTTTTAAAAAGTGAGGAACCTCATTACCTTAAAATTATTGAAGTAATTATTAAATAAATGAACAATGTGTTCATAATTATTTAATAAGTTATGTTTACAGTTCCAAGGCAAAGAATGTTTACTCACTGTTGGCTTTTCTTTGAAAAGTTTTACACACTTTTATTAGTAAATAACTAGTACTTTTTACAGTGTGTAAAGGTAAAACTTTAGAAATTTTGTAAGCATGTTTGTTAAGGCACACTTTTACACTGAGCCTGGGCGGGTATTTTAACATTAGAGTTAAATTCTGATATTTTACTTAAAATAATATTTTTATAATAACAGGGCATCCAAAGGAGAGTTACAGTCACCATGGTACATGAGACAGGAAGAGACATTGACTGGAAGGAAGTGCGAGAGCTGGTTGTAGGTGAGTTTTGCCTCACAGACTCAAGTCTTAAGATTAAATTAGAGTGATAGTGATCAAATGGGATGGGGGGTTTTTCGTGGTTTGCAGGACGTATCCGGAACACGCCTGAAGCAGATGAGGCAATCATCGACCCCAATATTCTCTCTCTGAACATACTGTCTGCAGGATACATTCGACCCGCGCATGATGACAGGTACATTCCCAAATTGAAGACCAGCTTTGAAACTAAACATAAGAGATCTTAAAGGGCTTGCATTCATTATGGTACATAGAGGAGGAATTGTTTCTCCTAGAAAACTCAGTAGCAAATTTTCTTCACCTTGGTCTGTTTTCCCTCATCTCTTTTTAACAGCAAATCTCCCTTTTAGTGATTTCTGTGCTTAATATGACTTTCTCCACAGCTTTGGCATATGATCTGAGAGCTGGAGCCAAGCCTGTGACAAACAGTTCTCTGCACAACTTTAAAGCTATGAGTTCTTGCCAAATGAAATGAGTCAGTCAACCAAACCTTCCAAACAGCTCGTAAAGGCTTGTCACAAGGGAGCGATTCTGAATCAAACAGCACCGCAACAGTGCCAGCCTTAGATAAAGACAAGAAGTACTGTATAATCACACTTTAATGTTCCTTTGCAAAAACATACTATAACCTGCTGCACGGTTGTGCCGGCTGACAAATAGAAAATCCTAAAACTGCCATATTAAGGCATTTAAGATTTAGACAGGATGCAAATAGCATTGGGTGCAGGGGAATCTGATCCACCAATTAAGGTCCGAACATTTTGATAATGAAGTGTTATATGTAGAATACAGAAGTTATTAGTGACTCTGGTGGTCATTAAGCAAACTACACAAGAACACCAAAAATGTAAAGAAACTGAATTGTGATTTAGCGTGATCATTATTATTTATAAATGTATAGGTTATTTTCTCTTTCAGTGGAAGTGAAAACAAGTTCATCAATAATAATAAGTTAAGTAATTATACTGATAACAAACATGCAGATGTAATACAATCTGCAGAGAGCAATGTTTAGATCAATGTGTAAATATGGGCTGCAATTATTTCCTCTCATTAACAAAATGAACACTGTTGATGTACAGAATTTGAATGACTAAGTATAAATTAACAATGCTTGGTTATTTTTAGTAATTTTAAGTCATTTTGAAAGATGGCTTATTCCATTTAGTGGGTGCTGGCTCCATATTAGTGATCCACTTTATGTTTTTTAGGTGGCAGATACTATTTAGCCCAGGCTCATAGAAAATACTTCCCTCAGCCTACATTTTTGCAAAATGTAAAATAAAATGCTCCAGGTACATTTCATGACATATTTCACGTGATAAATCCACTAGAGGGCGCTGTCTATGTTTTTGCTAATTTTAAATACGTTATTTAAGACAGGGCTTCTCAAACTTTTCAGTCTGCGACCCACAAAATAACAATGCCAGTGACTCAAGACCCCCAACATCTTCGGAGGTGGTTATAAATATACAAACATTTTGCACACAATAGTAGACCTACAGTTGAATTCAGAATTATTACCCTCTTTTTAATTTCTTTTTTTTTTCTTTTTTAAATATTTCCCAAATTATGTTTAACAGAGCAAGGAAATTTTCACAGTGTGTCTGATAATATTTTTTTCTTCTGGAGAAAGTCTTATTTCTTTTATTTTGTCTAGAATAAAAGCAGTTTTTAATTTTTTAAAAATCATTTTAGGGACAAAATTATTGGCCCCTTTAAGCAATTTTTTTTTCTTTTGATAGTCTACAGAACAAACCATCATTATACAATAACTTGCCTAATTACCCTAACCTGCCTAGTTAACCTATCTGACCTAGTTAAGCTTTTAAATGCCATTTTAAGCTGTATAGAAGTGTCTTAAAAATATGTAGTCAAATATTATTTACTGTCATCATGACAGATAAAATAAATCAGTTATCAGAAATGAGTTATTAAAACTATTATGTTTAGAAATGTGTTGAAAAAAATCTTTTTTCCGTTAAAAAGAAATTGGCGAAAAAAATAAACAGGGGGTTAATAATTTAGGGGAGCTAATATTTCTGACTTCAACTGTATATAAACAGGAACATATTGACAACATAAAAAACAACCATATAATGGTCATAGTGATTTATTAATTTGTTTAATTTAATATTAACCTCACCTGGCTGGTGTTTTTAGCACAAGTCTGTTCTTGGTTTAATTTTAGAGACCACCACTCTAAAGAGAGACCTCAATGTTCAGTAGAGGCCTCTATTCATTTTTAATGAACTTGATTGCCATAAAGATGCCAGAAAGTTTAACCTGGTGCTATAAAATCAATCTGCTGCATCTGACACTATTGTTGTATAATCTAACGTAAACCCCAATCCTATAAAACAAAATTGAAAGGCTGATGGCTTTTTATTTGTTGTTTTTTTAAAGTAACTATTAACTACTATTTGTATCTTCTGTGGCTTATGAATAAAATATGGTATTTATAATAGTTTCAGAAATTTTATTTGACTTTTGGAAATGACCAAGCGATCCCCTGTCATTATCTTGCGACCCCCACTTTGGGAATCATTGACTTAAGATATGATTTGTTGTATGTTTCAGATAGATAGGTGAGGCAAATATATTAATTACAATTAATAGACACAAAGTTGGTCTGTGGTATATATTTGGTGTTGTGCAAAGAACTGCACAAAAATAATGCTTGATTCCTCAAAAACATTTCTAAAGAACAAAAATTGTCACCATAGTCCTGCCACGTAGTATTCATTTTACCTGAAAGTATGTTTTTGCAGTTTCTCACAAATGTAGCATTTTGCAGATATTATGTTCACCTGAAGAGGTTACTATAGCAACAGCATCCTGCTCTAGCAGATGTCATATTACTATCAATATCAAATATGTAACACGTGTATATCACAAACAGTAAATTAAAGGCTAACTCATGTGTAATTACAAGCATTACCATTTTAATTTGTGCAAAATGTTTTGTTCTTGGCTCTCTTAAAAGTCATTAAAATCTTACACTATTTTATATGATTATATAATGCAGCTTCTCAACATGCCTCTTTCACAATTATAGGATTGTGTTTGCAGAGATTTTGCTGTATAACCACCGGGGTTTGTGAAGCTTTTAAAACATTGCTTGACTGACAAACTAATCCATACAACTGCTCTTTTTTGGCTTCAGAAATTTCAGAATTATCAATCCTTCCTACTGCACACAAGAAAAATAAGTGGTTTTAATAGCCTTGATGATGGAGGTCACAATTTTAAGAGACAGTTCACCAAAAAAATACTAATTCTGTTGCCATTTGATCAACCTTTTCCTTGTTCCAAACAAGTTTGATGTTTTTTTCTGCTGAGCACAAGATATGCTAAAGTATGTTGGAACGCAGTGACTACTGACATTTGTAGTAGGAAAAACAAATAATTTGGAAGTCAATGGTTTCCTGCATTCTTTAAAATGTCTTCTTTTGTGTTCGACATAAAAAGATTTGGTGAACTATCCCTTTAATAAGCAGACAAAATCAATCTAAAATCTAAATATAAACATTCCCTGTTTTCATACAGGCAGAACACTGAAAACTGGTTCTCTAGTTCACCTCCTTGCTGGCTGTGCAAGTCTTCTCATCCGATGCTGGTCTGCATTTGTGTCCATTCTCATCTGCTCATTCCATTCACTGTGTCTGACTCTCAACTACCTACTCACTGAAACATATAGCTGATCTAGCTCTTGGCATCATCACACTGAGAAGAATGTTTAACGCTTACAATCACAATTTATTAACAGATTTAACCCATCAATAACATTCTCCCATCGTGATAGTTAATCAAAACCATGTTGCTCATGTCATGTTACGCTAACAGCCAAACAAAGCATTTTGTCATCTGCAATGCATTACTGCTATCACATTAGATGGGCATCATATATCAGCATCCAGACTTTGCAAACATGCTTCAAGTAAATTCCTAATGGTTTAGATGCATTATCAGCACCTGCATATCACAGATGCTTAACAGATATTCAGATATCATGCAGCTGTGACCTCCTCTCCTCCATTTTAAGTCCTTACATGATAGTCCACACGATCCATAAAACATATCAGAGCTGGATTCATGCACCAATGCAGCAGATCAAGAATAAGATGTGACAGGAGAGTTGTGCCTAGGCCTTGACAGCCATATTATATCTAAAATCCTCAGAAACAAGCTGCTGGGCCTCCACATGAGCTTCTCTCCACACATTTCTAATTCTGACTTTTCTCTAGTCCACTAACAGAATGTTGTTTTGTGTTTTTCCAGACAGTTTCTTGATTCGGACATGCCTAGGTATATTCCCTTCGAATCCTATTCCTCTCACAAGCGCAACGAATGTAAAATTTCATCCTTTTGTTTCTCGAACCATCTGTCTAATCAGCCTCCATCGTTCTTTGTCATATTTTGGCTCTTAAATGCTGCTTATTTTTGCACCCCTGTTGGTTTGTCTATTTAATTTCTCGTCCCCTCCTTCTATTTCTGAAAATGTGAGAGAATTTCTCTCTGGTTCCCATGGAAATGCTTTTGCGTGTGAAGCTTCTGTTTTGTTTCTGACTTTGTTGGCACCTCTATAGGTGACTGGATTGCATGGCTTGACTTTTATACGGGCTGCATTTTTGCTGAATTATACAGTATGCAGGAGGTGTTGTAGAGATCATAGCCATATTCCCTAACTGGAAGTTTTAACAAAGTTATGAACAAAAGTTGTTTGGATGACATTGCTAAATTGATAGTTGGGATTTTACAGAACCACCTTTATTAATGTTCTTATGGTGGTCAAGAGAGCTCAAATATGCTGCAAGTTAGGGGAACACTTCATTTTTATTTATTTATTTATTTTTTTAATAAGCTCATTTTACAAGTATAATAGAGCTAAACAGTTGAGTTTAATGATTTTTTTTTCATCCATTTAGCTGATCTCAAGGTCTGACAGAGGCACTTTTAGCTAAGCTTAGCATAAATCTTTGAATTGGCTAGGTTATGGCTTGGAATTATAGACCTACTCTCATTCCAGTGATATTACAAAGGCCCTGAAAGTTACCCAGCTGTAGGTAGCCATGGTACAGCAGCAGAGTTCCTTGATTAATATGCAGAGTATATTTCTTATATGCTAGCCGATATGATGGTTTATGCTAAGCTAAGCTAAAAATACTTCAGCTAGACCTGATGATTGGCTGAATGGTTTAAAGTGTGGTAAAACTCATGTGTTAACTCTAGATTACATGTAAAATGAGCCTAACAAACAAACAAAAAAAAAAGTGGAGTGTATCTTTAAGAAAACCCATGCAAAGTTCCTTGATTAATACACCAAAATAGGAGTATAGTTCAGCTGATTTGATAGTTTATGCTAAGCTAAAAATGCTCCAACTAGACCTGGAGATCGGCTGAATGGTTTAAATGGTAAAACTTTACTGTTTAACTCTAGATTACTTGTAAAATCAGCCTATTTAAAAAAAATAAAAATAAAAAAGTGGAGTGTTTGTTTAAGAAAACCCATTCAACGTTTCTTGATTTATACACCAGAATAGGAGTATAGTTCTTAGACATTTGCTAGCCGATTTGATTGTTTATGGTGAGCAAAGTTAAAATGCTTCTGCTAGACCTGAAGATCGGCTGAATGGTTTCATATATGGTAAAACTCAAGTGATTAACTCTAGATTGCTTGTAAAATTAGCCCATTTCCAAAAAGTGGAGTGTTTATTTAAGAAAACCTGTGCAAAAAAAAAAAAAAAAAAGTTACAAAGGAGAAAACAATGTTATCGTTTTGACAACACATATGTTTGGAAATTCTCACAATTTTGAATTTGGTCATACTGTTGATATTTCTAGACATTCTTTAAAAAAACTCATCAAGGTTTGTATGATAAGGTGAACTGTAGCTTTAATTTTTGAATTTTTGGCAAAACATTCAAACATTTTTGTTCAAATATATTTTTGTTGGCTGAGTTGATTTTAAGACAGCTTCATAAATAAATGTGTAATCTATGTCAGTGAATCCTTCTCCTCAGTTTAAACTACATGTAATTTTTTTTAGTAATGAGTCACTCTTACCACACACACTCCATCAGTCCCTGCGTAAATTTATTGCTCTTGCTCAACAAATTCTCAACAAATTAGATGACATCTCCTAATTAAAAATGTATGGTTTCATTTAAACTGCTCTGCAACCAGATCAAGTTCCATCACAAATGTCAAAGCAACACCGTAAAACACAACTTCGCCTGTGTGGGGTGAAAACTGCGGGCCAGACCACACACCATGAGCTCTGTGTTGTTTATGGGCAGGAGGCTTCGCTCAGCTAACCTCAATATTAATCACAAATCCTGAACAAAATTTGTGTTATGTTAGTGCGCTGAGATTTACAATCTAGAACCAATGTTTAATGAAGTTTATTGACGGTTAGCCCTCCTTGGCATTCTATGCTCACGAATAGCTTTTTTACCACAAGGAGGCAGTGTTGATCCAATTCATTTGAATGTTTCACATAATATTGGCTAAATGACTCAGAGCAAACAATTTTAAGAGCCACTGTTTCTGTAATTATCAAATCAGAACAGCTGTAATCTAATAATTAATAATAGCTAATCTAATAATTAGCTTTTTTGTAAATATTTGCTACATGAGAGCACTGTTAGTATCCAGATCTGTTTCTCTTTTTGCTTTGCCAGGACTAGTTTGCCTAAGCACATTTACAGATCACATATTCACATGATTGACATGACAGATTACATTGATTGTTTTATTTTTCTTGCACATAAATGAACAATCTGTGTGACTAGATATTGAACAGTTATAGTGTAGTGTTTTTCATATATGGTTCAGCTGTGCTCTGTAAATGTCTTCTCAGGTTCTGGTAAAAAAAAAAAAAAAAAAAAAAAAAAATATATATATATATATATATATATATATATATGTATATATATATATATATATATATATATATATATATATATATATATATATATATATATATATATATATATATAAAAAAGTGGCAAACCAAACATTGTGATTTTTTTTCCAGCATATTGGTGTTTGTTTAAAAGCATAACTTCTAACTATATTTTACTAAGTGGCGTTATGATGATGATGATGTGAATAAATAGATTTTTTCTGAACTATGGTAATCAATACTGAGCTATAGTTGAACTAAATAATAAGCCATTATAATCCTGGTAGTTTAAGAAGGCCAATGAAAACATCCACTAAATAAATAAAAAGTGACACAAAACACTCTAATCTACATTACTGACAGCAAGAAAATATTTTAATGAAAAAGCATAAGATGTCAAGCAGAGAATGTATTATAATTTTTATATAAAAAAATTATAAACTTGATATAATATTATTACCTATAGTAAGCATTTATGTACCTAAATAGTATATTTAATCTTTTTTGTACATCGTTTAGCTTTGTTGCTGGTCTTTGATGGTCCACGAGCCCCTTATGTGCAATCCAATAATGTAGAACTTTTTAGTAATAGTTTTATGTGTAGTTTTAGAAACTTTAGTCTTAAATATAGGTTGTTTATTGTGTTTATTGGCATAAGTCGCTCTATAAAGAACCTTAAAGGTGCAGTAGGTGATCTGCCTAAATCCAGTTAGCGTAATATCTTTCAAATTCGACCCCTCCCCTGCTGTCCACATGACCATGGCCCATGTAAATGAGCATCGGCGGATCTGCATGAACAAAGAGATGCACAGTTGTATAAATCTACATTTGCTGACAGACAGTTTGGGCTACTTATCAGAATTATGGGAATTATCGGCACAACAATATTTAATTGGACAAACATTTTTTTGTCTTATGCCTCACCCAGAATATAAAATACATATACTGTAAATACATTTATATTATTTACATTAATCATTACTATTGAGACTTTCAACCAGCACAACAAAATTTTTCTAAAGACAATCAACTACTGCACCTTAGATTTTTTTTTTATTGTTTGCATAAATAAATTATTCTTACTTGGCATTTCTAGAAAAAAAAACAAACATTTATTTAAATTGGATTTTTAAATCATAATTCATTTTTAATATAAGGCAATAAAAAAAAGTAAGATTTTATTTTAAAAATCATTTTTCACCCTCTATGCTACTGTATATTAGAGTTAACCATTAAGTATTGTATTTTTACACTAGTCTAAATAGTGTAAAAGGACTTAACAGGCATTGTAACTATGTAAAAAAAAACTGCTGGGCTCCTCATGATTCCTTTATGTTGTCCCAATGCAAATCGATTAAGTTAACTAAATTGTTTTCTTTTTCAAGTTTAAGTCCATTCAACACAAAACAATTAAGTTGTCCCAAAAACAGTTTAGAAATTGTATTGTTTCAACTCATTTTAAATGAATAGTTTGAACAAGCAGAAAAAGTCATTTTTTATTGTGTGTAGTTTATCTAATCATTAGTAGTAAACCTCAGTAGTAAACCTAATCATTAAATAAAAAAAAAAGTGAAAAGTGGCAAAAAAAAAAAAGTCATTTATATAAAAAATATGCAGCTAATTATTATTGTTGGAATTTAAAATGTAAACATGACTCCTTAAAGCATTTCATATTTTTTCGTAGTACAAACTTGTCTCCTTGTCAACTGTTCTGTAAGCACTGTCCACAAAACAACACCTTCTAGTGTAGTTCCTGTCCAAAGAGTCTCCCATCTATGTGACGGAAAACAGTTTTCATTTCCAACAGCCTGGGTGGCAGCTCAACAATCCATGTAAGCATTACCTCAGTGGTAGCATGCTTGCTTTCTTACCCCTGCACACTGAGCAATTTTTCAGTGTTATTTAGGTCCTCGATACAAGCAGAATCAATAAACTTAATACGGAAAGTATTGCTGTTTATTTTGCCAAGAACATGAGTTATAGTTAGGCTTGGCTGATATAAGAAAATTAAGGGAAAGAAATATTGGAAGGTAAAAGCAACAGGAAATGTCTTTTATCATGTGTAAATGGGAGGATGGGATTATCCTCACACAATCTCTCATCTTGCTTGGTGTGGTAAGCTTAATTTATGTTGTTATTTAGGAGTGAACAATTCCATCAGAAATGAGATAATTGAGTGTCCTCACTTAATGGAACTTTACAAACAGCCGTCATTGGGATGGAGTGACTTTGAACCTTATTTACATCTAGAATGCTAGATAGTATAATTAGTTAACTGAGTCTTTGCAGCGTGTTGCTGGCCTTTGATGGTCCACGAGCCCTTTATGTGTAATCCAATAATGTAGAAGTTTTAAGTAATAGTTTTATGTTTCAAAAACGTTAGTCTTAAATAAAGGTTGTTTATAGGGGTGCTCGGATCGATCAGCCAGAGATCGGTATCGGCTGATAATCACATTTCATGACTCGATCAGTACTCACTAATGACAGATCTCATGAACTGGTCCCAAGTGTTTGTTTATGAGTTTAGGCAGAGTAAGGGCCGGATCACACCGAACACACTTTTTCTATTTAAAAGGTGCATCTTTTGAATGGTTTAGTAATGGCTGCGAGAATCAAATGTGCACTCCAAACTTTTTCATGTTGAATTCTTCCATCATTAGCAGTGATTCCAATTTTTTTCCCAAAATTAGTTGCAGTACATTTTTTATTCTGTTTTTCTATTATTTTTTTGTAAAGCTGCTATGATCATGACACAAATACACCAAAAAGGTTATAAGAGAAATGTTTAAGGAATTATATGCAACATCTTTCGTTTATTCTCTTATGTAAGGAGAGATCTCCGCTTAATTGTCATACTATGCATTATAAACTTAAAGAATCAAAATCGGTTCTCAGTATTAGCCGATCCTCATGAAAGGAATCGCTACTCTGTAGCATCCCTAGTTGTTTATTGTGTTGTAAGTCCTTTCATAAAGAATCTTAAACATTCATGGGACCTTTGCATTCTATAAAAGAAAAAAAATCTTTAGTTCATTTTATTGTTAGAATAAATAAATGGATCTTACTTGTAATTACTGCAAAAAAAAAAAACTCTTTTTTTTATGTTGTAGTTTGTTTTTTAATATAAGGCAATTTTAAAACATAGTTAAAGAATAAACTATTACCAAATTATACAAAAACCAAGGCACCATTGACTAAAATAGTAATACTAATATTTTCTTTATATAAATGATCATTTAGGATTAATCTTTTTAAAGGGAAAATCAATATAGGTTTACTAAAATGATTTATAAAATGGTCAGATGAAAACACGATGAATTTAATCTATAATTCATGAAAAACTAAACCTTTGATTAATGACTGCCACACCAGAAACTAATAAAAACTGTATCAATAAGATTGTATTAATAAATTAAGTCATAAATGATTAGTTATTAATCAAAGGAGTCATCAGTGATTTAATCCCTGTCAACAATTATTTGCAAATATGAGGTCATAAACAAGCAAAACATACAAACATAAAACATTCAAATTTGAAAGCTAGGATAGACATTTGTCCAATATAGAACTATTTAAAAAACGGAAAAAAATAACATTTGAAAATTGTCTTCATAAAGTGCTTAGAAATGCATATTGTGAAACAAAAAAAAAACTGTTTTTTATCAGTATATTTACAGTAGGACATTTACAAAAAAAAAAAAAAACATAATGAAAGATGATCTTTACTTTTTTTTTTTTTTTTTTTTACATATTTTCTTTTATTTTCATCTATACAATGTATTTTTTTTTAGCTATTTTCGAAAATAATTGTTAAATATTTGTTTTTTTACTTACTTTTAATTATTTGTTTTTTTTTTTACTTCTGCTGAAAAACAGAAGAAATTTAGGAATGTTGCAAACCCAACAACATTGGAGCATACAGGTGTCTTCCACTGTATAGCGAAACACAAACAAGCATGCTTTTATTTAGATTTACAATACAAGAATAAGCTAAACATTCAGATTCCAAACTAAAGAACAGAATCTGTGAAGTCAGTTAACAAAATGGCACATGTCCAAGGCTTACATCCATTCTTACATGTGTTTAGATTTCCTACATATAAAATTTTAAGGCTCAAGAATAGACAAAACATCTTCATCTCCCCATTTTAATGCTCCTTACAATGGTAGGAACTGAACAGAATTTTGCAAGTATTTTTGTTTTCTTTTTTGCCCTTCAAGCTGAATACCAGCATAGAATATCTTGTATAATATTATGTGCTGTAATCATAGCAAAGGCAAAAGAAATTAGTTTTTTGAAATTAGGGTCTCACTTTATATTAAGTGTCCTTAACTACTATGTACTTGCATCAGAAAATAAATACAATGTACTTACTGTGTTTATGATGTATTTGAGAACACTTGTGGTGCTTTTGAGTTGGGATAGAGGTTGGGTTATGGACAGGTTTGGTGGTACGGGTAGGTTTATGGGTGGGTTAAGGTGTGAGGGATGGTCAACAGTGTATTTACAAATGTAATTACATACATGTATTTAATCAAGCATAAGTACACAGTAAATACATGTATTTACACAATAAGTACATTGTAACAAACTATTAATTTCTGTGTAAGTACTTATTAGTTAAGGCCACTTAATATAAAGTGGGACGGAAGTTAGTTCTTAAAACTATTCTGTTTAGGAATGTGTAAAAAAAAACTCTCAAACATAAATTAGGGAAAATTTAAAAGCATAAAAAACAGGTTAATAACTGCAGGATATATAAATAAAATCTGATAATCTTTTTTAATAATATCTGCATGTATGCCAGAAATTTATATGTATCCCAGAACTATATATATGTTCCCACAGAAATAGATTATGACAAATTTGCATGTTTGGGTGGTTTAAGAACTTACTGTTGTTAACTAACTCTGCTACCTTTGGTTGATTAAAAAGAGGAATTTTCTATGTGGGCAACCCCATAGTGACTTTTGAGATTCCCCCTTTATCTCCTTCTCTTATTTCTCTTTATCTTTTCAACAAATACATTTCCAGGACCTCTTCCACTCCTTTTCTCTCTCCATGCCTCAAAGCTGCCCACTGGGTCATGCCGGGCCATTCACTTTAACACTCAACATCTAAAGCACACAAGCTCATCTATCACATTCCTCAGAAACGTTCGGCTCCTCTCATGTACAGCACGCCTGACTCAGGCATTTAGAGATTTAAGATCTTTAAAAGGCTGAGGGCCAGAAATATAAGTGCATCCAATCTGTGATCATTCCAACAGGTTATGACCTATTTTTTTTCTTTTATCAGAGTGAGCAGGGTTTAGACTGGAAGTTCAACAAGGTGAATATAAATTATGTACAACAGGCAGCCCATACTGTTATCATGTAGTACTTTCTCATGAAATTCTGGGCCAATACTTGTGCGTTTGTACTTCCTGGAGGTCTGTAAAGAGTGGATTGAGTTGAAAGGAAATGCAATTACATCCCTCATTGAGACAAAATTACTATATGCTTCAATAATAACCAAAGACAACAGTTGACCTCTCTGAACTCTTGCCTATAAATCTGTCATTGATTCTTTCCTTTCCACCTAAAGCATTTCCTTGGGGACTGATTCTAGGTATTAGTGTCCCCCTCTACCTGCCTCCCTTCTTCAATGGTCACGTCTTTCGTCTCTCATCATTATTGTTTCATTTTTTGTCGTTTTTATTGCTTGGTGTTAATGTTTTTATTTCATTTGTGGCAGTATTCATATCTAGTGATGAAGTGTTTTGTTGTGTGCATACTGAATATATCGTCTGCTCCACACTTTTGTTTTCTTAAAATGTCTTTACAATATGATATTTATTATCAATGTTTATCGTTGTTATTAAGTGTTTTGCTTATGTATTTAGAAAATTTGTTTTTGTTTTTAGAAATAGGCTTGTATTATAAGTCCCATAGATTTAAATAGTTTAGTTTTACCATTTTTTAAATCATTTAGTCAATCTCTGGGTCTGGCAGGAGCATTTTAGTATAGCTTAGCTCAGCATGAATCATTGAATCTGATTAGACATTTAGCATCTCCCCCTCAAATAAATCCAAAAACAGTTTAAATAATGTTCCTGGTGACGTGGAGTTTGCATGTTCTCCCCACATTTGCGTGGGTTTCCTCCAGGTGCTCCGGTTTCCCCCACAGTCCAAAGAATTGCGGTACAGGTGAATTGGGTACGCTAAATTGTCCGTAGTGAATGAATGTGAATGAGTGTGTATGGATGTTTCCAAGAGATGGGTTGCAGCTGGAAGGGCATCCACTGCGTAGAACATGTGCTGGATAAGTTGGCGGTTCATTACGCTGTGGCGACCCTGGATTAATAAAGGGACTAAGCTGAAAAGAAAATGAATGAATGGATGAATGAATAATTTTCCTATTGAAAGCTTGACCCTTCTGTAGTTACATTGTGTACTTACATTGGGTTTGGCAGCAACGTTCGTTGATTATTACACATTGGGAGCAACTTTTCATGACATAATAGAAGAGAGAAGCTTCAAAAAAGAAAATTATCAAAGCTCTTTTTTGAAATTTTGAGGAGAGATGCTAATGGTCTAATCCAACTCAATAATTTATGCTAAGCTAAGCTAAAAGGGTTCTTGTCAGCCCCCGATATCACATTAATTGATTTTAAAAAATGTAAAACTCAACTGTTTTTTCTTTTAAAGAGATAGTTCGCCCAAAATAAAAATTCTGTCATAATTTAACCCTCCCTTTACCAAACCTGTCAGTCTTTATTTCTTGTCTTTTCTCTGTTGAACACGTACAATGATATTCTATAGAAAGCTGGAAACCTTTAACCATTGACTTTCATAGTGTTTGTTTTGTTACTGTTTTGTATTATTATTATTATTATTATTATTATTATTATTATTATTAATTATTATTATTATTATTTTACTATGGAAGTCAGTGGTTACAGGTTTTCTGCTTTCTTCAAAATATCTCTTTTAATGTTAAGAAGAAAGAATATCAAAGGTTTTGTCAAAGGTTTTGAGGGTGAGTGAAAAATGAGTGAATTGTTATTTTTGGGTGAACTGTCCCTTTAATATTTATAAAATTCTAACAAGTTCATATGATAATAATCTTGTATTTTATTGGAAATGTATATGTTTAAGCTTGCTTTCTACTATTAATATAGGACATTCTACCGGTTTGAGGCTGCTTGGGATTCATCCATGCACAACTCTTTGCTGCTAAACCGTGTGACTCCTTACGGAGAGAAAATCTACATGACTCTGTCTGCTTACCTGGAGGTAAGCAAGGCCATGCACTTATTCATATGGGGAGATGAGACGTTCATTTTGGAGAGTTGCAGACCTGCATGATTTAGTTCCAGCTAATTTAATCTACCAAACAGCCCACAGCATTTGGAATGGCTGAATTAAGTACATATGCGAAAGAGAGGCAAACCTTGTGGATCTGTAGAACACAACAGCATTTTTAGTGGCCTTGGTTCTGGAAGTACTAAAATAAGTAAATAAATACATACATACATACATACATACATACATACATACATACATACATACATACATACATACATACATAATAACAATTTTCTGTAATAAACCAAACCACCCTGCTTTAGGTCAGTGAAATCAGATAAAAAAGACATACCTTTATTTATTATTCCATGAAGCTGATTAAATAGTGAAATAGAAATGGTATATTTTAAGTTTCTTGCAAAAATATTCCGTTTGGATTGTTTAAAATGTTTTAGAAAGATTTATGTTATGCTCTTGAAGTTGACATTTGTGTGATAAGTTAATACAGTAAAATATATAATGAAAAGAACTATTGAACTCGTCACCAGGTGCTGTTGACTTGAAATTTTCCCCGGATGTTGCTAACAACTAAAGAAATCCATATATGCAAAGAAAACAATATTAATTAATTTACACATTAAGTTATGCATTATTAAAGGGAAAAAGTATTGAACACATGAAGAAAGGGATGTGTAGAAAGGCAGCGAAAGCCCAGACATAGCTGAAATCTCTTTGTAGTTATTCAGCCAGCCTTTGCCCTTCCTCATTGTTAATGAACATTAGCTGCTTCAGTCCACATCTACATCTAAATTATCAGGATGAAGAAGATGAAACCAGAGTGGACATTTTAGTAAGACACTGATCCAAAACACAGTCAGGGAAACTCTAAAATGCTTTCAGAGACAGAAAATCAAGCTGTAGAATGGCCCAGCCAATCACTTGACTTGAATCCAACATACATTACAAATTAAGGAGCATATTTGATGCAACAATTTTGATATTTAAATACATTTCAGTATTTCAGCACTTTCTACTTGTGTCATTTCATTGTTATTACACATAAATAATTTTATTATTATTTTATTTTTTTATCAAATTTTATGTTTGTATTGTTTGGGTTTTTACCAAAATCAGGTTCAATTCCATGTCAACAGCTCCCTAATGTAACATTAAAGTAACATCTATCAAAACCATACAGTATATGATGATTTGGTGTTCTTATTATTGTTGTTTTCAATGTTGAAATAATATTTTTGTAGAAACCATTGTACATTTTTCAAGTATTCTTTGATTCATTTAAAAAAAAAAAATTGCAACGTTGAAAAATGATTCTAATCCATCCTCTATCTGTCTATCATAGTCTCAAAAATTAATTGTCGCGGTAGAGATCTTTCAGCAGGATTTATTTCCAGTATTTTCGTTGTCTGGTATTTTTTATAATATTTAATCATTAATTGTATGAATTAATTATTTTGTCATAATCAATTGTAGTTCTAAAACAGATAAGATGTTTGCTTCTGGAAGCTTCAGCTGTTTGTGGGTAATAGCCATCTATGATTATTTTAACCGCCATTTGCTTCAATTGCTTGCAGTATGTTCCTACTTTTATGCTTTATGGATTTGTAAATATTTTACATACTTACATCATTTTACATATTCCTGTTCCTAGATGGAGAACTGCACACAACCCACAGTGATTACCAAAGACTTATGCATGGTGTTCCACTCAAGAGACGCCAAACTTCCAGCATCTCGCTCCATCAGAAACCTCTTCAGCAGTGGCACCTTAAGGCCGTCTGAAGGGTACGACTACATTAGATAACAGATGAGCACATTTCCATTGCTGTGTTCCTCTTATAAGTATAGTCATAAATTTTTCTGTTGCTTATTTTTCATGTAGAAACCGTGTAACCGGTGTGTATGAGCTCAGTTTATGCCACCTGGCTGATGCAGGGAGCCCAGGTAAGAAACCAATCTTCTCATTGTATGTTGCACTGAGGAGTCGCATTATGATTCGTGACTGTTTAGATTTTAGGAAGATCTGCTCAAAAGGTCATGAATACATCTGCCTGCTTTTAAATAGTCAAATGTCCTCAATTGTTTGTACACTGTATGTTGGGTTCCACAAAATTGCTTTATGTTGTTCCAACACAAGTTGTTAATTGTTAATTAAAATTGGATTGAATATGACACAATTAAGTTGTCCCAAAAAAATTGAAAAGAAGTATGTTGTTTCAACTCATTTTAAATAAGTAGTTTGAACAAGCAAAGTTATTTTGAATGTATCAGGTTGGGGGACAGACATAGGATAAAATTTGAGATAAACAAAAATACTGGGATCTTATTTATTCTTATTTATTAGTAGACAAATAATTCAGGCAGATCAACAGCATATGACAACAATAATCACCTTAAATAAAGATTATGTGCTTTATTCACTATCAAATTTTACCAATGTGAGTTTAAATACATTTTACGTCACATGTATTGCCATACTACTGAAAGCAGCAATAAAAAGTAATCGAATGAAAATAAAATAACTAGCCAACAGTTTGCAAAAAAAGGTCAGAGCTGTGAAACTGACAAAACTGATCAGTCACTCAAAAGCTGATTAATAATGTTAAAGAGGTTTGCTATGATATAATTAGATCTTATTTTTATTAGATCTTATCTTATCTTAAAACTGGTGCAAGTACTCATAAAACTGGTGCAAGTAATCTGACCGTAAATATTCTGACCATGGCATTTAGAATAGGATGGGTTAGTAAGAAAGGATTCATTAACCTCATTTATTTTTAGAAAAAAAATGTATTTAGTTTTCTGACTATCATAGGTTTTATTTTATATTTAATTATGACCAAGTTAAGACCTCAAGGCCCTAGGGTTGAGGATAAGTTTGGGTTGTTTTTTAATATGGGTAAAAGTTTCATTCTATACAGTTGCACTGCGTTCTATTTGGCATTTTGTTTAAGAATCAATAAAAATCTGAATCTGTAAATCGTAGGAAGTTCTGTTGATAAAATGACATCTAAATGTGCAGGAATGCAAAGGCGGCGCAGGAGGGTGCTGGACACGTCGGTGGCTTATGTGCGAGGGGAGGAGAACCTGGCTGGCTGGCGGCCCCGCAGTGACAGCCTCATCCTGGACCATCAGTGGGAGCTGGAGAAATTGAGCCTCCTGCAGGAGGTGACAGCATAGGCTTTTTAAACCTCGACAAGTTGCTTGAGAGTTTTTGTTATTGTAAATAGAATGTGAATCTGTTTTTTATATTCTTTGAGCTAGATCTGCTATAAAAACTAACCAGCACTTGCTTCTGTTAAAAGCTAGAGCAAAAAGTTATGCTATTAAAAAGAGGAACATCTTCCACCGCAGATTTAGACAGGTTATTCTGGGGAGGCCGAGAGCTAGAATTGAGACATGAGATGTTTAGTGTGTTGCTTGTAATGTAGCATGAAATAGCACAGAATCCCATTCATTTGTTTTAGATGTAATGTAATGAAAAATGGTACTAATGACTTTTTAAAGTCATTATTTTGTAATCTGTTGTGAAATACATTTTAAAACTTCCCAGCCTTGCATGTTAACTATGGGGAGTAACTTTTGTTTAAAACAATCAGTGAAGTGTTTTAAAATCTGGGTACAATGAGGTGAAATTATTAGTTCATCTTTTAGCAGACCACAAATGACCTCAAAAACATAAAATGAGGCTTTAGTTGCTATATTAATAATTAATAGGTAAAATGTTTCTGAACTGTGTGGAATACAAAGATGGATTAGTCTGGAGGAACAAAACACCAGTGAACTCAAAAGGCTTTGGCCACCTATGAGGTTGTGATACTATCAAGTAAAAATTCCTAGCATAATGTTACTTTTATGACAGATGAAAATAACAGACAAAACCCAAGATACGTTTCACTCAGTTTGCTGTTTTTGGATTATTTGTAGTACAGCCATTGTTGTTTGAAGTGATTATTTAAATTCTTTTGGAACATGGAAGTTCCCTAAACAAGAAGTACAACCCATTATCAAAAAATGCAGTTGTCGTGTGAAAACAGTAGATAAACAATAGAACCTTAAATCAAATGAACCAGCTAGAATATGAATAAAGCCTGGTGATAAAGTGTTCATTGATGTGAAAATGTTACAATTTTATTGAGGATCTGAGAACTCATGATGTTCATTCATTTTCTTTTGGTATGTTAGGTGGAGAAAACCAGACACTACCTCCTCCTTAGGGAGAAGCTGGAGTCCACCCTGCTGCTGGGCCAGGAGTCGCTGCTGTCCTGCGGGAGTGAGGATCTAACCGAGTCCTCTTCCCCCTCCACTCACCTCGGCCTGGGCCACAACCCCGGCCCCGGCCCCGACACACCCAATGAGAGGCAGAGGGAGCTGGCTGCTAAGGTGAATCAATGACCTATAGGGCTAACCAAAAGAAGACTTTTTAGGAATCTAATTTAAATTTAATAATAATAAAAAAAAAGTTTTAATAAGATTTTTTTTATTTATTTATGTGTTTTTGTCATATTCATCCTGTATTTTTATTATTATTTTTATTCAGAATTAAAAACAAAAACTGTTATATGCATATCATCACCTTGGAAGTATTTTCTGAAATTTTCAAAATGTGGTTATTTATATCTTATTCTGTGATGGTTTATGTACATTATGTGTTTTAAAACAATTAAAACTCCTGGATCATCCAGTATATACCATCATTAATGAAAAAAAACGTTGTATGTATTTTTTAATCCATAGTAAAATCCAAATATTATTAAAAAAAAAAAAAAAAAAATATATATATATATATATATATATATATATATATATATATATATATATATATATATATATATATATATATAATATATCAAATTTTTCTAAGTTATAATATTATTCATCAAATCTTTATATATACACTGTAAATGATTTTTGTAAATGTAACAGTATTTAACTGTAATGTGAACTGTATTTTACTGTAAGACAGTTATGCAGCATGTTACCATATTTTACATATCTTACATAATAAAATTTTTATATTATAATATTACATTTTCTATAATATTTTGATTTAACTACGGATAAAAATATGCCTATTTTTCCTCCGAATTAAAAATTAAATAAAATGTAAAAATGTATAATACAATACAGCAATGACTTGAGAAAATCATGAAAAAAAACTTTTTTTTTAAAACATTTAAAATTCCCTTTGTATTATTATCCCAACAGTGTCTGCGTTTGCTTAACCACACATTTAACAGGGACTACAGCCATGTGTGTGTTAGCGCCAGTGAGAGCAAGGTAAAGGTTTACAACATTTTACACTTATTTTTAACACTTTATTTTCCTCTGTCAACTAATACACTCATCGAGATCTCAGACCAGTGAGAACATAAGAATACACTGCATTAAAAAGTGGAACTTTAAAAAAAACAAACATGACAGTGTTTACTACTGCAGAAACCAACAGAAATAATCACATGAGAGCAGGACGTTGAAGTTTACTGACTGATTTCTCTGTGATGTGTTGCAGTTGAGTGAGATGTCAGTGACTCTCCTGAAAGACTCTGCTTCAGTGTGTGCCGAAAGCACCCTCACACCCTCCTCCACATGTCCTTCACTTGTGGAGAGTCGATACATTCACAACACTGATCTCAGGTCAGTACTCAACGACCACTGTTTTGTTTCTCAGAATTAGGTAAAGAAATAAAAAATACAGTCTAAAGTGGATTTCTTCAACACAAATCAAATACTATTTCTGACCACTTTCCTACTGAAAAATAAACTATTCTGTTACATATCGTGTTATTCTATGATTTTTTTTAATTAACTATTAGTAGTGATGACAAAACAGAGGATATTTCTCATAGATGCATTTATTTAGGGTTATAATGCCAAATGGGATAAACATTTTTTAACAAATCCTATCTGAATAGCCTTCTCACATCCAGAAATATACCTATTGACCTTATTCTTCAATGTGGAAGTGTGCTCATTTTTGCAATTGTTTTAGAACTTTATAATCAGTTGCCTATGGGAGAAATGACTAGGAATACTAAACAACAAAAAACGGTAAAACCTGTTGCTCTTCAAACAAGTGTCTTCATGACAATACAGACAAAGCAGAATAATATAATAAGAAAATATCAGTTTGCAACATTTTTAACATCTAAAAATAAATGGAAGTGAATGAGACCGGAAGTATCGAGCTAAAAATATTCAAATGGCTGCACTCACCCATAAGCGAAGAATAAAGTCAATATTAACCCTATAAATGCCAAAGCAAGCAAACATTATATTACAACTATATTATACAGTTGTGTGGTGCTGCAATATTATGCAGTAGAGAAGGAGATTGAATGAAAGACTTAATTTATTCTTCAAGTCAAACTCATCACCATATCAATCACATCTTAATAAAGCTTTAATTTGAATGGCTGAGGAGAGCTGTATTGTGTTGGAAAGAGTACCGAAAAATCATACTCCAGTAAAAGGACAGTAGCATTGCTCACCCAAAGATATGTAGTGCAATAAGAGTATCTGTTTTAAATACTATATAAAGTTCTCATACCCTTGTGATAGAGGCTGTGGTATTTAGCCTCCTTGTTAGAGCAACTGCCTCCCATGCAAAGAATCGCAGGTTCGATCCCAGCTTGGAGCAAGTGAGTAGTATAGAACTGGTGGGTTACACCTACATATTAGAAATGGAGCTTTCATCAGTGCCACTACTTTTAATGGTGTTTCTGAGTGTAAGTTATTATAGTTACCATTCATGGACTGTCCTTGGCAAAATCTTTGTAAACTAAGAGGCAAAGAACTAACAGTTATGATACAGTATGTTAATGATTAGGTTATGCACATTGAACCCTGATTATCAAGCTACTAGTGTCCAGCAGTTGACGCTGCAAACCAAGCTCATGCTGCAAACAACAGAATAAATACAATTGGTGCATTTGTTTCAAAACGTATTTAGTTATTGTTTAAAAATGCAGTTTAAATAGTTGTTGCCTGTAACAATTGTGCTTGTTCTTGGACACTTCTAATACTTCCACACTGTACCTGTCCGTTGCATTTACAAAGCATTAGTCTGTCTGGTGTGAATTTTTAATTTAGTTTTATTTTTTTATTTTGGCTATGAGCAATTCGACTGGACTGGAGTCATGGGACTGATTATTTTACTTACACTGTAAAAAAAGTTGACTCAACTTAAAGTTTTAAGGCAATGAACTTCAGGACATTTTTAGGTTGACTCAACTTTCAACTCAATTACTGCACTTGACTCGATTTAAGTTGGGCAAACTCAAATATGTCCTGAAGTTTGTTGCCTTAAAATTTTAAGTTAAGTGAACATTTTTTACTGTGTAGCCAATTACTGTTGACAACAAAAGAGCTGGGAGTGCAGGTTGAAGGAAACAGTGCAGTAAAAAAGTACAAATGCAGAACATTTTAAACTACTTAAAGTACAATTTCTTAGAAAAACTACTCAATAACAGTCATTTGAGTATTTGTATATTTTTTTCATTTAAACAATATATATATATATATATATATATATATTATTAAAACCTATTGTCATTTTCTACAAATACATTATCTGAATTATCAAATATCATTCCTATTTGAACTTTTGAGGACATATTATTAGCAGTTTGTGAAATAAATCACAAATTTTACTCAGAACATGCACCTATTAATTGCAAATCCAGAGAAACGATTCTAACTTTTAAAGTGGTCTCTTAACTTTTTAACTATTCTGCTTAAAAAGCTGGAATAGGACTGTCATATCATAAATTACACCCATTTTAAAGGATGATGTTTAAGAAGTTCTACTTTGAAGTCTTGTTTTAAAGCTGTCTGTCTAATATTACTCCAAATGAAACACATCTATATTCTTACTGCTCATATGTGTAGACCCCCAACACCCCGATCTCGTGCTGTGAGCCCTAATCCTGACTCTGAAACAGATGGTAAGAAGATTCAAGAGCCCAGATCAAGAACCCGCACTTTTGTGCCAGACATTCAGGAAATCCGTGTCAGGTATAAATTAAAATTACAGACTGAACTCATGTTCTTTCTGCTGTTTGCTTATATATACAATTGAATTTATGAAAGTAGTTTGTTTGGAATCTGATTCTAACATCTTCTCTCTTTTAATCTTTAACAGCCCAATTGTGTCAAAGAAAGGCTATTTGCACTTTCTGGAGCCCCACAGTAATGGCTGGGTTAAGAGATATGTGGTGGTTCGTCGGCCTTATGTCTACATCTACAACTCAGACAGAGACACAGTGGAAAGGGCCATTCTTAACCTGTCCTCAGCGCAAGTGGAGTATAGCGAAGACCAGCAGGCCATGCTAAAGGTCAAACATCTTCAAAGATTTAGTTTATTTAATTAATTTATTTATTTTTGTTGGTCCCCTTTAGACATAACAATAAAACTACTGTATATGTCAGCTAAGGTGCAATATACACGTGTGCGTTTTTGTTTTAAAAATAGTGAATGTTTTAAAATAGTTAAAAATCGGAAAACGCTCCTCGTCCAGACTGGCAATTTTATTGCATATCCGAAAAACACTATACAGTGTAAAATTCATAATTCGGTACTATTAATGTTCACTGGCCATGGACATATTTGCCAGCATTTGTACGTGCAGTCTACCACTTGCATAATAGTCCTATGAGGGGCTTGATAAAGCAGGCAATGATACACAATAGTCCAGGAGACCAGTCAGAGTGTTATTGTGGATAACTTTTGCAAAAGTTTATATTACAGTCTGTATACTGAAATGGAATACCAGTATTTCCAAAATAAAATGGGGTATTTAACATTTGTAAAACACTCGTTTTTGTGCTTCAAAGATGCAAAGGTACTGTAGACACCCTTTTTAACTAAATATATACATTTTAATATTAAAACGGCTCATTTATCTCATTAAAATATCTTTAAGTGTATTAGTACATTTAGGTTAGGGTTAGAATTAGTTGATATACTTGCAAAACTCCTTAGTCTGCAGAATGTTTCTGGTGAAACATCAAAATAACATTTTAGCAGATATTAGAGAGTCTACTAATACTCTGATTGAGGACAAGTTACTTCACATATACTGTATACTTTTAGTTTATACTTTGCTTAACAGAATGTCTAAAGGGGACCATCAAAGTGAATTAATATTTTGATTGGTATTTTTTTTTTTTTAAGTTAATCTCTTCTTATGAACACAATTTGAGTAAATTGACTGAGCTGTGATTTAATATCTTTGTGAACTCCAGACCCCCTACACATTTGCGGTATGCACAGAGCATCGTGGGATACTCCTTCAAGCCAGTAATGACAAGGAGATGCATGACTGGCTGTATGCCTTTAACCCTCTGCTTGCTGGATCTATCAGGTACAGTGGAGTACTCGTCTAAAGACGTGGTCTCATTTACCTTTATTTGTTGAAATTATGTGTGTGAAATACAGTCAATAGGATATGCAGTTCTAAATTTCTGCTTGGTTTAGAAGTGACTATTTAATAAGCAGTGCTTTATTCATCACTGCACACAAAGGCTTCATACACTTTAAAGTCTGCGTGAAACAGAAGCTGCAATCTTTTTTATTTATTTATAGAAAACAGTAGGTGTGGCTTATTATTTTCTACCACGAGCTGATTGGATGCATTAAAGTAGACGTTTCATTCAGAAAGATACAGTAGGAAAAATAAGGGTTTTGGGAGAGTTATTAGAACCTAACAGACACCTTCTCCTCACCATTTCTGTTTGCTGTCATACAGCTGTCAAAACTGATATTTAGAGGGTTTTAATTGAGTATGGGTGCTTTCACACTAGCTCTTTTGGTCCACACCCGGGTTCATTTGACATCAGAGTTTGGTATGTTTAGCTAGTGTGAACGTTGTCTTCTATACTCCTGTGCGCACCCGTGAATCGTACCCAAGTCCGCTTGAAAGAGGTGGTCTGGGGTACGGTTTGTTCGAACTCTGGTGTGGTTCACTTTTGACATGACTGCAATCGTACCAAAAAATCGAAGTGAATTGCCAACTGTACAACTAACGTTAGTTTTCATAAAGTTCATTCATGTGTGTATGTCTGTGTACCTTGGAGACAAGGGTGACTGACCCATTGCAAATACAGAGATAATGTCTGAATGTCTCCACCAAAAACAACTTCTGCAGACATCACGTGATGTTCTGAACACTTTTAATATTTTTGTGGCAGATACAATCAAGTGGCTCTCTGTATTTTGGTTTTGATAACAAAAGCAAAAGTTTCAGTAAAAGCCGAATGACTGTGATATACGGATGTCTCCATTTTGGTGCTTTGCTTTGGTGGCCGTCACCTAGCAACAGCTGTACACAGAACAGAAGCTTGATGATGCATGCGTACCGGGGTTCAGAAGGAAAAAAGACAGTGTGAACACAAACCAGCCGAGGGGGACTATAGAACTGTGGTTCAGACCAGGCATTCGAACCAAGTGTGAAAGCACCCTTTGTTAACCATGCCCAATACCTCAGACAGACATAATCTGAGATTTTCACTGAAAACAAGTAGGAAGTGCATATTCAGATTTCAGTTATAGATTAATATGGCAAACATTTTTTTCTTAAGTCCTGCAGCGGAAGTGTGTTGGAACGTTTGAAAACAATATACCATCGCTCAAGCTTCTCAAACTGCCTTTTGTCCTCTTATTTGAAGTATATCTTTACCTTTGGTGGTGAATCAATTGATTCAATGTATATAATATGAGACATGCTTATTCATTCATAAATGAAATAAGGTGTTAAAGGTTACCTAAGATTGAGTACCATTTTACATGGTTGTCAGTCAAGATCATCATGTCAACATTGAAACTGATATGTTACTTCATAGAGATCAGTGATGTTGATTCAAAGCAACAGTGCTGACAAATTGGAAAATTTACAATGAAAGGATACTTCCAAAAAATCGGATCGTCCCTTTAAGGCATCTTAAGTAATTTCACTCGGCGACCATCTTTGAAATGCCTCTCGAGCAGTATGCTTGGACATTCTATCTGAATGGAGAAGCATCAAATTCTCCAAAACTGTATTCCAAGCTTACAATTACATTTCTTATTTGGAACCAACAATAAATTTAAACAACATCTGTCTCATAAGTTTTGTTTCTAAACATTCAAATTAAACAAAGTCTGCATATATTCAGATTGCCAGAGCTAATGCGCATGCGCTCTCGAAAGGAGATCATGACACCTACCTCATTTATGGCCGTTCTACATATTATGATCCCCTGGATAATTATAGCCTGATTGCATTGCTCTTTTGAAGTAATTCACAACTTGGTCTTGATGGTAAATCTCCTCCAGACATGACAGCAACTCTTTGTTTACAAGTCTGTGGGTGTTTAAGTAGTTGCTCTCATGTAATGTGCATTTGACAGAACGGACTTTACCTTACGCTCATTTTATACAGATTTTTTTATAAAGTTTTGTTATAAAGGGCACTTGGTTCATTTAAAAGTAGATTTGTGGATACATTGTGAATATATTTCTTATGTCTGTAAAGCAAGTATTCACTGAGAAGTCAGTGTGTTTGTTTACTGTCGTAAAAGCACACGTCTGGTCCCAGCTTCTCTGTCATTGTATAGCGATCAATGATTGGCTCCTGTACTTGTAGGCGGGGCTTCATTCGCCATATTGACCGTTACACTTTTCCCTACTTAAAACTATACGAGTGACATGTCTTGTGTTTTCTATTGTCTTTGGGAAAACTGATGGTAAACATTTCTTTTTGAGGATTTTGTGGAACTTTCAGTAATCTTTCTCTTTCCCCCTCAGGTCTAAACTGTCCAGAAGGAGAGCTGGGCAGATGAGGTTTTAAGCCCACCACATGTGTACTCAATGTACAACTCTTCAAGGACAAAAACAAACACAAAGGACTAAACTTGTAAATAGAGCTACAGTACTGACAGATTCACAAGTTTCTGTGCTTAATCAGCTCTCTGACCCTCTGTTTCCTTCATGTGTGTACCTGCACCTGTCCACACTCACGTCACCTGTGCACCTGTACATTTAAAGCCCTTTGTTGTGCATCTGCAGTGGCCTAAATATTCAACTTATAGCGCCAACGGAACAGGCTAGATACTTCATTGGGTTAGATAGTTTGCTTACGTAGTCTTCAACATTTAAGAAAGTTGGTGATGGGAACTCCTCATGCAAAACAAGCATCCAAATTGTTTCTGTGAAGAGTGAAATGCATATCTTGAGTTTGGTGGATCACACGGCCTTATTGTGTTACTTCTGACCTGTCAGTCTATGGGTTTAAACTGGTCAGAATTTAAGTCAGCAGACTATATGTTTATTCATCTCTTGGCTATGGAAGATGGAATGGATCAACGATAAGCAGTTCATAGCAAAAGGAGCAAATGAATCACGTCATATTACGCTCTTACTCTCTTTAAGTGCAGTTCTTGGCCACAGTACAGCCCGTCATAAATACCAATATACCTTTATAATGTTTCCATTGTATGGCCTTGAAAGCGTATAAAGTTTTCAAAATAATCAGGACGCATGAGGAGAAAATTGGCAACAGACGATGGTTGCACTCTCATATCTCTGAACGAGAACCATTAAAAAGATTTGGCCTATTTTTGTTGGAGTACTGGTCAGTAGATTTATCTCAAATGTATCATAATCCAGTCTAATATTTTATATAAAAAGTATCGGTATCCCCAAATGATCTTATATCTGTCTAATTTATTTTTAAGATTTCTGTTAAAGTCTTATCTAGCTAGCTATTTATTTAACGTGTTTTTATTTATTTTAGCATCTATTTATTGAAAAAGACTGTAATATTTTTGAAGAAGTACAGTGCAATTTCTGCATATGGCACTTTTTTTTTAATCTTGAGTTGAATGACCTCCATTTTACTGACTGCACTGCTCTCATTCCCCCCGACATGATGAAATGCATTTGGGGATCAGGTTAGAAGTGAATGCTGGGATAGCTGCTATTACAAGTAGATTACTTGAATTTCACTTTTTAGTTAAAAAAGTCGTTCATTATTATTATTATTGTTTCATTTTAAAAAAATCATCATTATTGCCCAGGATCCTAAAAGAGTGCTTTGTATGGTGGTCAGTCTTGAAAGATGAAAAGTTTAGCAGTTGATCAGGTCATACGTGCACAACTGATGGAATTTTCAAAGTGCATCCCAGAGAGTGATGAGATATGATTTTGTGCCTCTTGCATCATTTTTTTCAATGTACATCATCTTACTGTATTTCCTGTTTGCTTCTTTAACAGGATGAATGTCTACTTTCAGGCTCACTCATCATTACCATTGTTTCTCTATGTGTGCAACCATACAGTACCTGTCCACGGGCAACAGCAGGTTTTCAGTTACTTTAATTTGCATATTAAGTTGGCATAGTCTACTGTACATTCCCTACGTATAGGATTTCTAAGAATATCTAGATAGTGTAAATATTGTTTTGCTCAAGTTCTTTAAAATGAACAAAAACAAGTGTATTTATTTAACCAAAAACATTTTTTTCAGCATCATACTGTAAACTCAAGAAATAAGCCCTACTTTCTTAGTAATGTATTGAAGATCTGTTTTGACTTTTTGTTTTTGTTGGAAAATGATAAATCCATTTTGTTTAGAAATTCTTGTAATCCGTTGCAGTGTAGACTGACTGAAATGCAGACTTTCAGCTACAATCACTCTGAGACTGTTGCAAATTGCGTTTTGGTCCCTGATTCATGCACAAATGGTCACATATCATAATTTTATACTGAATAGGACAGAGAACGTTTTGCTGAACGAAACACCAGTCTGAATGAGGAGTGTTTTCATTCTTAACCACCATTTTAATACTTAAACACACTACTATAAATGCAGCCTACATTGGAATGAGAACATTCCTTATCGAGACTAGTGTTTTTACTTTTATTCATACTTTACTGTTTTGCTAGCGTTCATGTCCTTAGCCTACAGGTTGCGTGATGGTCACATGTGGTGCTTGACGAATCAGAGAGCAATACACAATAGTCCAGAAGATCAGTCAGAGTGCAAATGTGGATAGCTGCAACTCCATTTTTTGCAGTTTGAGTTTCGGTAGACCTGTACTGAAATGGACCATCAGCATTTTCAAAGTAAAACATGCTCTTTTTACATATCAAAATGCCTTGTTTTTCATAGGCCAACGTTTCCAGAGTACAGTGGATGCCAGACAAAATAAGACAGATATATGAAAAGACGTGTGTAAACGAAGTGTAAACAGCATCTCAGGTCTGACTGTGTTCTGATTAGGTGATGTTTACACTAATGTGTTTTTGTTTTGTTATAGTACGTCTGGTTCCCACACTACTCTGACCTTTTTCACCTCTGAAAACTGAGCATTTTAAAAATACTGAAGATCTGTTTTAGTTGTAGAAATGCTGGCATTCTGTTTCAGTGTATACCGACCAAAATGCAGCCTTTTGAAATGGAGGCAAGGCTATAACTGCTCACTGTTCACTAGTCTTTCAGACCATTGCATATTGTTCCCTGTATCATTAAGCCCTTCTCATATGACCGTTATTCAACCGGTAGACTGTAAGTATAGATGTCGGCAAACAGTCAGTGTGTAAAGTCACTAATCATGTGTTTGGCTGTACAGTGTGGACAGAGATCAGATTTTTAGAAACACAATAAAAAACACTTTTCTGGACACCACTTTAAAACAAAAATGCACTAGTGTAAATGCCGCCTCAATCTCAATTGATTTATCTTGCGCACAACTATCCTGGAGTTTACCTGAGAAATATTTTTGCATGTTCAGAGCACAGATCAGATGTTCATCTGAGGTTCCTGCAGAGCTGGATCTGGCAGCTTCATGGGAATGACTGAGGTCAACCAACCTACAGTTCATACTCAATACTGCAAGAAAACACCTCTGCTAAAACACTGATCTGTCTGTGAATAGATTCCAGAGATTTAAACTTCTTATTCCAAAAATTCAGTTATTACTATTGTCATTTCTGTATCTTTGAGTGGACAAAATAAGCATATCTTCAGTTTTTCACTGATATGTCAAGTCATTTCACTTTACATTTATGACCAGTTTAAAATAAATACAAGCAATGCCACTACTTTTAGAAACATACATACCTTAATAATAATAAGTTTGTATGTGTGTGACAAAATTACTTTTTAAAATTAATTTCAGTTAAAGTGCTTACTAGATTGTTTTCATTTTTGTCTCTACAGAAAGTAGGACAGAGAGCTAGAAGTATAGCATATCCTGTAATGTTTCTACAAGCTTTTTCATAAAACACCCATTCCATTATCATTGAATTAATTTACCACAAGTAAAATAATTCAATTGTTCTCATAATTTACACCAAATATTTGTGTGCTTCCGTTCTGCTTTAATGCACATTATGACTCCATTCATATGATTTTTTTCTTCTCTGTTGTTCTCTCTGAGTTTTACTTGCCTTGTATATAAACATGATTGCTGTGAATGGTGTATAATGCAGTTGTAATTGGTTTGTACCATCTTCAGTGGGCAGTAGTTCAATGTCTCTTTCTGAGTGTTGGAGTTATGAGTCATGTTTGTGTACACTTAACACATTGTCAGATATGAAATAAATGTGGAACTTATGCAACACTATGAATTGTTTGTGTGTGTGTGTGTGTGTGTGTGTGTGTGTGCGTGCGTGCGTGCGTGCGTGCGTGTGTGTGTGTGTGTGTTTATTTTTAGAAATAATATTTGGAAATAATATTTTAAAAATATATTATTTAGCTCACAATTAAGACTTTTCCCAGAATTTCTTCTATCATTATTCGACACTTAGATCACACATTTTTGAATTCTTTCTTGAAATTCAATATTAATCTTTCTTTTGAAGAATGTCTAATTACATGAAATTCTGAATTACTAAATGAAGTCTTTTTTTTTTATTCTTGTAGTGAAAACAGACTTCCATAAAAAGTATAAACTTACGAATTTCATTAAATTGGTTGTTAAATCATATTAGTTATTATTTATTTATTTATTTTACAAATAATGTATTAGGCTATTCATTATTTGCTCTAGTTTTAGCAGAATCCAGGCGTGATGAAACAATTTGTCATGTTACATACATTTACAGACTGTGGTTATGTGAGTGTGAATACTATGTCAACGTGAATATTGTGAGACTGACTAAAAACTAATAACAGAAGTTTGCTGATATTTGTGAGCATATGAGGGCCTTTTGCTAGTTGTAACTTTAATATAAAACTTCTTTTTATTTATTTTTTCAAAGCAGAATTTAATAACACACATTTAATCTTTAAATATACAAATTGGTCCATATAAAATAACTTACGTTTTTACTATGTATTGCTTTGTTTTCCTCCTAAGAAAGTGATTTTCTTTTTTAAAATGGTTTGTAATTTTATAATTGTGACAAAAAATCACTATATATGAATGCATTGGTACTTTCCTTTTTTAAAGAAAACTGTGGCCTGAAATTCATTATTTTTTATTATGTAAATTAATAAACATTTAAGTAAATGATGTACCGAACATAACTGAGAAAATTATGAAAAAAAAAACACTTACAGAAACAGGAATAAAAACTGTAACAGGAATGTGTGTGTGTTTGTGTATGCATGCTTGTGTCAGAGAGAATCCTGTATGTGCTATGTGTGAGAGAGAGAAAGAGGAATATCTGTGTTAAAAGGACGGGCTTTGTAGGTCTTAACACTGAAGAAGATGGAAAGAAAGAATACAACAGAACCGTTAGAGAGAGGAATAAAGAGAGGGTTGCTCATTCCTCTGCAGTATGCCATGTGAGTGTTTTTGGCTCCTACAGTACATAGTATGGGTCTTCTCTATCTATTTTAACATAATAATACAATAATAACATTACTTGTCCACAAACCACTAATAATTTGATTGCTAAAAGCAATTAACTTAACAAAAAACAATTTCCCTAACCTTTCCTAAAAAGCTTGACCCAGTTTGACCCAGACATATTTTTCAATTTTCATGTTACAACCTGTGACTGGCCTTGAGGGTTTCATAAAATAATGTCCTCAAATAAGTAGCAAAAGGATGTCTTCACTGGTCAAACAAACTGTTGACTGTCAGTGGCAAAATTGTCATTTTTTGAGAAAACTATTATTTTAAATATCTTACAACTTCAGCAAACATAATGTGGAAATCAGGTGAAAAATATAATAAAAACTAATATTCATACTACTAAGTAAATACTTCAGAAGATGCTTCACACTCTTGGTGTTACTCCTTCCTGTTACTCTTCAAATACGTAACAGGACTGAATTTTTAGCATAAAATTTGCAATTAAATGCCATTTAGCCACATGCATGCTGTACATGCTAATAGCTTAAAGAAATTCAGGCAATTTTCATGATTTGCCAAATATGTGAATTAGCTATTGTGGTTATAGGCTAGGGTAAAAATGGAAAATATATATCTATAAATATATATATATATATATATATATATATATATATATATATATATATATAAATATATATATATATGCCTTAGACAAAAAAGGGCACTGATATATAAGAGGACTGATTAAAAATTGTGTGTATAAATGTATTTGAGGCAAATATGAGATATAGAGTTACACAACAATCTAAGATTTTAATAATTATATTTTACTGTGAACTGCAGTGTTAGAGACTGGGGACAAGCGAAAAATTTCAGTGTTTTAGGTCGTTTTTAATGAATTAAATTTGTAGTTCTGACGGTAAAGGACACTTTGCTTAATAATAATAACAAGAATGTTTGAGTTACTTTTCTTGCATATGTATACATATTTAGTCCTGGGGAGAGAAAAGGCACTCATTCGGTGAAATAGCTCATGAATAAATCAGTGTAACGTTTATTGTTCACATCATTTATAGAATTAAAAGAAAATCAATTACTACCTACCAATGTCAAGCTATATGTGCTTCATTTTATCCATTAGTATATATTCCCTTAGTTACTAACCATATCGTAGACTATTTGAACGATACTTCCATCCTCACTGGCCTCAAAGTAACTTAACAAAATTACAAGCGCTACTACGAAGAAGGCTCTTAACTTATGAATATTAATTACGTGACGTTCAGCTAGCGGAAGTAGACTATCGAATTAGAAACGCGGAACCCTGAAGGCTTGGCTTATTAGCATTACTACTCAGGACACGACTGGACGCCTTTTCACGTTTATCAAGCAACGTCACCGCGATCTGATTAATAATTCACGAGGCAAGCCTTCGCTATAGTAAAAAGAAAGTGGGACAGTGTGAAAAGAGGAGGGGTTTGTTTTAGTCGTGCGTTTCCGGTTCACAGTATGGCGTGCTGCCGTGCAACTGTGAATCATTGACAGGACAGACATACGCTAAAAGAGTAAGAAAGGTCAGTAAACTAGCAGTAAAATTATATAGGTTTATCACTAAAGTTAGTTATCTCAGCTAACTGTAAAGCGACTGTAAAGGCCATTTTGCTTGTCGGGGTTTGCTCGCATAATGTTAGACAACAGAACAAGTCTCCACGCTCAGTGAATCACATGCATGAATCAAAGTTAGAGATTTTAATAAAGTACATAGAATTTTAAAAGCTTATAGTTATAGCAGTGGCTGGCTTAAATCAAGACATAATTATATGTGTGACCCAGCAAACCTTACAGACTGCATTATTCCGTTATGGTTTAACTTTGAAGCCAAGGTTAACATAAACATTAAAACGTTCTCCCATTTCAAACCTTTATGAGTTTTTCTTTCGTTCTGTTGAACAAAAAATGAAGGTGTTCAGAAGAATTTTTATAAACTTGTGGGCTCTGACATCCATAGTAAGGAATGGACGTCGATTGCTATGGGTTTCCAACATTGCACTAAATATCCTACATTGTATTATACACAAGAAGGAAACTTATAAAGATTTTTGTAAAAAGGGGAGGGTGGGTATACCATGACAGAATTTTAATTTCTTTGAGAATTGTCCCTTTAAATATGCTTTGTAAAATGATTTAATATTTCCCTGAATGTGTTTAGACTCATGTACAATATTTTGCCCTTTTTTATCAGTGTAATCCAGATCATGGCTGAAAAGTTTGACCCACCTATAACCTTGAGTCATAATTTCCCCTCATTACATCACTGGGATTCTCACCTGGATCATCATGCTGTGGCTGATGGACCAGATAGGTAATGAATATGCCAATACAGTCCTATTCTGAACATGAAGTCATCCAAATATGATCTTCCACATGTTTCAGAATGCAATTAATCGAATAACTGTTTTGCTGCAGAATATATATGGATTACAACGCCACCACACCAGCCGATCCAGAGGTGATCAGGGTTGTTACTGATGCTTTAATGGATGCGTGGGGAAATCCCAGCAGTAACTACCTTCCAGGTATGAAGCTGTACAACGTTATTCACATTTAAATAATCCCCGAAAAATAAATGGGATTTGTTCCCCCTCGCATTGATCAAAGATTAGAGTGGAGGGGTAATTCAATTCAATTCAGCTTTATTTGTATAGCGCTTTTACAATGTAGATTGTGTCAAAGCAGCTTCACATAAATGGTCATAGTAACTGGAACAGTGTGGTTCAGTAACTGGAACAGTGTGGTTCAGGTTTTAGTGTTTAAGTTCAGTTCAGTTCAGTTTAGCTCAGTTCAGTGTGATTTAATCATTACTGAGAGTTCAAACACTGAAGAGCAAATTCATCGATGCGTAGCTCTACCAATCCTGAACCATGCGAGGCAGTGGCGACAGCGGAGAGGGAAAAAAAACTTCACCTGATGGGAGTGAAGAAAAAAAACCTTGAGAGAACCAGACTCAGTTGGGCACGACCATTTTAATTTCTCCGCTGGCCAAAAGTCTTGTGCAGAACTTCATTCGCCGTGGTTTATGCTGGAAGATGGCCTCAGCGAAGACTCGTCTGTCCCTGGAGCGTCGCTGGAATCAGACACATGTTCTCCACTCCCCACGACCATCAGCGCAGCAGCAGCTCAGGATATGGCCTGGTCCCGGATATGGAATCCTTGGGATCATCACGTCGCTGGTCTTGGATCCAATCAGTGACTCCGCCTAATCTGAGGACCTCGGGATGAGTATCCCCAGGTGAAAATAGAGAATAAAGAGAATAATTAGCGTAGCTGCTGTTCATAGTGTATATAAGCAAGATGCAGAAGCCAGTGTGGAACCCGCTAGGTGATGCATTGAGTGTATGCTTTACTAAACAGATAGGTCTTTAATCTAGTTTTGAACTGGGAGAGTGTGTCTTAGCCTCGGACATTACCAGGAAGGCTATTCCAGAGTGTAGGAGCCATGAAAGAGAAGGCTCGACCTCCTTTACTTGATTTTGCTATTCTAGGTACTACCAGAAGCCCTGAATTTTGAGATCTTAAGGAGCGAGTTGGTTCGTAGCGAGACAGAAGGTTGGTTAGATAAACAGGAGCTAGATTATTTAGAGCTTTATAGGTGAGAAGTAATATTTTAAATTCAATACGAAATTTAACAGGCAGCCAGTGTAAGGAGGGTAAAATTGGGGTAATCTATCCCTTAAACAATATTTAAAATAGTTTTCCACTGATCTCTGATTAGGTTTGAAAGCCAGAGACATCATCTACCATTCGAGAGATGCCATTGCTAGGATGGTCGGTGGAAAAGCAGCAGACATTATTTTTACTTCAGGAGGAACTGAGGTGAGTCATGAAAATGAGCTTGTTTTTTGTTGTTGTAAAAGATAAAATAGAGCATCCCATTTGTTGATAACTATATAAATATTCCCTGTGTAAGGCAGTCAGTTTATTGACATTTAAGAATGTTTAGCCAAATAAACATTTATGAAACATAAAAGATTATTATGCTCTACTTTAATGACAAGGCTATGTACATTACTTGTTTCTGAGAAAAGTAAAAGCAGTCACAGCAGCAATCGTTCTCCTGTATGTCATGTTTAAAGTTCATGGCACACCCAACTTGGGTATTAAAAGTTTCCCAGTAGTAAATATGTTTTAAGAAGTCGTTAACATCCGATTAAAGACTGGGAAACTTATATTTGCAATAATTCCTTTCTATAGCATGTGAAGGCAGCAATAAAACAGGAGCGTCCAAACCTGTTCCTGGAGAGCCACTGACCTGCAGAGTTATGGTGGGTTCAGGTCATGACAGACAGATATTTATGAATTGAAAGCACATGAATGCAAACACACAATGTTAAAGTTACAAGTGGAAAACTCCCAGAGATTCCGAATTGTGGCTGTCAGTGAAAAAAAAGAACATGTTGCATACCATGGATAGTTTTAGCTTGATTTTCATTGCTTTATCACATTTATGAAATCGTGCTTCACCACACTCAAACCTGAGCGCAAGTATTATGTTTTTAACAGTGTCAAAACATTCTTTTCAGTTTTATATGTCATATTGAATGCCAAGATAAGGCTTATTTCCTTTAAAACATTGCTTAATGTGAAACAGAATATTTAAATACAAGCTATTTACATGTCATTTTGACCCCTAATATAGAGTATTGTAATGCCTCCTCTGACAAAACAGATGCTGTTGCTCACAGATCAGCATAAAACAAAGATCAGTCCATACAGTTTTCCTGTATTTCTTTCATCTGTGTGTATTCACAAACATTAACCCAATAAAAAAAAAAAAAAAACAATAATCTAGCAAAAACTGCTAGATTTATTATACTTGAAATACAGTAATAGACTAAACAAAAGAGAAAGGTTGTTTCTTGATGAGTCTTACTGCGTGTCAATTTTGACGATTGTCATATAGTCTGATATTACAGCAACTCTAATCTTACAGTGACATGGGGATCATATTTGTAAAGTCTAACAAACTACAGTTGTAAGTACTATTAAAAAGTGCAGAGTTTAGGCCCAGCTTTACCCTTCAAGCAGTAGTCCAAATGGAGCATTACACTTATGTTGAGAGGTGCATTGGATTTACATAATTGAGTTATGTAAAGGGGCCTTTATGGAATGCCACTTAAACTTTATTTAGCTCTCTGTTTCTGAACTTTCAGGCCAATAATCTGGTGTTTCACACAGCGGTTGAGCACTTCAAGAAGAGCATGATTTCAGCAGAGGGAAGCACCTCAAGCAAGCAAACAAATGGAAGAGGCTCTCTACCTCATGTCATCATCTCCAACGTGGAGCACGACTCCATCAAACTCACAGCTGAAAACTTGTTAAAAGAGGGCAAAGCAGGTCAGCAGGACTGGGTTCACTGTATAAAAGTTTGGTTGTGTCCAAAAAATGTATACTCTATACCTCTAGTGCAGGTACTTATTTTGTTAATTAATTATTCCAGAAAAAAGGGTTCTTCTATAAAGAATGAGTGTAATCTGGATGTACTGCATTCACCATATTTTCATAACCATGTGATCTACTAGTGTCAGTTAAGTTGCTTCACTGCCAATCACAAATCCTCTTCTTTGACCTAGCAAAATGTCTATCATACGCATACCCCAAAATCTCTCCAGATATAATAAATAACCGGTGCACTTTTTGTGTTCTGTTTACTGTGAATTTGGGCATACAAATTGGCTCTTCGCATATTGATTTCTGCTTATTATATTGAATAGAAGTATACGTTTTGGATGCAGTCATTGTTTTGTTTTTTGAAGATTTAGCTTTAGGTTACTACTATATAGAGGAATTGTGCATTCAATTATGTTGCTATTTGTGTTAAAGGGATTGTTCTGGAGATTGAAAATTTTCTCTCCATTTACTATCTTTCATACGTTTCTTTCTTTTGTTGAATACAAAACAATCAAAACAAGCCATCTTTCCAAAGTAGGAAGAAAAGATACAATTGAAGTCAATGGCTATTTTTTTCCAACATTGTTCAGTATCAGATATGTGTTTAACAGATAAAAGAAACTCAAACAGGTTTAAATTAAGTAAATGATGACAGATTTTTCATTTTTGGTTGAACTATCCCTTTGATACCGTTTGAATGAAAGCAAAAGTGTTGGTGGTCTGATTGGAGCTGTTTGGATTCTTGTTGTAGATGTCACATTTGTGCCCGTTTCCAAGGTGACAGCACGGGTGGAGGTGGAGGACGTCATTGCAGCAATTCGTCCAACCACCTGTTTGGTGTCAATCATGCTGGCCAATAATGAGACGGGGATTATTATGGTGAGCTTGTTGTAAATATGATAAGAGTTTAAATAATGTATCAAACCACTTTATAGTTAATGTCACATTCATGTGTTTGGAACAAAGATTAATTGCAAGTGTGAAATTGCTTTTATACAATATTTCATGGTTTCTCAGAGTCATGAGTCCATATCAGAATTTTCATCACTGTCAAAGTTCCAGATAGGTTGGTTATAACAAAACTGTTTTTAAATAAACATGCATAACAAATCAACAACAACAACACATTAAAATATATTATTTTTTTAAAAGTATTTACATTTCAGACATCATAGTTTCAAGGCCTTGAAACTATGGCGACAGATCAGTCTCAATAATAACACATTTGCTTTCATAAAATTCATAAATGCACAATACAATTCATAAATCCACAACTCCAATTTGTAAATTCAAAACACAATTCATGAATCCACAACTCATTTAAGACACAAATCCACAACTCATTTAAAACACAATTCATAAATCCACAACTCATTTAAGACACAATTCATAAATCCACAACTCATTTAAAACGCAATTCATGAATCCACAACTCATTTAAGACACAATTCATAAATCCATAACTCATTTAAAACGCAATTCATGAATCCACAACTCATTTAAAACACAATTCATAAATCCATAACTCATTTAAGACACAATTCATAAATCCATAACTCATTTAAAACACAATTCATAAATCCACAACTCATTTAAAACACAATTCATAAATCCACAACTCATTTAAGACACAATTCATAAATCCACAACTCATTTAAAACGCAATTCATAAATCCATAACTCATTTAAAACGCAATTCATGAATCCACAACTCATTTAAAACACAATTCATAAATCCATAACTCATTTAAGACACAATTCATAAATCCATAACTCATTTAAAACACAATTCATAAATCCACAACTCATTTAAAACACAATTCATAAATCCACAACTCATTTAAGACACAATTCATAAATCCATAACTCATTTAAAACACAATTCATAAATCCACAACTCATTTAAGACACAATTCATAAATCCATAACTCATTTAAAACACAATTCATAAATCCACAAGCCATTTAAGACACAATTCATAAATCCATAACTCATTTAAGACACAATTCATAAATCCACAACTCATTTAAAACGCAATTCATAAATCCATAACTCATTTAAGACACAATTCATAAATCCATAACTCATTTAAAACGCAATTCATGAATCCACAACTCATTTAAAACACAATTCATAAATCCATAACTCATTTAAGACACAATTCATAAATCCATAACTCATTTAAAACACAATTCATAAATCCACAACTCATTTAAAACACAATTCATAAATCCACAACTCATTTAAGACACAATTCATAAATCCATAACTCATTTAAAACACAATTCATAAATCCACAACTCATTTAAGACACAATTCATAAATCCATAACTCATTTAAAACACAATTCATGAATCCACAAGTCATTTAAGACACAATTTATAAATCCATAACTCATTTAAAACACAATTCATAAATCCACAACTCATTTAAGACACAATTCATAAATCCATAACTCATTTAAAACACAATTCATAAATCCACAACTCATTTAAAACACAATTCATAAATCCACAACTCATTTAAAACACAATTCATAAATCCATAACTCATTTAAGACACAATTCATAAATCCATAACTCATTTAAAACACAATTCATAAATCCATAACTCATTTAAAACACAATTCATAAATCCACAACTAATTTAAAACACAATTCATGAATCCATAACTCATTTAAAACACAATTCATAAATCCACAACTCATTTAAAACACAATTCATAAATCCACAACTCATTTAAAACACAATTCATAAATCCATAACTCATTTAAGACACAATTCATAAATCCATAACTCATTTAAAACACAATTCATAAATCCATAACTCATTTAAAACACAATTCATGAATCCACAACTCATTTAAAACACAATTCATAAATCCACAACTCATTTAAAACACAATTCATAAATCCATAACTCATTTAAAACACAATTCATAAATCCATAACTCATTTAAGACACAATTCATAAATCCACTACTTCAATTCGTAAATTCACAACACAATACATAAATTCAAAACACAATTCATATATCCACAACTCCAGTTTATAAATCCACAACTGCAATTTGCAAATTAAAAACATTATCCATAAATCCACAACTCTAATTTGTAAATTCAAAGCATAATTCATAAATCCACAACTCCAATTAATAAATTCAGAACACAATTCGAAAAATCCACAACTCCAATTTGCAAATTTAAAACACGATTCATAAATTCAAAACACAATTCATAAATTCACAACTCCAATTCATAAATATAAAACACAATTAATAAATTTAAAACACAATTCATAAATTCAAAACAAAGTTCATAAATCCACAACTCCAATTCATACATTTAAAACACAAATTGTAAATTCAAAACACAATTCGTAAATTCAAAGGTAAAAAGCAAAAAATAAATGCCAAATTTTCACACATTTGCATCTTACATAAATGCATTTAAAATGTTTACACATTTATGTATATATTAAGTTCTTGGATTACTTTTTTGGATTAATTTTATTGATAAAATTACTTATTTTATCAATATTTCAGAGACCACATTTGAATATTACTAGTATTGAATTTAACAAATTTTTATTAAAGTTCTTGAAAAACATGACTTTTTAATGGTCAGTTTTACAAAATTACCCAGACATTTTCAACGTATATATTAAATGTAAGTGAAATGTTAGATACAGTAAGGATTTTCTTGGAGAGATGTGTGGGAGTATAAATTACAAAGGGGTTTGATTTAAAACTAATAGTTTTTCAAAAAGTTCTTGAAGGACCTTGAATCTGCTATTAGTGAAAGTGTGGGAACTCTGCAAACAGTTTTGTCCTGGATTAGAGCAAAGGTATTTGTCATCTTTGAAAAAAAATCATCCTGGAAACTGTCATACTCATCCAAATGCTCACTGTGATGAAGATGACCATCACCAAGCTTGATTGTAACAAATATCATCAACCATCACAGCAACATCATACAGGAAAATTTAAAATCTCACCTTAGCTTTCATTTTGGACCATCGCTGAAGAGACATTAAAAACTAAAAATACTTATATTCATTTATCATCATACAAAATCCACACTTTTAATCAATCACACACACACACACTTAAAGGAAATGGAGGTTGTTTCAGATCAATTCTGTCTGGGTCTGGATCCAGATCAGAGCCCAGACTTTTAAGAGTCATTGCAGTCGTTTAAAAAGGTGATGTTAATTAAGAGAAATCGACATTGTAGACACATTTTAGCAAGTTATTTTTTGCTCTGCTAATGAAATAGTTTTTTTTTTCTACTACGATTTGGCACTCAAAATAATCAACAAGATTCTACTTTCAACAGCCAATTAAGGACATTTGTCAGAGAGTCAATGAAGTAAACAAACAAAGGGCGGCATCAGCTCCCAGAATCCTCCTGCACACGGATGCAGCCCAGGCCATCGGAAAGATACGAGTGGATGCACATGAGCTGGGAGTAGACTACCTTACCATCGTAGGCCACAAGGTAAGTAATAGGAGAAGCTGTTGATATATCAACTCTCTCTCCAAGTGAAGAAAATTAGAGATCACAATCCTGTTGATTGTGTGTTCCAGTTTTATGGCCCTCGAACCGGTGCTTTGTTTGTGAATGATCCTGGAAAAAGCACCCCAGTTTACCCTATGTTCTTTGGAGGAGGACAAGAACGCAACTTTAGACCAGGGTATGACATGGCTTATTGTGACAAGGTTTCATGTATGAGTTGATGAATAATTAAGAGCAGAATTAAAATGAGTATGATACTGACTCTGAAATTAATACTCTTGTTTTTTCTGTATGTCTCAGAACTGAGAACACCGCAATGATAGCAGGTCTGGGAAAGGTAAAAACATCTATTAATGGATGACATTTGCATTGTTTTATATTCTATAAAAGATGTTTAATAGTAAAATGATTCATTTATACATTAGCAGTGTTTGTACATTCAAAATAGTTTTAAGTAATTATTTTTTTTTTAGGCTGCAGAATTGGTGAGCTTAAATCTGGCTGAATATGAAACCCATTTCTTGGAAATTAGATGTTATCTAGAGCAGAAGCTACTTGTAAGTCTGGTTTCTGCCTTATTTTAGCAAACATTTCAGCTGACAATAATTTAGCCTAGCTAGTTGTAATAATTTTTTTTTTAATTTTCCATTTTCAACTTCTAGGCTGTCTTTGGAAAAGATAAGATTCATTTTAACAGCCATTTTCCTGGTTCAAACAATTTGCCCAACACATGCAATTTATCCATTTTGGGAAGGGGACTTCAAGGTGAGTGGGTGTCAGTTTTCCACATAGATATTTACATTAGATGTCACATACGCTGTTGTTGTCTATGGGCATAGATATCTACATTAGATGTTGCCTACGCTGTTGTTGTCTATTAGCATAGATCTTTACAGTAGATGTCGCCTACCCTGTTGTTGTCTATTGAAAGAAATGCATCAATAGAGCTGCCATTTTAGTACAGGGTAGGGCTCCTTTGAAATGAATGCAAGACCAAGGTGCGGTGGAGGACTGTGGCCATCCAGAGCCAGAGATATACACATATATGCATATATCTATGATCAGGAGCTTTCCCTGTGGTCATTATGCAATATATTTTTTTAATTACAAAAATGATAATTTTACATAATTTTTCTACATGGATGGATAAGTGACCACACGGGCATTCCTGACAAAGAGCGAGTGTTTGTGTGCATGGAAATGTACTATCCACCCTCCCTGTCAAATTTGCTGTAATCTATGTCCTGAAACACACACCCTTTCTTGCTTTCACTTCTAATGCTAACGGAGGGAGTGATTCATTTGTGAATGAATCTCTGTTATGTGAACCATCGACACTCCTGTGTCTCAGTGTGCACATCCACCTTTCTGAAAAAATGGTATAACATTTGTAATATTCAATAATTTAGGGTGGATGGTATGGACATTGAGGCACAGGCAGTTATCAGGCACCTGTATAAGTTTCTTCGAAAACTAGCCGTTACTTCACTTAGTTGACATTAATACAAGTTTCTAGCACCGCAGCATCTTGTCATATTTTAATTACATTGTTTGCTGATTTTATTCAACAAAACTAGCTTAAGGCTAGAATTAAGTGGATGTTGGAACTACTTTGCCTTATGGTCAGTGCAGTAAGTGACTATATTATCATCAATAATGTTACATGTTTAGCACAAGTTCGTAACATAAAAATGATAAACAATGAAATCTTACCCACGAAATGTTTTGCCTTTATCCTTGTTTTCTTTATGTGCTCGTTACACCTGTACACATCGCAAAAGTTCAGCATCTTCAGATTGTCTTTTTTCTTGACTAGTGCGGTTAAATGACTTTTGTCCTGGGAGCACTGTACAAATGTGGCAGCGATATTGACGCATTCTCAGAGTATGCGATATCTAGTGTATATATCTATACATTTTACAGTATTGCAATCTATCTTTGACTGTTTGTGAATGGAATATATTTGTACATCCTGAGTGTACATTGCAAACCCAAATATATAGTGCACATATTTACATTTTCTTTCTCTCTCACATGTTGGACAGAAGTAGGTCAGGTCTTGACCCTGTAGATTTGTAAAACTCCAGTGCATAATTGATGTGACCGTTCCCCCCTGCCGTAGGGCGCAGAGTGCTGTCCACCTGTAGGAGGTTGTTGGCCAGTGTGGGTGCCGCCTGCCACTCAGACAGAGGAGATCAGTAAGTCATCTGTATTTACTGTGTCAAAATGAGGTCAAAAGCATTTGGTTTTGGTATGAAAGACAGGTATGAATTTTTACCAGTTTTATCAAATCTAATGCTTTTTGCACCACTAAAAGATATATTTAAGTGTTGAAATCAAAAAGGCAATCCAGATGAATTAGGTTTAAATTATATAAGACAGGTTATAACTGCTTCTACAAATGTAGTTTTAGTAATTTTGCAATTGACAGGATAAACTATTGAATGTAAAGTTCAACCAGAATTGAAAAATATAAAAAGCCTTTTATTTACTCCCAATTGTCAACCCTCCCATTTTTCTCAGCATTCTGCCGTATTTTTCAGTCTATCTCTTTATCCTCCTGTAAAGATATTTTCCTGTATTTCTCCCATATTTTCAATCCTTCTTTGAAAGTGTGGCTATAAACTTTAAAGAGCTGATCTTCCCTATACGCAACCCATACCGCCGAACCATCAGTGGACACCCCTTGCTTTTAAATGTGAGTCTGTTCTGTGCTTTTATTTTATTTAGGCAGGAAAACACTTTGAAATAAATATAAAAACATCGCGATTCCCTTCCTTTTTAATTCAGGTGCCGACACCCCTCCCATGCTATCCTCAACACAAGCAGACGTTTCCCAAACAAATTTTGTACACATGTTTTGAAGTGGAGCGAAAGTCTGGGTTTTGGGTGTCTTGGTGTTTTTTTTTTTCAAAGACAACAAATTTTGATCTAAATAAGCATAGAAAGTTAGATAAGCCATCAAATGCATTTATTTTAACGTTATATGTGTGCAGTGCCTAATTTGTTATTTGTGAGGTCCCGGAACAGATCGGGGTCAGATTTCAGAGGTGGTTATGGTGGGCATATCCCTCATGTTCACATCCCAATGTTGACGGTTATGCTCAGTATATCATTCTAAGTCCTTTTTTCAGTAGAACAATGAAGAAGATTTTTAGATGAAGCTATGGTACTTGGTTATTCCAAAAAACATCAACTGTTACCTCTACTAGAGCCAAAAATCAGAACAAAGAACAAAATTCATATATGTGGCTTCTGATTGGTCTGCATATATTTAGAGCATTATTATATTTAAACAACAACCTTAGGAAATATAGTCCTGAACACCGATGGCTGTCTGTAGTGGTGAGTAATGTGACACTGTACAGTACACCGTATTCACAGCACTTAACTTTTTCTATATTTTATGTTACAGCCTTATTCCAAAATGTGTTAAGTTCATAATTTTTTTCTAAAAACTCTACAAACAGTACCCTATAATTACTATGCAAAATAATAATGTTTGAAATATCTGCAAATGTAAAAAAAAAAAAGTTTTTTATGTGAAATTATGTGTACATAAATATTCACAGCCTTTGCTCAATGCTTTTTTGAAGCACCTTTGACACCAAGTCCAGCCTCAAGAGTCTAGAGTGTAAGTCTACAAGCTTGGCACACCTGTTTCTTGCATTCTTCTTTGCAGTACATCTCAAGTATTGTCTTCATCTGGTTGGATGGGGAGCGTTGGTGCACTTTCATTTTTTGAAATCTCTGTGTGCTCAGGGTCATTGTCTTGTTGAAATATGAACTGCCCACCCAGTCTGAGGTCCAAGGTGCTCTGGAGCAGGTTTTCATCAAGGATGTCTCTGTACATTCCTGCGTTCATCTTACTCTTAATATTCCAATTCCTGCTGCTAAAAACATGCCTGCTTCATGATGCTGCCCGCCATCTTTCACTATGGGGATGGTATTGACAAACTCTTGAGGGGCTGTCATGTACCTTTTACAGAGGGAGTGGCTTTTGTGTGGCCACTCTTTCATATAGGTCTGGTACCCTTCCCCAGAGACAATACTTTCTCTGAGGTCTACAGAAAATTCTAGCTTGGACTTCATTGCTTGGCTTTTGCTCTGACATGCACTGATAATATCTGTGTGACCTTATAAAACAGGCGTGTTCCAGGCAGTTTACCATGTGTGGACTTCAATAAATGTTATATATTTATTTATTTTTTTGTCATTTTGTGAAGATTTCAAACTAATTTTGAAAATGTCTAGAATTTTAAACCACCAATTTAATTAATTTAATTATGTATGTCAGGTGCAAACTCATGATCTGATACTGTTTGTTTACAATGGTTTGTTGTACTTTAAAGTTTTTTTTTTTATCATTATAGTTATCATTCTTTGAGTGAACAGTTTTTGACAGTTGATTTGGCTTAAAAACAACCAAACCTTCAATTTCATATTTTCTCTAAGTATTTTCTTGAATAAACCTTGATGTTCTTCACAAGATGGTTTGAAGTTTTACTTAATCCTTTTTGTGGTCATTTTGTCATGTGCTCTCAATTTCTTAGACCATCTCATATTCTTCTAAGCTGTGGGATTCCATTTGATGTGGCCACCAATGCTCTGAGGATCAGTGTGGGTAGAAGTACGTCTCGTGAAGATGTGGACCTTGTCGTAGAGGATCTGCGAGACACTGTAGAGCAGCTGGAGAGAATGAACTAGCATCTTTTGTTTCCTGAGGTGTGGATGTTGCACACATCTATACATTTATTGATACTGAACTCTAACCAAAATGTTTTATTAAACGTTTTATTTTGTATCCTTGCACATAGATGAGATAGTGTGTCATGAGCTTAGGCTTCGTGTTTCAGGGTCATCACCAGGTTGCACTATATGGATTTAAAAGCTATTTATTCATCAGAATATGATACGGATACAATGTTGGAACTGCAGGGAATTAATTTGCTTACTTTAGCTTATGTAAAAAAAACAGCTTGCTTGTAGGGGTGTGCAGTCTGTATCTTTTGTGATAATATTTTCATAACTGTTATTTTAAGAGCACACACTTTTAATGTGTCATGTTGCTTGTTGGAATGCATTTTAAATGTCTCAAATATTTGAGTTTGGGGATATAAAATGCCATTTAAGCTTTTATATTTAGCCATTTTTATCATAAGCCATAGTTAATATAACTAGTAAAGGTCTGTACACACTGAATTTCAGATTTTTTTTTTTCCTACGTAAATCTCTAAACAAAATAGTAAAACAGAAACTTTGCACACCAGTGCATATTAATTAATCTGTTGTGGAAAAAAAAAAACTGAAAACAATTCAGAAGTCAAACAGGGAATATAAAAAAGAAAGAGGAAATCTTGTGTTCATCCAATCCACTGCATGGAGAGCAAGGAGAGTAATTATCCCAAAATGCAAAGTTTATATCAGGTAGTCAGTGGCATTTTGATACTTTACTTGTGATAAAGGAGTCATATAACAGAAATTCCCCTGAACAAATCCTGAACGGAGACTTCCGATCAAAGATTGAACTTGTTTTTTAACATGCAAATATTTCAGATTCAGTGTACAGTTAACCTTAACAGTTGTTTTTTCCAGAATTAGAATTGCTCGTCATTGCTAATATGTCTTGAGTTGGACAAATTGTTGGTTAAATTTAAACAACACAATCTAACTTTTTTTTTAAATGCAACTGGTAAGTTGGTAAATGCATCTACAGTAGTTGCAAACTGAGCTCACTGTAAGGCAGTAAATATGACTCAATGCAATCATTTCTGTGACTGCTGTGAAATACCCAAATCACAGCACAAAAGATGTAAATCTCTAGTGAGCAGTTAACCACACTAAAAGAAGTTTTGCAATTATTGCACACCCCTATATGTGTATGACTGTTGCTTTAGTTAATGTAATTTCAGGTTGGGGTCCTTTTTACAAGGGATTTTTAGGGATGTGTTTAAAGGGATAGTTCAAACAAAAATGAAAATTCTGTCATCACTTTCACACTTGTAGGTCGATTGTTTTGTACCGAAACAGGAATTAAAATTGTTAGTTTATTTTTGTTCCTGGTGCAGTTCACTTTTACACGGCAAAGATTCTAAATGGACCAAAATAGTTAAAACAAGTCACGTGCAAGTGAGAGACCTCACATTGGTCAGAGTTTCAGGACCTAAATTTTCAGTCCCATGAATTCAAAACATTATTACGTCATTATACGTCATTATTTGCAGTCAGATCATAATGCAGATCAATCTTTGTTTCGAGATGTCAGTGCAGAAATTATCACAACAATAGGACTAATACATATATTATATATTTATATATTATAAAAGCTTAAAATATGGAAAAATTGTCAGATGGTAATTTATGTCTATTTTTCTAACATATAAACAGCACTTAGTTTGAAATGCTTTCACTTTTGTTTTCGACATGAAATGCACATTTACCAGTAGGAATGACACCCCGCCCTACACATAGGTCTCTCTTCATGTAGCTGCATATATGGTTATTACACAACCATGATACACTGTGATATAGCCTGGTTCATTGGAACGTTTTGCTTTTTCAGTGTAATCAATCCACTCCAGATTTTGTTTCAATCGAGCCGAGACCCCCTCATTCAGGCGATCTCGGACCGATTGATTTGGTGCTGATTTGAGCACGATTGCGGAATTCACATATGCCAAACGAACCACACTAACTGGGCAAACGAGACAGGTTTCGAAACAAATGTCTAAGTGTGAAAGCACCTTTCACCTGTACCAAAACAGTCGAAGTATTTTTTTTTCTGTTGAACACAAAAGGTTTTTTGAAGAATGTTTGAAACTGCCACAACTGAATAGCATGAACTTCATATCTAAATTTGGCATAAATTGCAATGGAAACCTTTACTGAATAAATTTTAACGTGCGCATCAAAAAAGTTATGTGATTTTTGTTATAACTGGCACACATAGTCTCAGAAATAAAGGTACAAAATATTTCACTGTGGTGGTAGCTTATCAAAATGTACACTGTCGTACTGTACCTTGTTTGTACAGTAAACAATGTTTACTGTTGTATCTTTAAGGTGCTGTGAGGTACATATTTGTCCTTTTTGGGTATTATTATGTACCTTTAAATACCTGTAAGGAACCAAAATGTTGCTTTCCACCCCAGTGACAGATTTTGTACCATTATTTCTGAGAGTCTAGCCAGTTTATACAACGCAATGATAATTAGTTTTTTCCTTATGAACTGGGGCATGAGATGGCATTCATGAACAAACTAGCAGAACAACCAAATTGCGTAACATCTGAAATCTCTTTTTAGCATTATTATCCCAAAGTGCAGCCTCACGCCTCAAAAAGCCAACACACATTCATTGTGTTTCAGCTTCGTATGCTAAGGTGCAAGCAATTTATTATAAAAGAAAAAGACTCGCAGTGGCTTCTCCTGTCTCGGCAAATTCCATTTTCTTTTGGATATTTGGCACCAGCTTATCAGGACTTATTGGATGGAAACAGTGTTTTTTCAGTCTTGTGCAAAAGTTTAATTCTCATCATTAGAAAAATAACAATTGACTTTCATACAATAGTTGTAGGATTTTTTTTTTTCCTACATTAGATGTCAGAGGTTACTGGGGTCTGTTCTTCATATGTGGATTACTCAATTAGCTGGATTTGGTTATTGACAATTTGACACGAATAAATATAAATATAAGTTAAATATAAGTTTCAAATATATATAAATACAACTTATGGAATCCACACTCTGAAAAAAAAGTACAAAAATTGTCACGAGGTGGTTCTGGACTTTTTAGATACCAACGCATACTATTTTAGGATGCCGACCCAGTTTTATTACAATTTGTTTATGATAATAGACATGCACAATATTTGTATTTTTTTTAAAGAATAATAATTGATGCTGTTATACACATGTTTTAACAGCTAATATGATGGTGATTTGATGCTTTTTTGATACTGTACTTTTACCAATATCAAAATGCTTTTTTAGATGCAGAATTAATTTTAACAGCCAGTTATTATGTCGATTAAGAAACCGAGGCTATTATAAGAAAGAAAATTCACTCTAAAAGTAAAACTAAATAAATAGCTAAATACTCTTGCCACATGAAAGTTTAAAGCCTGTTGCCCACAACAAAGGTGAAACGTTACTGCATGTCAGATCATGATTTCGAGGATTGATAGATCTGTCCTTCACAACACATGCAGCGATCTTAGATCAGTTTATCCAGACATTTTAAATCTGATTTGCTAACTTGTTTGAAGAACCAAATTAGCCAGAGATCAGTTATCAAGATCAAAAGATCCAGGATCTGCCAAATCATCTTAGATCATTTAAACGAGGTATAAAGAATGGTCCCCTGGTCTCCAGCGTTCTTCAAAATATCTCCTTTTGTGCTGAACAGAAAATGCAAACTGGTTTAGAACAAGCAAAGGGTATTAAACTTGACAGAATTTTCATTTTTGGATGAACTACCTCTAAGTATTATGGTCATAATGCCATTTATGAAATAAATTGCTGTATTTATGCTGTAAATATGTGTACCCTATGCGTCTTGCGGGCTACTCTTTGTTACATTGTGATGTGACAGAGCGTGCCTTTTCAGAAAGAAGCCGAGGTATCTGTTACCAATCCAACAAAGCTTCCACAACATTATTAAAAGAGAGCTAAATGGACACTCTTTAACTTCAGAGTGCTGATCTGATCTTTCCAATTCATTAAAGTTCATATGCTCCAACCAAACGGCCCTGTTCTAATTTCTTGTCCTCTTTCCAGACAAACTCTTGGCCATTCAGACAGAAATGAATATTTAACAGGTTGAAAATGAGGCTCACTGTAATCTCTAATCACATGCCACATGCATGCACACGTTTTAGTAGGTCTCCAGAGGCCAGTTCTCTCATTACCCCGGGTGTCTGCTGCCAGGGGCTAGGGCAACCATATGCAGGTTGGTAAAGCGAGCACAGAGGCCACGGCTGGGCCATCATGAGCACTGGTGCATTGTGACGTCTTTCATTACCTTTACAGCTCACCGGGCCAGACCTGTGCCTCTCCTCCGCTCACCCTACCCCGCCACCTGGCAGACGGTGAGGTGTCGGCTTCCCCTGTGTGTGTGTGTATGCAAGTGTGTGTGCCGTGGGGGGTAGGTTGAGTTGCCCGAAGCAGCCTCCGGATCCAGTCAAAGGAAGCTATTGCAGGTGCAGAGAGCCAAGGCCGACATGGTGCTCCAAAAGGCCATCGCCGCAGCACGAGAGGGAGACCTACGGGGCCTCAGAGAGCTCGCCCAAACTGGATGTCTGACCGGCGCCATTGTGGATGCTCAAGGGGCGGGACTGATGCACCATGCAGCACGTTGTGGCCAGCTGGACTGCCTTTGCTTTCTAGCTACTGAAGCAGGACTTGTAGCCGATACTAAAGCTCTTAATGGAGCCACGCCGGTCCATGATGCTGCAGCTACAGGTCACACACGGGAACTGAAGTGGCTCGTACAGGTCGCAAGATGTAACATTAAGGTAAGTGGAGAGAGGTGTGTGGGTGAACGAGGGTTTCTTTTAGAATTGTGTTTTCTTTCCTCTTTAAGAAATTCTTGTTAAGAAAGACACTATTGTTTTTCATATTGTATAAAGTGGAGCTTCAAAAAGGTCAAAAAGCACAATGTAGTATTCTTAAGTCATTTATTAAAATGTACAATTGTTTTGTTAAAGGCTGTTTATATTTTAATCCACCTACCACTGTCTGGTTGAACCAAGCAATATTACAAAAGAAAAAAATGATTGTAGCTTTAAATGTAGTCTGCACATAACTTTGGGAATGGGTACAGTTTTTGATTCAACCTAACCAACTTTATTATTGTCCTCTTGTTTCTCATTATCTCCATTTCAACTTAGATAGTTTATAGTTCAATTTAGTTTAATTTTATAAATTAAATAAGTAAATTCGATGGACTATAAATAATGGCCATTTGCTATTTATTCATTGAAATTTAATATGTATTCATGAGGTATGATGTTTTATTTTAAATATACAGTTAATATGTTTTATAATTCTATACACTGGGATGCAAATGAGGCCTGCTGCTGTTCACACCGAGTTTATAGCATATAACAATATATAGTATTATAAATAAATATAGTACTTTTTAAAACCATTGGGCTACAGTAAAAATGGAAATGTTTTGCTTGCAAATGATGGTGGTTACACTTTGTCAGGGTATATACAGGAATCAGAGTAAAATTCAATATATTTTTAAGACTGTTTCCATACATTTTAAGACCTCGTCAACACTTTAGGTGTGAACTGGTAACATTGGCAAAATTTAAAATATATTCACTAATTACTGATTGTAAAAAAAATCCTAAACAAAACATTATTCATATACTTTCTAAACATGTTGTTCCAGAAGGTTTTGCCTATTGAACAGCAGAAATAATGGTGCTACCTTGGTTACTGCAGTGAACGATGAACTGTGACATCAAATATAGCAGGATTTTATTGATGTTACACAGCATTACAAAATTCCTAGCTTTAGCATACAACTATTATACAACTGTATAATTAAAAAAATATGCAAAATTGAATACCTTGTAACAGCATTTAAGACCTTTTAAAGGTCTTAATTTTTCTTTAAATTGATTAATCAACTTTTACTACTTTTTAAGACCCTGCAGGACACCCTGTTTATTTTGAGGTGTCTTTGATGCATTGTAGATATTCATTAAACTACTGAGTAATTAAAGGGGATAGTTCACCCCAAAGTTATAATTTACTCACTATTTACTAACCCTTAAGTGGTTCCGAACAATTTATGAGTTTCTTTGTTTTGTTGAACACAAAAGAAGATATTATGAACAAAGCTGTAAAAACCTGTAACTATTCACTTCCACAGTAGAAATATCAAATACTATAAATATCTTATTAGGTGTTTAACAGAGGAAACAAACTCATAAAGCTTTGAAACAAGTAAAGGGGGAGTTAATTATGTTGATTATGAATATAAATTATTATAAATTTTCCTTTTTGGGTGAACTATCCTTTTAGGTAATTATTGCACATGCCAATAGACATTTAAAAAATAGTATTTTTGTATTGTATTTTGTATCACATCATGCTTTTTTACTTATTTAGAATTTGACAACCCTCGGTCATCAGTCACTTTTAATGTATTGAAAAGAGCAGCATGAGCTTTCTACTAGACATCTACTTGTACTACAGTTTAACGCTTAAACTTTTTAAAGTTAATTTATTTTTGAATAAAAACATATTTAGCATGGACACATTAATTTGAGCAGAAAATTAGAAGTACTTTTACATTGTTGCAAAGCTGCTGTGTAAAAGATTGTATCTTTGTTTCCTTAAAAAAAATATTAGGAGTGTTCATAATGTTATATGTCTTGAGCATCAAATCTGCATATTAGAATGGTTTCTGAAGGATCATGTCTAGATTCTTGTTATGTTTCAATGTTATAGTTTTTCTACATTTTTAATCAGATAAATCGAGACCCAGTGAGGATTAAAAAATACTGTGAAAAACTTTACTCAACCTAAAGTTTTAAATATTACTCATGGTAGAAAAGACATTTTGTTATTCATTATGTTGAGACTGTGAGCATATTTCTTTCACTTTCTCACCCATTTATTCTAATATTAATATCTTAGTAGTTTTATTGAAGCCAGTGATGTATAATAAGGTATTATACATCATTAAGGTAAAATATTTAACCCAATGTGTATATAATTATATAAAGCTGAAAGTGCAATTATTTAACACTTGATTTGCAAAACATTGTTGCCATTAGCAAAATTATGAAATATTTACTGTTAAACTTTTTAGATTTTCATTAATGAACATTAATGGGAAAATGTATTCAACCCCCAAACATTTTGTTTTGTATAAAATCTTGTTTTATATCCTCCAGTAAATGTTGCCTCTACTGAAAGTCCTTACATTTTTTCAACTTTCTAATGGAATCTTCCTTACTTTTTAAAACCTCTCTTTTTTTACATTGCCACTGCTTTATTCAATGTTGTTAATAAGATTCAAAACTGAATACTGAATGGACATTTAAAACATTCTAGACTCTAAGCTTTGGTGGATTTGGATGTATTCTTTAGGTTAATTGTCCTGTTATAAAGTCCAAAGATACTGTAATTACACTTCAGTCTATGCTTCATAAGTTGCGCCCCAAATGACACACCATACACTATGCACTTTTACATATGTACTTAGGCACTCAACAGTGTAGTGTTTGATGTTGGAGTTATTTCAAATTATTATTATTATTATTTTTAACTAACCAGTAATTCCAACTGTTTCCAGTTGATCTTTAACGGTTGCCAAATTAGTTACTAACTGTACAAATATTTCCTGTCAGAGGCGGCATAATCACTCACGTCAGAGAAGTTTGCATAATCCAAAATAAAGTAATCGATAACAGCCCTCCTGCTGCTTTATGAACAAAGCTGCAACCGTTGAGTGTGTGAAGTGTCCAACATTCCACACTTCTGTTTATCTCTTAAATAAGTGCATCATCTAGGATTTTATTCTATTCTAGAATGTTTGGTGTAGATGCACTCCCTACAGCAGGGGTGTCCAAACTCAGTCCTGGAGGGCCGGTGTCCTGCATAGTTCAAACTTCCTTCAATACATATGCATGGAATTTTCTAGTATACTTAGAGCGAGCTTGATTAGCTGATTCTGGTGTGTCTAATTGGGGTTGTAACTAAACTCTTTAGCACACTGGTGTTCCAGGACCGAGTTTGGGCACCCCTGACCTACAGTATTCATTCTACAATAATGTGTAAATCTATGTGATTTGGCACACACCTATAACATTTGTTAAAATACCCTGTAACTTCAAAGTGCTATTGCACTCTAAAAAATGCTTGGTTGACATAACTCAAGATTTATATTATTTTTTTCAATTGAATTTCAAGACACCTTTTAACTTTTTAAATTTGAAACAGCATTGAGTTATTTGTCTGTATTTTTCTACATGTTTGATCAGATAAATGCTGATTTGTTGCATACAAAAGACTACTTTTAACAACTTTACCTAGACTAAACTTTTGAACAGTACTCTGTGTTTCACAATAGGCAGGGTTATAGTATTTAATTAACTTAAATATATTTATATATTTTAATATAGTCGGCCACTTTGTTAGGTACACCGGTCCAACTGCTCGTTTGCTCAAATTTCTTATCAAATTTCTAATCAGCCAATCTCGATCTGCTGAAGTTCAAACTGAGCATCAGAATAGGGAAGAAAGGTGATTTAATTGACTTTAAACATGGCATGGTCATTGGTTCCAGACAGGCTGGTCAGAGTATTTCAGAAACTGCTGATCTTCTGGGATTTTCAAGCACAACCATCTCTAGGGTTTACAGAGAATGGTCCGAAAAAGAGATAATATCCAGTGAGCGGCAGTTCTGTGGGAGCAAATCCCTTGTTGAGGTCAGAGGAGAATGGCCAGACTGGTTCGAGCTGTTAGAAGAGCAACAGTAACTTAAGTAGCCACTCGTTACAATTGAGATATACAGAAGAGCATCTCTGAACGCACAACATGTCAAACCTGTAGAGAGATGGGCTACAGCAGTAGAAGACCACACCGAGTGCCACTCGTGTCAGCTAAGGAAGGGAAACTAGGGCTACAATTCACACAGGCTTACCAAGATTGGACAATAATAGATTGGAAAAACATTGCCTGGTCTAATGAGTCTCAATTTCTGCTTAGACATTCGGAGG